AAAGGTGGGCCTCCGTAAAAATGTTTCCTAATTGAAATTGAATCATATCAAACGCTTGTTCGAAAATAATAACTGCAAGATTTTTTACGAATTTCCTAATAAATAAGATGAAAATCCTATGACGTGCTGGATAAAAAAGAAGACATTATATCATTAAGATCATAATTCTTGCGTTTGCTTCATGTTCGACTATAGAAGGACAAATTCACATGAACTCATTATCTGACTTCAAAAAATAAAAAAGACAAATTGTATTCAGGGCATACAAAATACCTACTTTACTACATTGTTTGCCATCCAGTTTAAATTAATTGAAGAAATATTTATTATTTAGAAATAATCAATATTTCTTCAATTAATTTAAACTGGAGTTGGTTTTGAAAGAAAAGTAGATTAAATTTTTCTCCGAATCTGAGAATTAAAAACCTCCTTTAAGGTATTTCAATTAAAAGTCCAATAAATAACAATAACAAAGTTTTATATTTATCTTTTTTTTCTTGAATGTTTTCAAATAAGTTTTGTTGGGTATTGAATTAAGAGAGTACCTAATAGCTGAAACAAAAATAAAACAATGAGAAAGTTTTCATGTATTTAGCAACAAATTTTATTGCATAATTGGTGGATTGATTTTATATGTAGACTTAAACAAAAGAAGAAAAAATTCTGTTGATTCAATTAAATATAACATTATTGATGTTGTTCTTTCCACAAATGTCTATTACAAACAAACATATATTTGTTTAAGAAAATATACAAGATTAATGAGCTTTATGAAAATATCTACAACGCACATTTTGTTTCATTATTCAGAAGCGAAATTTTAAAACTCTATTTTTACAGAGCTTTAATGTATCAAAAATATATTTTATATCAGAATAACATCTTAAGCTAATCAAATCTTCTATAAATATAAGTCAAAGCGCTTAAGACTCACATCTCATCCTTATCTTATAATTTCTTTTTATTTCTCCTTAACACTCAAAAATACCACGAAGATGAATTAAAATGAATGAACATTAAATCGTATCAGACGAAAACAAAGCAAGAAAAAAAAAAGTTTTAAGGAATGTTTATAATGGAATGTTCATAGATAAGTGGAAAACGCCTTAAAATCAAAGTGAGATTTCAACTGTGGTGGGGAATTTATAGCTGTAAATTAAAGCAACAAAATGTTGCTAAGTGATGAATCACTTCAAGGCTTGAAGTTCAAGCGTAGATTTGCTAAAAAATAGCCTTGTGAATGATTTAAACTCAGAAATATTTTTTATAATATTTTTTTCAACCTAATACGTCACGTAATCTGTTTTTCATTTGTTAAGCTTCACATTTTTTTTATTTTCAATGCTTTTCCGTAATTGTCGTCAACATAACTTTGTCGCTGAAGTTCAGGACTTCTCGAACGAGAATATTCTTGAGCATAAAAGCATCACGCAGTGGCAACTTGTTCAACTCAGCAGAAATAAAATCGCCAACATAATTAAAATTACCGTTTTCGCAGAATTTTTGTTCCATGCAAACATTCGTTTCATCAACGTTGTTATCGGTGTCATCATCTGCTACTTCCATTTTTACAATTGGATTAAACTGGTTATTTTCTGTCGACTCATTGGTAATGTTGGCAGTTGTTGTACTAGGACTTGGAGTAGATTGAGAAGATCGAGAAATATTTTGAGGGGTTGTTTGGTGATTTATATGCATTAGTGGTCGTATTATTAGGTTTGCTATCTGTTGAGGTTTTAATAAATTTGCTGTTGAAGTATGAATTTTAGGAACTGCTTGTATCGTTACTTCATTGGTTGATGAAATGTTTTCGCTTGATACTGATTCAGACTTGAGCGATATAGTTCCTAAGCTTTCGCTTCCACTGTTTATTAATGAACATAAATAATGGGAAGATTAAGAAAAAAGCGCGAAAACGCGGAGGATAAATTGAAGCTTTTGTCTACTTACTTTCTTGGTATCATGAAGTCATCAAGAAATCCTAATTTGTTGTACAGATCCCATCGTTTCAGTTTTGAATGTTCAACATTATTAGTCGAATCACGCTCTAGAAGAATTTTCCGTCGTCTGTATTTTTCCCTTATCGATTTGAATCGACGTTCAGCTTCCGTTGCTAAATGTGAAGATGATGCATTGTCAAAATAAAAATAATATTATGAATAGTACTTTGACAATAAATGGACTCTGAATGAAATGAATTATATGGAAGGAAATTAACGAATTCATCCATTCACACAAAAAACATCCTTCTATGAGTATTAGAACCCCTTTTTTTTCTTTCAACACATATTAATTGAGATTTGTGTGCATACGACGAAAATCAGACATAAGAATCGGTAAACTAGAATGGATACGCAGAAATCGTAAAGTCTTTCATTCATACATGTATGAGTAAGTAATTGGATTAATTCGGAGCAAAACGCTTTAAATGCAAGGGAAAATAGTAAAGAAGACAAATGATGTAGATGGTTCAAAGGAGAGTATAGCAGAGACGGACAATAAAATAACGATTGCTTTTGCTTCTGTGTGTGTTTATATGCGTAAAATGAATGACTCACTTGATATCCCTAATTGATATGCTACTCGTCCCCATGCCTGCTCTTTCAATGTGACATTTTTAAAATGCGAATGATTACGTTTCCAGATTATGCTCTCATGTTCAACCAGCTTCACAAGAACCTCGTCACGATCCATTTTATGTTCTTTTGATGGGAATAAAAAATATTATGAGTATCGTTGGAGGAATTAGCTTAATTGTTGCAAAATTAAATTAAGAAGTATTCACTTTATTTAATATGTACATACAAGACTGTTAATTAAATATTATTTAGTAACACATGAATTTCATACTTTTAACTCTTGGGATTAATTAATATTATTATATTCATACATTTTATAAAAAAATTCACAAATTGTTATGATCAATTATATAAAGTGTCCTTACGTGCCATTCGATGTTGTTGTGCAAATGAATATCCTTAAACTTTATTACTTTTAACTTTATTTAATGACTCATTACTTCACTACGAGATCTTCTTAACCTGTTTTTAATATTTTTTGTTAAGTATGTACACAGTTTTATGATAAAATTTATGTTACAATATTATTGTAAACAGCAAGTTTGCAAAATAACGACTAAGTTCCAAACATGATTCTAAACTTCTCCACAACGTTCTCAATCCTTGAAAATGTCAAGAACAAAACTTCATGCTTAATCCAACATCAATACTGTATGAAATTGCAACAATGTTTAGTTCCTTCCCAACATTAATGCTACATTTATTTATGAAATTTAAGTGTTTTATCACAATTTAAGTTTATAATGCACAATTAATTTATGATAATAGAGGCTAATTTGAGGAAAAGTTACCTTCAAGGAAAGATTAAGGATAACACATGATGTTCATCATTTTTCCATGGAACTTCTCTTTCTACAACTTCAATACCGTTTCTACATTCATTCCTAATTCGTTCTTGATTATTCGCAACCGTTAGATAATAAAATTGTGCCTGTCCAAGAAATGTTTCATTGAAAGTATTGAAGACAGGAAGAAAAATGATAGTTGAAGGATGTCCGAATGTGTTTTGCTGTAATATGTTTATAGCGGACATAAACTTTTGGGAATTAATTTCAGAAAAGCTTTTAGTAAAACAATAAAAAGTTTTTATGAACATCTTTTGAATGCTTCACTAAAAGCAATAAAAAAATTCATTTTGATTGGTAGGATGGAAACTATGCCAACCTATGATTATATTATGTAGAAATAAACTGCTTGTCTATGACCTGAAAATTGACTTAAATAGAATTAATTATCATTAAAAAAGGTCGTACTTTAATTTTCAATTGTATACAGATCTGTTCAGTATTATAAGGTATAATAAAAATTTGCAACATGGGAGCATGCTAATTTCCATTTTGGGTAACATAACAAAAAAAAGTTCTTTCCTCAGCAATTGAACTGAAAGCTTCAATATAAATTAAAGACCCTTAGGAAATACAATGTACGTACTACTTACCTAAATGTGTTAACGACTTTAATAGTCCTTAATAGTCAGCGTATTGTGAAAGGAAATGCTTAACGAAATTAACTTATGGCATGAAATATACTTTCGTTTACATCTTTGTTTAATAGCTTTTTTATTTTGTTTTAGTCTATATAAACCGAAAGTTTATTCAGCCCTATTTCAGCTATCTATTACCTACTTTTCATACTGTCGAATCGATTAAAAGCGAAACAGCGGCGTTTGATTTAGAAAGAAAAACAGATGATGCTAAATATCAATGAACCTGCTCATGAAAGTGAGTTTAAATTCAAATCATCCTCTCTAATTTAATTATAACATTTTGTAATTTAATTCAAATATATTATATTACACTTGTTGACATGATTCGAACAAAATATAAATTTAATATTCTCTCGGAGAATACAAAAAGTATCATTTACGATTGGGTAAAAAATAAACAATAATTCTTTATATTCAGCTTCGATTTTTCATTTGTTTGATAGGAACTTCAGCAACTTAATTTAACTTAATAATCATGCATGACTTCAAAAAGACATGTAATTTTGAATACAACTCTTAAATGAACAAAAAAAGGTTGTTTATAATAATAAATTAATCTGTAATAGCATGCAGATATTTTATAAGTCATCTGACATCTGCGACAAACTGAAAGCTTCAATCTGAAATAAAATTATGCGAATAATTTTCAATAAATATGTAATACTGTTAGATCAAAATGACTTGCAGAACAAGCTCTAAAAATAAATTAGAATTGTGGATGATTGATGAAAGCTTAGCAAACATTGACTACTACTTAAATGGATAAAATGTTATTGGAGTCAAATTTCCCGTAGAATCAGTTCATCGAAAGTCAGACTTGAACACTTAACCAGATTAAATTTAGACGTCGTGATTGTATGCATGAAGTCAAAATATTATTAAAAAATGCTTATCAAACATGTATAAATTCTCCCAAGTTTAATAATTAATTTGAATTTCAAATATTTTAAGTCTTATTTTCAAAAAGCTCTCATTATCTTTTTAATATTATGTATACACGTTGTATGCTTATAGAAAATCCAGATAAAGGTAGGATATCTATAGACAGACTACCTAAGGACCGTGTGATTTTAAAATTTAATGTGGAACAAATATTTTGTTAAACTATGTAAATATAGGCGGTCGCTAGACGATTACTAGAAGACATCTTTTTTTTGAACTTAACCAGAAATTTTATTTTTAGAAAATTAAAATCCATTACGGAAATAAACAAAAATTTAATAAAAAAGAAACTGGACACTTTGCACAATAAAATATTATTTTCAATACGAAATCAATTAGGTATATTTATTAGATATGTTTTTTCTTACATCTGCGAAAATATCGGCTTTCACTCGAACTTATATTTATGAATAGATAATAAAGAAGAGAACATTTACCTATTTATTGCATGAATAGACAATAAAATGCAAATAACAAATATACTACTGATAGTCGTAGACTCTTCTGGTAGCTTAACAGAATAATAATCAGAAACATAAATAACGATAAGGATATATTTTGATAGGCACAAAAATATTCAGTTGAGTACGTGAAAACCGTTTACAAAAATGATGAAAATGTAACGGTTTTTATTTCAAACGTGTATCGCCAGCTGAGCGTTTTCATATAGAGTCTAGCCAGGCGTCTAGGCAGCAGCAAAACTCAAAGGAAAATAAAATTGAATGAAATAAAATTCTTAATTTTCCGGGAAAAATATAATTGAAATAATAAATTCTATTTGCAATACATTATTTAAGACTCAGTTGTCAAAACAAATCAAAACAATTTAGCTGAGGTTGATCTTTGAAGTTTTTGTTTAGAAAACAAGTTTTGTGTTTTCATTTTAGTTTTAATTCAAATAAAACATCAAAGAAATGGAGAACTACAACAATATGATGGGCAATGACTACAATGCTATGGTATACGGCAGTAATATGGATCAACAACATCCGATGTCATCAATTCCTCGAGAAATGCAAATTTCTCAAACTCCTATTCATCAGCTTCCTGTTCAGCAACCAGACATAATTAATCTTTCTTATCATCAAAGAGAGATTCAAATGCCACATCCAAATTTGCCACAACAAATGGGTCTCTTCCCAACAGTTCCCTCCAATTTGCCGCCTATTCAGATTCATAACCATATAATGCATCAACAACAACCAGTGAATATAAACACAAGTGAACAACAAATTCCTCAAAACGTGAATATTCAATATAGCATTGATAATGTGAATGTGAACGTGAACTTGGATGTCCAGAATAATAATGAACATTATGATGAAACTGTTGCAAAGGATCCAACAAATAATGACGATAATGGTGTTGATGCGTCAAATTCTCAAATTTCAACTCCATTAAAATCCGAAGACGTTAATTCGACTCAAAATGATAAACAAGATCAGCTTCCCGACATCAACCAAGAAGAAGTTTCAAAGAAAAAAGAACCAGAAGTTGATCCAAATCAATGCAGAGTGTGTAAAAATTCGGAACAGCTAATTGATATATTTGCAATCGAAGAGGATATGCGTATATGTGATATAATAATGAAGATTTGCTCTAATGTTCGCATTCATGAGAGAGATTATCTTCCTCATATGATATGTCTTGGTTGCTTGGGAAGATTACGTACAGCTTACCAGTTTGTCAAGGAAGTACAAGCGACTGATAAAGAATTAAGAAGTAAGTTGAAGCGCAGTAAAAGCAAAGTTCGTAAGCCTAGTGATGGATTTGTGCTTATCGATTGCAACGAATTCAGTGAAAGTGATGACGATGATTTACAAAATGATGACGAAGAATTTAAAGTTTCAGATGTTGAAGAAGATGAATCTGAAGACACTGAGTCGGGAGAAACAGATGATTCTCGAAAAGTAAAGCCTCCAAAAAAGCGTGGACCAAGAAAATCGAAGTCGAGAAAAATGAAACAAGAATTAGTGTCGACAGCAAAACGTTTGAAACGTGACATTGTATTTATTGAAGCAGCTGACAGCTCTGAAGAGAAGAAGAAAAAAGAAAAATGCAAGGAGTGTAACAAAGTTTTTTCCAATAAAAATAGTTTAAGATTACATCGAAAAAACGCTCACTTTAGATCGGGTGAAGATGCTGCATTTAAGTGTCATATCTGTGGACGAGGATTCAAATATAGCATCAACTTGTCATCACATATGCAGATTCATAAAGAAAGTTACTCGTGCGATGAGTGCGGTCGAGTGTTTGCAACTAAATCCGATGTAAAGAAACATGCTTTAAACCAACATAAATGCTCTTTGTCGTATGAGTGCAACAAGTGTCGACGACTTTATTGCAGCGTGAAACGCTATCAAAAACATCGAGAATCGTGCTCGGACTATGGTTCAGCTTCCAATAAAAAGAAACAACATTCTAAAATGAAAGAAGACTTTTCATTTACTGGAAGAGATTTATTCAAGACGGTAGCACCAGTGACTACAACATATTGGAGCGATTCATTCAGTGATTAAGCTTTCGTGAGTTCATGGTAATAAAAAATTCAACATCTCGCATTTTGATTCGCGCAATCCATATTGGTATCACTTAAGGTTTAATTTTATTAGTCACAGTCTGCTTCACATATTAATTTTGTGCTATATTAAAGTTAGAAATATCTAAATCTAGTTTGAACGGAAGCTAAAAGTTCCTGCGGAATTTCCTGCTTCCTTCTTGATATTCATATTATGTTTTCTCAGAAATTTCTTCTTCAATTGGTTCGGTTGTGAATGATTAATTTTGCAACCAAAACTTTCATCACATTTGTAAAAAAAATATATCTTCTTTATATTATTAAAACTTGTTTAATTTCATAGCTATGTAGAAGAAACAAAGTAGAGCTTTGCGCTGTATTCTGCAGTGTTATTATTTACGTTTATTTCGATTAATGTATTTAGGATAAGGATTTAATAAAAGAAAAAATAATTCATAAGAAAAAAAAACTAATCTTGGATTGTTAATAAATTGATTCAATGTGTCTACATCGGAATAATGTTCTGGTTTTAGGGGAATGTATTCTATTTTGTTGTAATGCTTGTAAATGAGATATTTTCAGGAAACAGTCTTACAAAGGCATTGATTTCCATTAAACCATTAATGATATTGAAATTATGATGTCCTAATATCATACGTTGATTATTGGACCAAAACTTAATCTTAATGACATGAGGAATAGATAAAATACCCAAAGGAAAATGAATGAAATCTGACGAAAATCATTTCTCAGCTTTTATTTCTATGTAAGGCTAAGACGAAACATCTTTTCAGTGAAATGGAACAATAATTTCTAAGCTTATTTTACCTCACCAGTAAATATAAATGCGAGATATTACTAGAATCTTTTAGCAATTTTACGTGCAGATTTTGCACTGTGAGAAATAAATTTCTTTGTAAAATTAGCTTCGTCAATCAGAATTATCTTAATTAATAAATGCGACAAAATATGTTTGAAATAATATTTATTTTCAAAATTTATTAATTTGGTGACAATGAGCTGAAATTGATAACTTTCTATCAGTGTTCATTCTACGGGTACATTTTCAGTGAAGAAATGTGTTCTTACTCCATCAAATGGAAGATAGAACATAAATAACAAATCATTTCCTGAATATGTTCAAAGAGATGACATAAAAACATTATCACAATTTTCAATGCTACATCAAGTTTTCGTTTTTATTTTTGGGGTGAAAATTGTTGAAACTTCCGTGTTTTCATTTCGTTCTCTTCCATTTCATTTATAAAAGCTTCTGGAAAAAATGTTGAACATTAAAGTGTCAGGATTATTTTAAAGACAGATTTTGAAGCAAATCCAAAGATCAATATTGAAAGGAACCAAAATGTTTTAAATATTTTCATGCCAGTTTAAATCCTTTTTTCTTCCAACTTAAACTAATAAAACCCAAAGATTTATATTCTTTTCTTTCGCTTTTCAGATCTGCTGTCGCCAATAGGATTTGTAGTCTATTCCTTTAAATAAAAGCTTTCTTTAAGTTTTACCGCACATTTTTACAGAATTATTGGGGAGATTTTATTTGTGAACCCATCCCCTGTTAATTTTAAAAGCATTAACAAGAGAACCTTAGAATGGAAAGAATAAATCTCAAAGACCTTTTGTAAATGCTGACGAAAGAGAAATTTATATTAAATTAATCTGTCACTACATTTGATATTTCAAGCCTAGCTAAAAGAGTAATTGGATATTTTAAGTTAATAAAATAAGTAAGATAAAAAGCTTTTGAGATGACACCATTATCAAAGGACGAATTACAAAAGATTCTTGAAGACGGGAAAGATTCGAACTTAACAGTTGATGATCTTGCAAAGTTTATAAACGTACTTATGAGCAATAAACCGTTTTTAAATTCTTCGGTAAACACAACAAGAAAACTTTTAATTGATGAGACGAATTACACTCAAAGCGACAATTGTTCTGAATATTGTGATGGCCGCATGAGAAATTTCTTCAATGAATATAAAAATTATCATGGGTACATAACTTTAATTGTAAGTATATTAATTGCATTGATTCAGGTATTGATTTCAGGAGTTATGATAAAATTGGATTAGATACTTTTCTGTCACTTGTCTTGATTTTAACTCAAAGACATTTAAATAATTTTTCGGTTATAATTATGGAGTTAAAATTTTTATTTTCTTGACAATGTGTACATAAATATTTGTAGAAATATAATCGAAATTGTCACCTGTCCTGAAATGATTTCAGATTTGTGTATTTGGGACTATTGCAAACATCTTTAACATCATTATACTGACAAGAAAGGAAATGTCAAAAACGCCAATCAATGCGATATTGAAATGTGAGTTGCGCAAATAATTTATGATAAAATTGATATTTCTGTCATATTTCAAATTATTTTCTTTTTAATTTAAAAGGGCTTGCAGTCTGCGACATGTTTGTGATGATTGAATATATTCCTTTTACATGGCATATGTATCTAGCTACGGATGGTTAGTTACGTTTTCACAATTTCTACAAAATAAATCGATTTAAATTTATTAAATTATTTCAAACATTTCATATTAATTTCAATTTTCGAATTATTCAATTTAAATTTAAAGCACAAAATTACCCTTAAGGTAGTTTTTGATTAATTTAAATCAAATTTATATATTTAGACAGTGAAAAGAAGAATCAATATTTGGAACCTTTCGAAACATTTCAGGCAAGCCCGATTCCAGCTACAGTTGGGCACTTTATTTACTATTTCATAGCCATTTTTCACAAATTCTCCACACAATTTCAATTCTACTGACAGTGAGTTTGGCTGTTTGGCGCTATATAGCAATCAAGTAAGTTAGAATTAGTTATTAAGTAAATTAAAAAGAAAAACAGAATTTAAAATTAAAATAAAATTTATTTTTATGAATTGTTTGTTAATATTGGTATTTCTTGCTTAGACATCCACATGGAAGTTTGGGGTTCTGTATTCAGAACCATTATGCAGCCGCAATTCTTTTTGCTTTCATTTTGTCTCCAATACTCTGTTTTCCAACTTTTTTCGTGTTTGGCATAAAAAAGATTGAAGATGACAATGAATTTATATATCATTTAGATGCGAATGAAGATTCAGAGCTTTTCAGGTAATTTTAATTTATCCGATTAATTATTTATTGGTAGTTAAATCTGTCTAAAAATATATCTCAGCAAATATTTTATGTACTTCAAATTGGGCCGTCCTTTCTTAGGATTATTTATTAACAATTTGTTTATTCAAGAGGGTACGCAGACTCATCATTTTCTTAACTAATTTTCTGATGAAAAATTAAAAAAGCTCAAGTTTTTGTGAATTTTTTTGCTGTTTTACAAGTTTTCTCTCTTTTCAAATTAATATGTTTATGCTTTCGTATGATCTCATTTTACAATCACATAAAATTAGATTAAAAACATGAAAATTTTAGTAATTTAATCTTAATTGAAGATTATTCAGAAGATGCTTTGATGATTTTTTCGAGACGTTGTTTTTCTTCAGAGTTTTTATGGCAATCTATAAATAAACTTACTTGCCTAGCTAACTCGAACAATGTAAATATATGTTGACGATTTGATACTCGATGTCAGGTGATTTTTATTGTTATTTAATCTCAAAAAGTTATAAAATTAATAATAACTTCTGAGAAAAAATATATTTTTATAATGGGATGAAAATCTCAACTTGATATTCTATTCAAAATATTCTTCAATCGCACTCAAGTATTTCTTGTCTATTCTTACAGAATAAATTTTTGGATACACTCAGTCATAATAAAATTATTGCCATGCTTCATCTTGACGATAATAAGCATCATACTTATCGATGTTTTGTGCCGTGCAAATAAGAGAAAACTGAAGCTTAAAGGGTACAAAAAAGAAAATACAAACTTAAATGGTCAAAGGCAAGTGAAAATTTCAGAATTTCATTTCAATTCAATAAAGATTTGAGTCAGATTCTCTTACATGTCAAGAGAAATCAGTGAAGCGTAACTTGCCTTTTTTTGAAATGACTCTTACTTTTCATTTAAGAATTCTAGAATTTTTCTGACTTAGTCATCAATTATTTCAGGATTCAATGAATTTCTAAAACAATGTAAAATTACTTTTTTCCTTTTACAGACCATCGAGAATCGATCGTAGGACGGATAGGACTACAATGCTTTTAGTTGCTGTTCTTCTACTTTTTTTAATAACAGAATTTCCTCAGGGGATATTCGGACTTCTCAGTGGAATATTGGGAAAGTGGTAAGAAAATTAAATTCTACGCTTAATCGAATTTAAAGTTTATTTTCCTTCCTAAATAAAAATGAAAAAGCTTTCTTAGGCGATGCTACATTCTAGTTGGTGAAACAATGGACCTTTTAGCTTTAATAAATGCTGCCATAGGCTTTGTGTTATACGGAAGCATGTCAAAACAATTCCGAATGACTTTTAAATCACTTTTTTTTAAGGAACGTTCTCAAAAAATTGAGTTGACTAGAATGACTAACATTAATAATACAACAACCAACGTTTACGTCTGACTAAGATGTGGAAGTTTGAGAAAATGCTTACGATGCTTTAGGTCAGAACATTAGGCGAATGTACATTATATTCCCATTTAAAATGATTGATTGGCGAAAGAACCAGTCGCGGAATTTCACACAACATCTTTAGGTTTTTCTTTCAATTATAAATGAATTCACATTCATCATACCGTCGTCAAGTTAAGTCAGTCAGTGACATAGCAGAGAAAATTTATTAATGATAAGAGAAAATCCAAAGATTTTTATTTTCTTTCTTTCCTCATACGCATGAGGTGAAAAAGAAGATTCAAAAATGTATGTGTAGAAGGCTGAGAGACCTTCAAAATTGTGTTTCTATTTTTAGATAAATATCATGTCATCAAAAGATATTTAACTCATGTCGGAAGCATCTAACATTTTGAAAAATTTCCTAAACATTTCCAAAAATTAATCCTAGAAAATAATTTTTTTTGTCTTAAACAAATTTACCTAAAATTTGAATTATTGTTCTATGTTATCTGGTCATGTTCTATAACTAAATAATTAATGGATGTGATAGTTGCTAAAAACTTTCATTTGAATATTTTGCTCTTGAATGAAATTTGATGTCTTTTCCGACAATTTTAGTAGTCGAAAATTCAATCAAATCAATTCTGATGAAATGTATGATATTTTACTTCCTATTTAAGCACACGGTGTGAGCTTATGTTGTGCTTTAATATGATTGTAAAAACCATATGCGAATTATGAAAACAGGGAAACAATTTTTCAAAATTCCAATATATATTTTTCAAAATGAGCCCAAACCAAAATTTATATATTGCGATTTTGCTCAAGAATGAGAACATTAATTGATACAAATCGACGAACGACTTACGAAATCCTGATTGAATGTTTCAAGTTATTAAGAGAATGATGCTGAGATGAGAATGAGGTAGATATGAGCATTGAAATATTTTAAAAATAAAAGATGTATTTAAAAGAACAAATTTATTTTTTTATTTAGATATTTATTAAAAATTTTCATGAATGAAACCTCCGCTAAAAATTTCAGAATTTTGTAATTTTATCTCTTTCAGTTATGAATTCTATTCAAATCTTGCATAATCAAATATTTTCTAATGTTTCTATGGAATTTTATATTAAATCAGAAGCAACATGCTTGTTAGCTATTTTATTTATTTTCTCAGCAATATCAGTAAAATGATAAAGCTTCGCATTTAATCTTTAAAAAATTTATCTTAGAAAGATTATAATGAAAAAAGAATCAACAATGATGAAGCTTTTAAATGTCTTCTGATGACTGTTTTCGTTTCATTGTTTTTATTCAACTATTTAAAGGTAAGTTGATAAGATCATGATTCATGCAACGAGAAATTGTAATGTGACCTTTTCAATTCCTCCAAGCAACAATTTTCCATTTAAACAGAAGATTTTAACAGCTGATAGATCAACAATTTTCCATCTGACATGATTCGAATGGTTCAATAAGGATTGAGTTTATTTTTGTGATGTGAAAACATCTGTAAACAGCAGTTTTATAAACTTTTGTGTATTTATTGGTGTGCCCGTGGCCAAGGTGAATAATGCTTCACTAACATTAACACAAGAAACCAAAACCCGTTTAATGACGTCAATCAGATGTTTTGAAAGAAGTAAGACGATTATTCCACAAGTGGCACACTTTCCAGTCGCTTTCTACCTCACACTTTTGTTGATCTACTATTTAGTTTGTCTGCTGAATCAAAGAGTTGTGCAAGTTGATATGAAATAAATTTTATTTTTAACAATTTTGACATTTTCTTAGATGATTCCGAATAAAATTCAATGTCGAAAGATGAAAAAAGTTGATAGGAACCAGTTTAGTAGTGTTTATAACTTATTGGCGTTAACATCGTTTTAATAAAGTCGTCTCAAGAAACGATGTATACTTTAGATTATTCTGATGCGTTGCTGCTTTATTATTTATTTTTTGCAAAGTAAGTAAGATGTGGAACAAAATTAATATCAATACATTTATTATTTATGCTTATCATTGCAGAATATTGCCAGCGTTGGTCACATTTTTTTTCGACAAACGTTTCAATATAAAAATCAAATTCAAAAGCATTTCGCTTCTGAACGCAAGCATACAAAATATTTATATAAAATGGGCAGGTTATGAAATTGTAAGTGTTGAAGTTAACAATGACGACATTTTAGTAAAATGTTGTTTTGGTCGGTGATTTTGCTTGGTAAACATTTTTCGAAAAGAAAAGCAATGTCCATGAAAAGAAATGTCAGAATAATTTGTTGTAACATAAGCTGGATGAGAAGAATAGTAAAATATAACTCTTGTTAGATCTAGCAAAACCACCCGTGTTACCACCTTAAAGACACATTTGTTACATTAAGTTTATTCATTTCGTTTGCAAACTCAACAGATGAGACATGACACAATTTATCTTATCATTACAGTCTGTGGCAGAACTAGGATTGAAGACGAAATATTTCAACTCGGAATATAATAAACCTCTTTGCATTGAGTTGGAAGAAGTTAAAATTAATCAAACAAATGAAAATGAAGTCGATAAAACAACTGAGAAAAGCTTTTGTAGGAATAAAAGCGAAGTATTTGAAGCAAAAGAGAAAAATGTCACTGATAATTACTCAAGAAAGATGAAAGAATTTTCAACAAACTTTCTTAATTATGTTTTACAATTTATTCCACCTACAACAATGATTTTTCTTCAGGTAGTTAGTTTTATTTATTGTTTTATTAATCTATTTAAGCTCTGTTTATTTATTATTTACATTTTTATTTTTTCTTTCAGTTTCTTGAAGTTCAGATAAAAAACTTTTCCACAATTGGTGTTAATAGAGAAAAAGGCCCTTTTGCTTCCCTGGCTATACCAAAGATTAACCTTTCATTCGATGGTTGTGTTGTTAAAAACAATCGAACACTTTTTATTGCTCTTGCTTTGCAACACATCAAAGTAAGTCCTTTTTTACTCGACCTTAACGGAAGACGTCACATTTCTGATTCTGAATTATTTAGTCAAAATTTTATGCGTATAATAAACAAAATCCTTCACGCAAGCCCCATCAGGCATGTCTGGCGGAAGTAGTTTTTGATTGTACATTAGAAGCACGTGTGGTATGGAATGATGGAAAATTGTTATATGAGGTGAGTTTTCATGAATATTAAATTTCTGTAAATATTTTTCACATAACTGAATCTTTAATGATGAAGTCATTGAAAAGCTCGTTGTGAAACTTTAAAATTAAACACAAACTTTTCTTCATTTCGTGGAATATCATTTTAGAATTTGTTATTAAATTGAAACATTAACGTGATGAAGTTTTGCAATATTTCCCTCAGATTTTTTTTAATCATTATTTGAAAATCAATTTTGAAAATTCTTTTCAGAAGTTGCATGTGTTGATAAACAATACTCAAGTGACGTTTTATGGAGGACTCTTTGATATGATTGAACATGTCATGCTGCACACGAAATATAATTTATCATCACCATCATCCAACGCTTCTGAGTTTGAGTTAGAAAGTGTGAAACCACCTGAAGCAACTGTTGATGTTAAACATTTGATTGAGAAATTAACACCAAATTTGATTATAATTCAAGTGGAAAATACGGAGGTGAAATCATTCAACAAAAGTTCTTCTTATCATTATCATCTTCTTCTGCAACGCATCGATGTAAAAGGAAACTTTAAACTAGCAAAGTCAACAAGAACAAGAATATCCAATTTGAGAATCTACACACCTTTACATGAAGTTATGCATTTGAAGGAGCTTTTAGTAGATGGGAAGTTATGCCAAAATATTATCACGTCAGGAATTCGGATTAACACACTTTACTTAGTTTACAACCATGAAGACATTCATGGGTGGTTTAAGAAAATATTCCTCGCTGGAATGAAATCTAATCGAAGGGAATTAATAATTAAGGCTTTAAAGATGATTAACGAAAAAATTGTCGAGTTTTATTACTCTGAATTTATTCAAAGTGTTTTCGACAGTATAATTTTGAATAATATGACAGAATTGTTAAACATCACTTTGGTGATTGAGTTGGAAGATGAAATTTCTTCCCTTAATGCTTCACAAGTTAAATTTTCATTGGAACAATTAGACGAGTTGAGGAAGGTTGCTTACAACGACTACACAATGAAATTATTGTTTAAAGATAGAAATTGGGTGATAGAATTGAATAGCGACAGTCCTTTGTGCTGGTTTATGGACCAAAAATTTCAATTTCTTAATAAGGATTCAAAGAAAACGTATATTCGAGGTAGCGCTATTTATATTGGAAATTCGTTCATCCGTTTACATAGTCATGACGACATTCACAAATTGAAGCTTCGACTTGATACTTTTCGTTCCGAATACAGTAAAAAGTTAACAACATTTATCGTGCAATCTGTTAAAAGTTACAAAGAGTACATCGATTTGTTCGGTCAATTGAAAAATAAGGAAGATGAAGTTATCTCAAACGTTAACAAATTGGACTCAATCGAAATGATCCTAAAATTAATCGACCTTGATATGATCATTTCAAATATTTCATGTTTCTTCATCAATCGCCATGATGTTTGTGTTTTTATAAATTTGAAAGAATTCATTTCAACCGACAGTTTTAATTACATTTTGGACACAATGGAAGTGTCGACAGTTGATTTTTCTTGTTATGATTCAGTTTGTGATCTCTCAGAATTCTCATCAAAAAATATTACCACAAAAATGTTGAAAGTTAATTTATTTGCTTCTAATGATCAGCCACAAATTTGTGTTGACTTTACAACTAAACTTGAATGCTCATGGAACGCACATTTTTTGCGACATGTGCTATCTTTAATACGAGATTTTCATAGATTTAAAAGTAGTGTGGAAAGTGCCTTGGGTTTAACCCAGAAACAAAAAACTTTACTACCTCGCTCACTTCCTGTGGCTCTTGATATTAAGAAACTTAGAAATATAAGGATCAAACATTCTGATGTTAATGTAGATAAATTAATATTATTGATAAATGAACTTTCTGGGGAAAATTTATTTTTTTATCATTATTTTACTTGAATAATCTAATCATGTTATTTCGTTACTGATTTATGTGTAATAAAAAAGAATGAAAGGAGCAAAAATGATTTATCTTTCTCATAATTTTATATAAATTACGTTCAAATCTAATCAGAAATTTCAAATTTGCTTTCAATATATTCTGTCACGGATGTAAGATAAAAGGAAAACTTCAAAGGTTACAAATTTAACATTTAATTCTATACAGAAATTTCACAAAGCATTTCACGTGTTTCAGAAATTTGTTTAGTGTTGTGTAACGTTTGCTGCTTTTGATCAATGTCGACAAGGATCAAAATTACAACAAACATATTTGTGCAAAATTCCAAAGATCCCTTTCGTGTCACTACATTTCATCCCAATTTGTAAACATCTACTTAATTCCGATGATGCGTCATATTGAATTCATTCTAAATGTTCTGTCAGATGTCTATGCTTAAATGGATATTCGAAACATCTTTAAATATTTTCAATGCTTTCTCAATTACGATTTTAATTATATAATGCTTTTATAATAATAATTTATTCATTGTGCGTAGTTAAAAATTACTGGTACCTAATTGCTATTTGAATTGAAAATTTCATTGTTTATGCTGCATCATTTAAGTCACGAAGCCTTGAAAATTCCACATGGATGAACAAAATCTCTTCGTCTCAAATATTGCAAGGGGCTGTTCATCGAATAAAATTGGCCGGCAGAAGCACCATTGATGCATTGAAGCACTAGACAAATTCCAAGAAAAAGTAAACAAATTCTTGGAAAAAGGCCATTTTTCTTGAAAAGCACTAGTGGTTTTTGATGCTTCATTTGGAGGCAGCCGGCAGAAGCACTACGATGATTTCCCCCTTTAAATATTGTCTCACAAGTTTCCTCTCTCAAATCATCAGAGACTTGAGAATGGATTTCGAAAATGACGACGTGAATTTTGATATCGATGATGTTCTCTCGTTTTTCTCTTAAATAATATTAGAATTTCCCTCAAGATGTTCTCGACAATATCCTCTTACTAAGAAATCCATCCAACATGATTTTACGTTTTGAAAATGTCATCTGTTTTCAAAGAATCTTAAACAACTCTTTTGCAATTCATCAGTATATAATTAATTAATTCTAAGAAATTAAGTCACGAAAATTTTAATTTCTTCCAAGAGTATTCGGAATACCTGAATTATTATTTTTAGTGAATAATGTGGAAATTTATGTTGTTTAACATATTTCTATGTAGAATGAAATATTTCTAGATCTTAAATGTCAAACCAACTCAAATAAGGTTTTATTCAATAATGCAAAATTTGTGCGCATAATATTCATTTTCATATGCGATTTTTTTTTTTTTTAAATCCCATATTTATTATACTCTGATAATATAAACAATAAAATGCTTGTAACATATCAGCAAAAAAAAAAGTAACAGTTTTGGGAACTACAATAAATGCATTTGTGTAATAAAAAAATTATTGAAATTAAATATCTACATAAGTGGAATTAGAGAAAAAAAAAAATTTTTAAGAATTAATGTATACTTAGATATCAAAATTTCAGTTTCAAATAAATAATTATTTCTTCAGTTAAGCAATTCAATGAGAGTCATTTACCTCAACGAAAGAATCGAATAAGTATTCTTTCAATCTTTTCTTTAATGATTTAAAATTCTTTAAAATTTCAGGTAATTCATTAAATTTGATGAGAATGAGACCTCGTCTGTAGAAATCTGCAAGCCCATATCTACTTTCATATTTAACAACATAGAAATTTCCGATTTGTCTTGTTCCATGGCTATGTATTTCATTTACATATTTTAACTCAATATTGTTTTTTAACAAATTATTTTTAATCTTGTATGCTAAAATTAATAAATGATAATCATTCAGTACTGGAAGTGGAAGAATGTTTTGTGAGAAAAGATCAAATGAGTGTGATAAATGATTTTTCAATTGAATAAATCGTAAAAACTTCTTTTGTGTTACATAAAGTACATTTTGTGATGAAATTGATGCAACACTCCATAACGGGTTCATGGAAATTAAATGTGAGTAAATATTTGAGAAATAAAGCTGATAAGATATTTTTAGTGATATCATTTTACGAATCCTCCGTATAACATATGTACTTTTTCTTATTTCAATATTTGAGTAACTATAATTTATTTATATTTAGAAGTAGGTATAATTTTATTTCATGGTTTTTATTAAATTTTCATTAATTTCCCGGTAATCATCATTCGCGCCATCTGGTGTCAACCTACCGAAATATGATGTAATAAAAAAAGTTGCAGCTTGCTTGAAGGAACAACTTTCCCAAACACACCATGTAGCTAACTCTTATGGCTTAGCCTGTAATTAAGTTTTTCTGATTTTTCTTGGCTTCTTACTATTCTCGCGCCATCTGGTGACAACATACTGAAATAAAGTATGAAAAGAAAAGTTGCAGCATGTTGTAAGCAACAACTTTCTCATACACACCTCATACCTAAACATAATGGTTTAAGTTATTTCGGTTTTAAGTATCGTCTGTAGCGCATATAAACGGTTTTTAGACTCTTTTCATACACGGAATTAGAAACTTTCGCCGGAATTCTAGTCAAATCCTTGGAAGACAAACGTCTTCTTTTTTCAAAGAAGATCTCATCAAATGTTAAAAAAGTAAAATAGATATTGAAGTCTATTATCATATCAATTTGAAACGCCAAACACTTCTCAATAAAGTTGAGAAACAAAAAGTGTGGAAAATTTCAAAGTCAGACAAAGAGAAACCAGTCGGAATTTGATGATTCTACTCTATTTAGAAGTAAATGATTAATAAGATTTTCTAAGAAATGTTTGAAAATTGCTTTGATAATTTTTTTATAAATATCAATTTTATGACAAATCTGTTCAAGTTATGATTCGTTTGTTAATGTTACATAGGTACTCATTTAAAAACTTTTCAACAAATGTCTGTTAAGAAAGATGGTAAAATAACGATGAAAATGTTATTTCGAAACAGGAAAATTTTGCTGAAAATTGTACAAATAAAAATGTTTTCTGATGCAAACAATAGCAACGAATTTGTTCATGTAGAAAACGTACAAAAATGCGTTACGAATTCATCAAAAGCAAATGAAATATATTTTTGCTTAATGCTTTAATTAGGTTAATTAGCAAGGAAACAAAAATTAAATTGGGAATAATGAGAATAAACTCATATTTATTTTATATAACAGAAAAATGGCAAAACATTAAATGTTTTCATGTGATATAAAATTTTATTTATAAATTTAAGAGATTAAAGATTTAAGGGATTTAGGAGCATTATTTTCAATGCTCAATATCGTTCACATAGATTAATCTTTTTTCATAGTTACAAATGAAATTCAATTAATTCTCTTAAATGTCAAATGACTCTTTTTGTTTTCTTTCAAAGTTTAAAGTTTAAACCAAATCATCATCGGGGTCACCAATGTTACAAAGTTTATTTTGTTCTTTGTCATGTTCATTATCCCCATTTAAGACGGCGTCAGAGTCAGTCTTTTCATTTTGAGTTTGTGGTATTTTCGTTTCTTTCACTTGATGAACAACCGTCTTTGTTTCTGGGAAGGGCAAAGTTGAAGGCAATTTCGATAGAACCACTTCAGCTATTTGTACGTACTTGAAGTAAAAGAATATGTGAAAAATCAAAACTTTTTAACAATATTAACTCACTTCGTTCGGTACTTTCATTGTGTCACACAAATTATAAAAGTTATTTAAATATTGTTGCGTTTCATCAGGATTTTTGAGACACTCCAAGCAAAATATTGAATAATTTAAGTAGATCAATGGATTTTTGATTGCTGAACTTGAGAAAATTGATTTACGAAAAGCTATTTGCGCGTTCTCAGTATCATTCAAGTAATAAAGGCAAACTAAAAATATAATAAATTAATGAATCAAAGTGAAATATTTAATTGGTTTTCTCTTTTTCTTTTACTTGCTAACATCATGAAGCTTTCAGCGTTATCGGGACGTCTACTCACAGCACTAACAAAACATTGAAAGGCAGAAGCAAACTGTTGAGCAGTCATTAGAACCACCCCGAGATTATATAAAACATTAAAGTTCAAAGGGCACATCCATAACGCCTTTTTAAGACATGAAATAGCCTGCGGGTGGGCAATTGATTACTGCGAAGTTTAAAGTCAAGCAAAGTGAAATATTACCGCAATTAGTTTGTTTTTGCGATAAAAACACATTCCAATGTTATTCCAGATCTCGAAACTTTCATCTTGAAGGTTCGGAATTTTCTTGTAAACATTAAGAGCAGCTTCGCCATCGTTTTTTGTCTGCATGATTGCTCCAAAAGCCAGAAGTGATTCAGCGTGTTTGTCGTCGATAGAAATGGCTTCTTCTAACTTTCCGTATGCTCGATCAACTTCATTGACTTTCAAATACAATATTCCTAAGGTGGGTAGAAACTCGATGTTGCCAGGAGAAACACTTAAAAATAAACACAAAATAATGTTCACCTTCATAATAATGATCTGATTTTTGACTACCAATTTTCAAGTAACTCAATGGCTTTTAAATAATCCTTTTCCTTTCTATAAATATCAGCAAGTGTTTTATAAGTTTTTATTTGCTTTCCGCACATAATTGATCTTTTAAAATAATCTTTTGCGTCAAGAATATTTTCTTTGTTATGCTTTACATTGAGACGAAGTAAATCTCCAATGTAATGATAAACTTCATGATCTGGAGAGTCCAGCAGTGATTCAGCTTTCAGAAATATCTCTAAACTTTGATTGTATCTTCCCATTTTAAACCTTTAAATAAAAAGGGAAAAGAAAATTAAGTTGTAAATACTTGAATTGTTCAACTTTCATAATCCTCTCCAAAGAAGGTCAGAAAATATAATTCTATTGAAAGTTAAGTGGCACACAAACAATGTTTTTCCAATCTCCTTGTAATTTCTAGAATTTTTCGAATCAAAGTCAATGGTTCGCTGAAAGCTCTTAAGTGCTTCTTGTAAGTGATCTTCTTCTCTTAAGATTAATCCCTGAAATAAAACAGATTTCTTACTTAATAATACTTTGATAATTTTGCGTTACAAATTGCTTACCTGAATGTAATACAAATATTCTTGATTATAGCTTTGATTCAATTGTTTTTCGATTAGCTTCTTACAAAAGTCAAAGTCATGGACAAGGAACATTTTGTGAAGCAACCAGTTAAGGTTATTGGAAAAAGTCACATCTGAAGTGAATATATAAGAAAAAGTCAATAAAATTGAATTATAAAAAATATTTTTATGAAGCTTATTAAATTTTCGACATGTTGTGTATCTGACTATATTTAAATTTCCACCTTTCAAATTGTTATTTTGCTTATCCCTTAATACGCCGAATTACCTTTCTTAATATTTTGTTTTGTTGTCGATATCGACTTCGGAGCTATGTTTTGTGTGCTTTCATTTATTGCTACATGATTATTGTTCATTTTCAGAGATTTTTCAGGAAAATACAAAATATGAAAAGTTGTAAAGTTTCCTTCGTGTTACTATAGCAACATTAATTCAAACAGTTATGTTAACCGATTATACCGACTCATGTGAAATTAATTAAATTAGAATCTACTCTTAAACATAATAAAATATTTTAAAATTTAAAGTTCATCATTGAATTATTTAGAATATCAAAATATTTCCTCGGAAATAAATTCTATTATTAACAAATGTTATCTTTATAAATCATAACATAGTTATAAAGCATTGTTATGTTACGTATAGCAACAACTTTCAAGAGTAAAATGTTTATAAAATTAATTTTTTTTTTCTTATCTACTACATTTCATAAGTAGGTAGTTGACGAAGTTTATAATTGTTCACATGGTCGTTACGAGAACAATTTCTATACATAAATAGTTTTGTTCCCATACAAATGCTTTTTACAATGTTAATCTTCAGGAGGTTGAAACATCCTTTTTTATTAAAAATTTTGATGGAATTTGCGAAGTAATTGAAATTCAAAGTACTCCAGTCTTTCATCATAATTTTCAACATTGTTATTAGTAACATATTCAAGGATCAGAAAATATTTTCTTCCTTTCCAAGAACTTAACACGAAAGCAATGAAATAAAAATAAATTGGGGAGTGTATTCAACTTTTTAATTTTTCTTAAAAATACTTTTTAAAAACTTTTAACATATTCATAATTTTTAATCGGTTTCTTTTTTCAACCGATGATTTCTTAATGTTTCCAGAAATATTTAAATATATGCTAATAAGTTTAATTGAAAATTTCTTCCCACTTCAAAAGTCGATATGTGAAATATGACGTGGCGCCATCTATTATTGGTTTTATAGAATTTCGAAAAGCTCTGAAAGAATGAAGAAAAGCTTCGAATTGATTTGGTTAATTGGTAACCTTCGTAAGTCAATATTGTGAAATCAAAACAAGACATTTCATTTGTGTATTAAAAAAAGAACTATTAAAGAGTTTAGACTATATTCAAGACGTTAGATACATAATCATCAAGTATTTCGTTGAATTGAAATGTAATATATGAAATACATAGAAAGATTTGATGAAAGAAAAGAGTTCTGCAAAACTAATATTAGTTTTTGATAAATGTTCTTATCGTCGCAATCTATACAAAAAATGACCTTCCTTTCGCATAAGCACAAAGCAGATTTTCGGCGTCAGTAATGACCATTTATATAGGACAAAAAGAAGAAATTTGTTTTTCTATTAAAATCTCTTTTCTTTCTTACAAATCTGCGTGACATAAACTGACGTGTAGCAAATAGAAACTTAAGTACCTTCATCCGGAAAACTGTAATTCTGAAAAATAAGATTGATGACTTCCTCTAGCATGTAACAGGATCTAAGTTATTCGTATTATAAATTTCCCAATATAAACATATCAAATTTTATCAAATCATTATGAATTTAAAGCTAAATATTTATTAAACGCTTTTCCTACAGATTCAAATGCGATGTCAATGTAAACATCATGTACTATGTAGATTCATTTTCAAAGAAACGGCAACTTATACTCCAGCAAATAGTAAACAAAAGATAAGAGTCTTTTATTAAAGTGCTCATGTGGTTCGACTATAACACCAAAGAGGAGAAACAAACAAGCAAATTTAACATGTTAAGTAAAACACAAAAGTTAAGCCTAGGAATTACTGTCCTGTTAATCGTTGATGTTATTTGGGTAGTCTCAAGTGAATTGACAAAGGTAAGTCAGAAATAATATTCAGTTTTATCTATTTAAAAGTTTATCTCATTATTTCAGTTCTTATATCAAGAAGAGAACTTTGATAAGCCATTTTTCTGCACATTCTTCAAAACATCGCTTTTCGCATTGTACTTAGTAGTGATGGGACTTATAACTCCATGGCGAGATTCCTGTAGTAAAAATGGAAATTATCAGCCTGTTGATTCTCAAAATGAAGACGATAATTTCTTTACAAATGGAGGGCTCAGTGACTCAACATTTGTGCCGATTAAAACGCCAGATACTGAGAGTGATGATTCAAGTATAAGAAGTGTTCGATTTAGTAAACTTGCTGAAGTTCGTGAAATGTCTGCTGAGGAAGCTACTGAAGCTCTCATGTCGCGATTATCTTACTCAGCATCGCTTAGGGGTCGTCGACAGAAAACACATCATAAAACAGCAAGAACTGCATTAATGTTTTGTATTCTTTGGTTCATCGCTAATTACATGTTTCAACTCGCACTTGACCCAAGTGAAACGGCTCTTGTAACTCTTCTAAGCACAACATCGAGTCTATTTACACTTGCACTTGCTGCAACATTTCCATCATCGAGTGGTGATCGATTCACAATTTCAAAGTTCTTCGCAGTTGTCATGAGTATTGGCGGTGCCTTACTGGTCACGATCAGTGAATTAGATGAGCCGAAAAATTCTCGTGGAATTGTTTTGAGCGTGTTAAGTGCTTTCTTTTACGCATGTTATCTGGTATTAGTCAAACGTAAGAATGACACCGATGAGAAAATTGACATAATCGAGTTCTTTGGGTTTGTTGGTTTATGGAATATTCTCTTGTTATGGCCGATCTTTCTTGTACTAAACTTCTCGCAGCTTGAGACTTTTGAGATGCCAAATCGTCAGCAACTTCTTGTACTATTATTAAATGGACTGATAGGAACTGTAATCTCGGAAGCTTTGTGGTTGTGGTGAGTTTTTTTATTTATTTCAATCGATGTTGAATTTTCAGGGTAAAACACCAACTTCGGGGCATGAATTAAATTCAGAATTTTCTCATTTTCAGGGGTTGCTTTCTAACTTCAACTCTTATTGGAACTTTGGCTATGACACTTCAAATTCCTCTTTCAATGGTGCTTGATATGATTTTGAGAGATAAAATTTACCCTTTGAACTTCTATTTGGGTTCAATTCCAATGTTTTTATCGTTGATATTTGTGGCATTTCTAATGAAGTTCGATGACAGTGATCCCGTTCTTAGGTGTCTTAAAATGTTCAATAGAAAGTTTTGGCATTGCAGAAGAGCGAATGTTGTAAAGTAAGTTAGTTGAAAAGTTTAAAGGCAATAAAAATGCTTAATTTTCTTTTTTTAACAGAATTCCTGATCTTGATGAACAAAATGAATCATTGATTGACAACCACGATAACTAAACAATGGATGGAAATTTTTAAAAAAATGAAAACTAATTCGAGCAAATTTGTGATATTTTGATGAAGAGAATTGTTGGCGTTCTTCAAAATTAAACAACAATTCGAAAAAGATTTTTCGTTAATCATTGAATGATTAAAATTAAATGAAAAGAGCGCTTGATGGAAGTAGTGAGATTACTCAAACCAACAATCTAATTGCAGGTGCGAGATCAGATTGAGACCGGATTAAAACTTATACATGCATTGGCACAAACTTAAACTTTATTTAAGCCATAAAGAGACATCATATAAATTCTTAAAACTTCAACTTTTGAAGGCATTCCGTTCATTGTCAGTATTAGAAATGTGAGTAACATTCCGATCTTCTGACATGTAAATTGTCCCACAAGACTTAGATAGTAAACTATAACTTGAGTTGTGTCCACCAAATATTTTAATAAATATACTTACTACTTTAGATCGCGCAAATTTTCAAAATTTCTTGTGTTCATCCTAAATTTTATCATCTTAATGAGATAAATAGAGAAAAAAAAATCAAAACACGAAAATTCTGGAAAAATTTGTGTTGTACAAAAAAAAAATTATTTTTGCAAAATGTTAGAATTTGAAACATAAGAAAAAAGATCGAACAGTTTATTGATGTGCTTAGACATAGCTTTGCTGTCAGTAATTAAATGAGAGATGAAAGACCTTAAGTGATCTCTAATGAATAATGATGATTAAAAACAATTTCTTCAAGCCCAAATATTCTTAACATGAGATTAACGAATGGCGGATAGATTTATCCATTAAAGCCAATTTTCGTCATTACAAAATAGTAAAAGATTATTTAAAATTGGTAATTAACTGAAACATGATAAGAAGATCTCATGTTATGAACATTCAGTTGTTAAATTCATAACTAAAGAATCTTCTCGTCTCATGCGAACCTGAAATTGACAGACAAAAAAAGTGACTATTTATTATTGCTTAAGGTATAAAAAGATGTTAAAAAGCATAAAACTAAATGTTTACAGTCATTTACAGTTAGGTTCCTAAATAACGCAAAAACTAATATAGAAAATTGCCACAATAAAGAGAAAAAAAAATCAAATCATTCATCATTTCTATTTGCTGATAAATTTTCCTCTCCAGCAATTGTGAAAATTTATTTTTAGCCACTTCAGGTAATGAACGACTAAACATTTCATTGAAAAACTCCAAAATTAATCAACAATGTTGAAGTGAAAACAAGCAAAAGTTATGTTTGATTTGCTTTTTCAATTATGTATATGTTTGGGAATTCCCCCATAAACTTGTCAGCTTTAATCCAACATGATGAATCACTGACAAATATTACATTCTGGAATATTCCATACCAAGGTAGCTACAATAAAATCTCCGAGAGTTAAAAACAAAAGAATGGGAAACGTTTGAAATAAAACACGCAAAAATAATAAAAACGAAGAACGACTCGCTGTCAAAACTTGAAGTTCACAAAGATCACCAGTTTACTGATTTAAGTTTCTTTATCTGTTTATGGATATTTTTGTATTCGCAATTTAAAAATTCTCGTCTAATTTTCCCACATTCTTCAGACATATCAAACACAAAGGAAGTTCTGATTCTAACTTGAATTTCTGCATTAAAATCATTGAAGTAGAAATAATCCGTCAGAGACAGAATGTCTCGAAAAATTCATCGAGGAATTATAAGCAATTTCAAACGAATATTCAACCAATTTGTCTTGCTCATTTAATAATTCCACATTAAAAGTTTCCGTAAACAAAATACCGTTGAACTATGACTACAACATCTCTATTGACGTAAGAAAATCTTCGCTTAATTAAACATAGTAAATACAAAATCGAAAGAGTTAAACGCTTGAAGCTTGTATTTACACGTCACATGATTTTCATTCATAAATGGAATTTATACAAATTTATTCTACTCGATTTAATTCTGTTCACTGACCCATGCTGAAGAAGATTTTTTGGGAATCCCATCTCAATTTTAAGTGTCTTCTTATAGTCTACTGTTTCTTAAATTATTGTGTGATATTTAATGAATAATTATTAAGAAACAAAGCGCCTGAAGAGTTTAAAGGCAAACAAGGAATTGAAAGAACAAGCTTTACATTGGTGAAAGCAATGAATGTTGGATATAATTAGCCTTATGAGTGTTATTTACAGAACTTTTGTCTGAATTATCTTTCATGCTGTTGAAGAATGCCAGAATATCCCTAGCAATAAATTCTTATTAAAAAAAAGAATATCAACGAAATTGCGAAAAAGACGAGATACAACGGTTAAAAGTTCATTGAACTTTCCGGCTGGGCATCGTCGACCTTTGTCGAAATTTTTAAGTTCGTTGACGTCATGTTTGGATGATCCAATAAATTACCTCGTGTGGTCATTTTTGTAACAATTCTTCTGTTGTCGAATACGTTTTATTGTTAAAGTCAATTTTTGTTTTGTTTTCTTAAAATGGAACTAGAATTAACTGCCGCTTTCGAGGACTTAGTTCAAAGTATGCAAAGCTTAAATCAAAGTATGCATTCATTAACATCACTAGTTACCAAATTTAATCAATTTATGGCTGAAGCTTTTGAAACTCTAGCTCGAGAAAGAAATGGAAATCTCAGAGGAAATATTCAAGAATGGAAAAGTGAATCAAGATTTGAAAAAAAGGAGAATGAAAGCAGTACAAAGATCGTTCATCCATTTAGAAAGCACCTTATGAGAAAAAGATTCTTGTGATTATCACATTGTCATCAGGAATGTATATGCTGATAGCGGGATTTTCCAAAAAATATTTAATGATGCTAATTGATTTAAGATTTTTCAAATAAATGTTAGTCAATGTTACCTGGATGTATACTTCAAAGCTATCGATTATCGTCATCATTACAATCAACATGATTCAAATATTTAACCTCAGTTATGTACAATTCATTTATCACGTTATTAATAATTAAAAAGTTCAATCAAGTCATCAAAAAAATCGTTTTTCGTCTTCATTTTCGTCCAACAAGGTATAAGCTACCATAGACTAATTATGTTTACACTCGATGATTCATATAGAAAAAATGTTCTTATTGATGAGAAATCCCCTACATTAATAATAACATGTCAACAAATGTGACTAAATGATGCTTATTATTTCTAGAAAGTATTTAATCGTCTTTAAACAAGTCAAGATTTGTATCTTAATTCATAATTCTAATGAAGTTTGCTCAGCCACAGATATACAACACAAATAAACTTTTATCCCTAGTTCTTGGTGTCGACTTTTCTTATATAAATAGAACGTCAAGTGATGAAGAAAATTATTTCGTATTAAACCAGCAGAACAACACATCGTGTAAAAAAGTTGAAACCAAATCAAGTTACTTAAAAATGTTTAAAGTGAGCTTTACGAAATATTTTTACGAATTTCATATCCATCTAATTAGTTTGAATTTATTTATTAGGAAATTTTTGTGATTGTAAGCCTCATGGCAATAGTTATGGTTCAAGCTCATCCCGCAGAAGATTTAGAAAGTCAACAAGCTGACCAAGTTGATTTGAACCCAAGTGAAGTTGATTCTGGTTCTGATCTTGAAGGGTCTGAATCAAGATATGGAGGGTGGGGACGAGGATACGGAGGATGGGGTCGTGGATATGGAGGTTGGGGTCGTGGATACGGTGGATGGGGGCGTGGGTATGGAGGTAAAAAAAATCCTAAATTCCTGTGTGAGAAATTCTTTAATTAAGTGAACTTCTAAATTTATTTTCACAGGATATGGCGGATGGGGTCGTGGCTATGGAGGTAAAAATAAAATCCCAAATTCTATAACACAAAGACTCTAATCAAGTAAATTTTTTTAATTTACTTTTACAGGATATGGTGGATGGGGCCGTGGATATTATGGACGACCGTATTGGGGCTAAAAATAATCAAAAGTTCTGATCAAGATTTATCGAATTTAATTTAAGTGATTTGTGATAAGATTTTAGAAAGAAATTAAGAAAGAAAATTTGATTTAAAAATATTTAAAACTTTTATTTTATTTTTCATTTATTTTTTTTTATTGGTTCTTCAATTCAAAAGCACTGTTATGTGAATTTTTTGTTGTTTACTGATCGTCAAGTTCGTTTTTCGTTTCTTTCTTGGGTTCATTGAAATCTAGATTTATGTTGGTGAAGATCTTGATGTTGTTGAAGCTTTTTTTTATTGTGGCCTCACATAATGATTAACAGAATTAATCATGAATATGCAATTAACACTTCTGTGATTTTTATTCTTAATAAACAATACTAAATAGAAGGATGATAATTAAGCGCATTTTATTTATTTCCTAGACAATTCATTTCAGTTTGCCAATATCACGATCATTCTTGATTTATTTTTTTTTTTGTATCTCAAAAAGGCAAAAATTTCATATTCTAAACTTTGTCATCCAATGTTAATTAATTAGAGAAATTTAGAGGAACAGCAAACTTAACTTGATTTTATGAATAAATTGTTAACGAGAAATTTAGGTCAAAATGTTTGAATTGATTTTTCAAAATAAATTATGTAGGAGACAATAAATGTAGCTGTAAATGACTGTTGCATGAAAGGATGTTATTTGATCACATCATAGATATTATGATGAATAGATCAAATATGTACATTTATGATTAGCATAAAATGAAAAACAAAAATAATTTTCATCATTCACATTAAATTTCTTCCGTCAAAAACTTGTTTTAATTACAATGTACATTGTTTGTACAATAATCGATTCGGTGATGAAACATTTTGCTTTCTTATAAAATTAATATCAATAAATCCAAAAGGAAAAACAAATTAAAAGAAAAAGGAAAATTCACAAACTTTAAAGTGTAAAACAGTTTAGTGAGGTCGTTTTTTCATATCTATGTGATTAATCGATCTTTAAAATTGATTTTGTTGATGGTTATTTTCAATTAAAAACCAAAATTCAATTCATTTAAAAGAACTATTTCGATGGAGGACTGCTGAAGTTGAAGTTGGTTGGAATTGATTGTTGAGTGAATTGAAAACCTGCCAAATAAATTCAAACATTTAATAAATTTAACTTAAATTAAATAAAGAACATAAATTTACCTCCACTTTTCTCAATTGCATCAGATCGCTTCTGATTTCTCTTCTGTTCAGCTGTTGTGAGAATTTGTTGAAGAGATTTCTTTTGATCTTCAGTTAAATTGGAACTTAACATGGTGAACCAGCTAGGATCTTGATTTGGAAGTTCTTTAAACAAAATCAAATGAAATAATATAAAATTCAAGTTTATTTAACAGAAAATCTTTCTTACCTCGCATAACATCAGAGAAAACGAGATATTCATCGACATATTCTGCATTCTCTTCTTCATCGAGAGGCGTCGTGAACCCTTCCAAAGCAGTTTCTTCCCCTTCATCGTCGTCATCCTCATTATCTGAGTCATCATCATCTGAATCACCATTCTGAAAGAAAAGATCATTAAGATGACAATCAATTGTTGTTTCATTAAACTTACCTTAATTTTAGCGGTAATATTTAATCCTTGCTCCTTAGCCTTACTTGTCATCAACTCAGAAATACGTTCCATGTAACTGTTGTCTAATTCATTCATTTCATCTTCATCGCTTGAAATTCCTTCCTCGCAATCATCATCATCTTCCTCGTCATCAGTTTCTTCCTCTTCTTCAGCTTCAGCCCTCGCTTCATAAGCTCGCTTTAATCCATCAAATATCATAATCATTGAGGGAATAATTTCATTTGACACTTCACTAAGAACTGTTGGTTTTGCATTACCCAGTGTGATGAGAGTGCACATCCCGACGATCCACAACTTCCTATCATGCACCCCAAGGAAACAGTCAGTATCGTGAATCCATTGCTTAACAAAATGTGAAAGAATGGAATCAGTTGAGTTCGGCATTGGCTGCTTACTCAAAATATCTAACAACGGAACAGGATTTGCATAAAGCGCTGCAATGACAACTTGCAAGCACATCGTTCTTAATTCTGATGTTTTAACTTCTCTTATCAGTCGACCAAAAACGAGCTCAACAAAACTTGGAATGCATTCGTTAAGTCTACCGCGACATTGAAGGATCATAACTTCCAGTAACTTCGCTGCATTGCATTCAGACTCTTCAGTCACTTCATTACTTGTCAAAACTTTTTTACACATGTTAAAAAGTGCCAACACATGATTCTGATTGGAAAGGAACGCATTTGTGTCGACTGTCACGTAGTTGTAAAGTGCTGGCATCATGTCGAGGAAATAATCGATACCGTCTTTCTCAAACATTTGATAAATGAACTCGAGAAGCTTCCACATGTCTGATGAAATGCTCTTTGATGTAAGATCGTAGATCAGCGAAAAGGCCTCTTCATAAAACTCATGAATATTATTTTGAATAATATGTCCAATGACTTGAAGAACGATCGGATGTAAATTAGCTAAGACGTCGGGTTTATTCTCCATAACTGACAACAACGTGTCCATTGTGTTGAGCAGTCCCATTGCTGTAATTGCTCGATCATCATTTGAATCATCACCTTCAAGAACTTGACTAAACGTTGTAGCCAAATGTTGACAAATATCCACAGCGATTGGCACCAATTGATCAGAAAATGAACAAACAATCTTCTGAAGTGCATTAGTTAAGTCTTCATTTTCAGTTTCACGAATAATCTTCAATAATTCAACTGTTATCGGCTTAATTTGATGTTCAATGTATTGATTTGATTCTGGTTGTGATATCAAATACATTTGAATGGCTACAGCGGCTTCAACTTTCACTGGTAAATCAGGATCTGTCAAGAGTGCATTTGTCGTAAGTTGCATGATTTTTGCGAGGTTTAAAGGATCTTTAATTCTGATTTCACTAAAACAATGCAAAACCCAACACGAGCGAGCACGAAGATGACCTTGAGGACTTTGAAAACCGGGGAAAACATATTGAACCAATAATGTCTCAACTTGATCTTTAAAAACTTTCTTCTTCGGTAAAACATCAGCTAAGCTTCCAACCATATGAAGAGCTCCATCTTTTTCCTTTGGCGTGATATTTGGATTATTGATGATCGTCAAAAAAGCATTCATAACATTAGTCAAAATTCCTTTTCTAGTTTTACATAAACTATGCAAGAGACTCTCTGCAGCAGGCACTGGCGATGAAATGTCATCAAATACATCAAACTTTTGTCGAATATATTCTATTGGGTCCATGTCCCATAACTCTTCATCAGCTTCTGAGAATGACATTAAAGGAAAGATGACGTCTTGAATGAGAGCAATCGCATGTGGTTTAATTATCTTCCATGTAAAAGCGTGTGACACTCTAAAATAAAATGTAAATAAAGGTTTTGAAACATTGAAACAAATAAAAATAGATTAAAATTCTTACGAGTTCTTCAAATAGTTCAAAATGTCAGTCATAACACGCGGCGATACATAACTTTTGTTTCTATATTCACCGAGAACTTTGAACTGAACTTGAAGTATTCCTGATGAGAATGTCGTGAGATACCATTTTGCGAATTCTTCATATTCCTTTGACACTACATTTCCTGGACTTCCGTAACGTTCAAACATTCTTGACATTATATGAGTTGCCCATTTCTTAACTTTCCACTCAGGAAGTTCCATATTTTCCTCTGAATTCTCGTCGAGCTTTTGTGGATTCATTGGACGATCGAGAGCTTGAACACATATCTCCATCCATTTCGAAAACATTTCTCTTGTGATAACATCAAGAGGTAGAGCGTATTGTGTGAGTGCGTAATAAATTTTAAGGATAAGTTTTTGAAGGAGAACAAATTGATCGTTGTCGTTTAATGGATCATGTTTCAATAAGTTTATCATAAGATTATAAACCATTGGAAGAAGAAGGTTCATCGCTTCTGTCAATGGTAACCTTTCGTTGGATTTTTTGTATTCGTAGTTTTTAACAAGTTGATAGAGACAGAGCATTGCTCCGTTCCATGCACTGGGATCATTATTTTGAAGATAAATGCTAATTTTATCAACTACTTGGGTCCAACGATCAGGGAAATCATGCTTAATTATATTGTTAATGCATACACAAAGCTGAACTCTTATTGGCTCCGGAGCAAGGACAATCGCATCAACAATGCTATCACGAACCATAGCACGATCTTGCTCATGGATAGAGAAGACCAGAGGTGTTCCAGGTAAGGATTCTTTTTCTTCCCAATTCTGTACAATTGTGTTTTTGAGGTAAATAACTCCAGCTTGTCGCACTGGCATGTCCACATCATTTTGCATCACTACTTGTAACAAACTTGGAACAAATCCAATGATCTTATGAACCTGAAGAAGAAAATAATAAAAAATGCATTCGTTGAGGTTAGAATCTTGTGAAGAAGATAAACATTTTTAAAGGAGTGTCACTCATTGCAGCAAAATTCGCATGGAAACACAACAAAGATATTTTCCGGTATTCATAACACGCAACATAAATTTATGGAATTTTTTTGACAAATTTGAATGAAATAAAACCGAATGACGATGAAGAAAATTGCATTATGAGTAAGGACAATGAACGTAAGTAAATTTTGTAGAACTTCAAGGTCAAGGTCGTTTGCACTTTATGATTATCATTTTAGGGTGTCATAAGATGCATGTAATTAAAATTAATGAGAAATTTAAAAAAAAATAAGCGCAATTTTAAAAAGTTCCATGTGTTCATTGCGGTACAAATTATAACAATGTTTCCTCTTCAATTCATCACTTATTTTCATTACCTGTTGTAATTGTTCATGCGCTTGTTGTTGCTGGTTAGCATCTAATGTAGCACGTAAAACTTCTATAATCTTTCTCGAATCCATTTTTATTAATTTATTTTTGTGCTTAATTTTCCGACACTCTAGAGCCCCGAGAGCACACGTTGAGTGAGTGTTTCTTTCTTCACACACATACGCATTTTCGTTAAGAAAACTCATGTACGTACACAAAAGCTTTCACACGTGCGTATGCAGAAGCCCTTTATAAACTACAGCTAAGGAAACAAAAAAGAAACTTTTCCTGTTTTCGAAGTGTCACATAAAAATTATTAACTCATTTAAAGACAAATTCCTATATTATCATAAAATTAATACAAATATGTTGCTAGAAGGCATTATCAAGCTGATTTGAGAATGATTTCAAAGTTCCTTTTTGATGTGTAAAAATTTCATTCAACACAAATATGTACAACTGATGTGTATTTTATTATGAGTTGTGTAAAACTAAATTTTCTGAGAAAAATAAAGCAAATAAACAATTACGATTAAACCTGTTGTTTATTCAAGAATCTCATTTTATTTACATTCGTGAAACTCTAACTATGTATAATTATAGATTGTGAAAAATAATAAGTGAAAAGTCATTCATAATATTCTTTTAAACAATGATTAGATATTTGATAGTTTTTTCTTGTGTCTGCTTCCTAATTAAAGAATCGAAAAGTGAAGAATTAGGATACTGCGCTCCATATAATGGAAAAATATGTAAATCACATATAAGTGGAGTGCAAGTTTGGTATCCATCAACAAGGTCTGGTGGATGGGAAAATGAAGAAATTACAACCGGATTGTTTGCTGAATTAATAGCCGAACTAGAACCACTTTGCGAGCAGCCAGCACAGAAATTGCTTTGTGCTTACGCATTTCCTAAATGTAAAATTGTCGATGAAAAAGTTACTAAGCTTCCACTTTGCTATGAAGATTGCATTGCTGCCGAAAAATTGTATTGTTACAATGATTGGGTGCTAATTGAACAAAACAAAGAAAGAGGAAAATACTTAAAAAATCGAGGTCACTTCAGACTGCCAAATTGCGAAGATTTGCCCAGATTTAATCGATCTTCTAAAATTCCATCATGCTCATATGTTGGCTTAACTGAAATGAATCAAGCTGAAATTTCTTGTGTGTACATTATTTTTTTAAAAATATTCAAAATTTTATAAAATATTTTCATTCACTTCTAGACGACTGTCGTGTTGGAAATGGGAAGCATTATCTTGGCACAGTCAATGTGACTGAGACAGGAATTCCTTGCCAAAGATGGACATCTCAATCACCTCATCATCATTACACTCCGCCTCTTGTTTTTCCTGAGTTAGACGATGCTGAAAACTTCTGTCGTAACGCTGGTGGACAAGAACCACAGCCCTGGTGTTATACAACTGATAAGCATGTTCGTTGGCAACGTTGTGATATTCCACTTTGTCCTAACTCAACTGACAAAATTGCAACGTTAGCTGTGAACACGACTAACTTGGAAATGGAAGCCGTTTTCACTCCAACATTGATCTTCATTCTTGGCTCCATCGGATTGGTGGCAATTCTTATAATCAACGTTTGTGTTCTTCTCATTTACCGCATTTCTCATTATAACAAAAGAAGTTATCCAACAACTGGCTTTACTGATATTGTGGAACAAAATAATGTTGACATTAACAAGTTGCCAGCTAATTCGAATTATCATCAAACTTCTGCTAAATTGAATCCCAAATTGGAGAAACTTGAATATCCTCGAAATGATATAATTTATATTAAAGATCTTGGACAAGGAGCATTCGGTCGAGTGTTTCAAGGAAAGGCACCGCGTTTAATTCCCGGTGAAGAATTCACTTTAGTCGCTGTTAAAATGTTGAAGGACGAAGCAAGTCAAGATATGCAATCGGATTTTGAGCGTGAAGCGTGTTTACTTGCAGAATTTGACCATCCGAACATTGTGAAGCTTCTTGGTGTCTGTGCAATTGGTCGTCCAATGTGCTTGCTTTTTGAATTCATGGGACGTGGTGATCTTAATGAATTTTTGCGATCATGCTCGCCAGCATTACAAACAGCAAGTCAACAAAAAACTGATGGTTTTCGACGTGAACTAACTCATCGAGATTTGTTAGGAATCGCTCGTCAAATTGCAAATGGAATGGTTTATTTATCGGAGAGAAAGTTTGTGCATCGAGATTTGGCAACGAGAAATTGTTTAATCAATGAAGACATGGTCGTAAAAATTGCTGACTTTGGATTGTCGCATAAGATTTACCTTCAAGACTACTACAAAGGTGATGAAAATGATGCAATTCCCATTCGTTGGATGCCACTTGAAAGCATCTTGTATAACAAATACACAATCGAGTCTGACATTTGGGCTTTCGGCGTTTGTTTATGGGAAATATTTTCGTTTGCTATTCAACCTTATTTTGGGATGACACATGAAGAGGTTGTAAAGTATGTGAAAGACGGAAATGTATTGAGTTGTCCCGAAAATACTCCACTCGTCCTCTATAATCTGATGACACAATGTTGGAATCCAAAGCCTAATGAACGACCTGCTTTCATGTATATTCAGCAAACATTGCATCAAATTTGTGTTGATTATGATACACGAAGAGGCCATTGAAACATTTAATTAAGACAACTTTTAATAAGACTATTTACTAACTCCATTTTTACCTTTACCAAATATTATTTGATCTCAAACAATAAGCATAGAAAAAAAAGTTCTGAAATGAAAACATACCAAAATATCTACCTAATGAGTCTGCCATAACTTAAGAAAGTAAAAAAACATTTGCGAAAGTTTTTACTGCCATATTAAGCTTAGATTTTGAGTTTACTTTAGCATATTTAAGTTGACATCGAGTTTGAAGAGTTTTTCGAAATTAATATTAGAAAGATTTTTAGGAAGTGTTTGGATTGATCGACGGTTGAAACTTTGTTGATTGGCAATCGAAAGAATGTTGGATCGTAGCTAACACTTTTTAGTTTTCTATGTTTTTCATAGAGTTGAATGATTCTGAGATTATAGTTACATAAAAGAGTGTGTTAGTAATGTTAAGACAATTTTGATAATCATATAATCAAACATAACTTTGGACTAAGTATTGCGTACTAATTAAGAAAATAAATTGCATTTCTAATAAAAATCACTAAAGTAACAAAATTATCAAAAATATTTCGCACTGATAAATGCTTCGTTTGAGTTCACGCTTTTCAATTAAGAAGTTTTTGATGAAAATACTCTCATTAACATTTCACTGATGCATATTAAAGAAAAAACAGAAGAAAAACTTTGAAAATTTGTCATATTTTTGTATACCGAATGATTTCATTTGAATAAAGTATGAAAGAAAATTTAATTAGATTTTTATTGATTGGAAAGGTTTCATTTTAATAATTTTTCCAAAATAAATGTTTAATCATAAAATCAAACTTTACGATTGAATGTCTTTAACCATTTAATCATTTTATTATAGTAAATATTGTAATTCACCTAATTTCCTGAATAGTAAAATAATTAACTTCATTTTTAATTATTTCTTTCCGGGAGGTGCAACTTTTGTTGAAATTTCATAAAATTCTACAAAGTTTCTTATACTTGGAGATGTTTGGGTAACAAATATAAAGTCAATGATTTCTAATTTGATATCAAATGTGTTGGTTAATGTCTCCTATCATCTTTATCTCATAATTATACTTATCAAAATTGCGAATAAATACTTCAAAGTTTGCGCAGTTCTCTTTTTTCAGTTCAATTTTGGAGTGCCACTAAATTAGACGTTTAAATTATTGTTCGGCGATTGATAAATTGGAAGTTATCCATGAGATTAAAATGAATTTTATTAAAGCAACAATATTTGTTATGATTTTTTCATTATCACTCGCGAAAAGTTATCTACGTGACGATGAAAAGCTATCAAGATTAAGAAGTGAAAATGAAATGGAAAACAGTCAAAGATTAGTTGATGACGATGTGCCTGTTGTAAAACCTGATAATATTAATGACGGTATAATGTTTTTAGTGCAAAAGAAAAAAAGAGATGATTATTTAAGAAAATTTGTAGTGCCTGAGAGATTCATTTATCAAGCAATTCTTGCAACACCCATTCCCCAACCTTTTTACACTGCAATTAATTCAACAAACTCAACATTTGAAATATTTACAACAACACCAATGTCTAGAACTTCAATTAATGGATCAACTAATCCCCTCAATCAAACTACAAGTACAACACCTGCACATCCACCTACACCTCCACCTACATCTCCACCTACACCTCCACCCCCAGGTGAAGGTCAACTGGAAGACTGTTTGTTGGGGAATTCCGATACAAAAATAAAATGGGTCGATGGTGACGGCAGACTAATTCATCAAAATAATTGCTCAAAGGATTTGTCATATCAATATAAAAAAGATATTTTAGAGCTAGAGATTGCAAACATTATCGAAGATATTCACAGCACTGTTAATGGAGTTGTAGTAAGTTAAATGATAATAAATTCCATTTGCTAAGTTTGTAAAGTCGAATCTATTTGATGATCATTCGATCAGATTAATGCCACGTGCTTAAGTATAAATATAAGCTTATAAATCAACAAGCATTTATCGCGAGAAATGATAAGATATCAGTATAAACTTCCTTGTTCTGATTCAATTTTACAACATGTGTTTTTGTCGAATGACGTAGCTTCATTTTATCATTTCAGTGCTTAATGAATTTATCACTGGCTTATAACAACTTTCACTGCTTACCAATCGATTTGATTTCAAACTTAAGCGATAGTTTGGAGCGCTTATGTCTTGCTGGGAATGACTTTTCTAATGGTAATTGAATTCAATCAACAGAATTGATTGTTAAAAATTAATTTAATCTTTTTTGTAGGAGCGAATGATTCTTTTCCTTCCATGTCAAAACTTAAGGAGTTGGATTTAAGAAATTGTCAAATTAAAGTTTTGAATGAGAAACTTTTAAGAAACTTAACAGCTCTTGAACATCTTTACATTTCAAACAATGACATAGCAGTGATCAATATCAGAGCTTTTCCATCGAAGTTAATTGAAATTGATTTATCGTATAACAATCTTCACCCAAACGTTCAAACATTATTGAGAATAGAAAGAAATATTTTTTCAGCTTTGAATAATTTAATTACTTTGGATTTCTCTCATTCGAAGTTGGACACTCCTGATTTTCTATCAAACTTACCATCAAGCCTTCAGCAACTTGGTCTTTGCTACACATATGTACCAATAGAATTGTCATTGAATGCAACATCATTAAACTTGAAAAAATTAGATATTTCAGGAAATGTTTTCGTTCATAGCGTCAGCAAACGAAATTTGTTCCGCTCACTTTCAAACTCTCTTGAAGTTCTTCACGTTAGAAGATCAAAAGTTCAGTTGTTAGACTGGGCAGAATCATTGAATAACTTGAAGCATTTGGACCTTTATGATAACATAATATTTGAGATTGATAACAGAACCTTTCAGTTCATGAAGGATTTGAGATTTTTAAACCTTGGAAGCAACTTCATTGACAGTTGGTATCAAAGAGTTTTCAAAGAAAACCAGAACTTGGAGATTTTACTTCTTAGTGATAATCGATTGACAACGATAACCAAAGTTATGGAAGATGATTTCGAAAATGTGAAAGTGCTTGCATTGGGAGGAAATGACAAATTTTCTTGTACTTGTGAACTTCAAGAATACATGGAAAAAATATTTGATGCAACAATGAATGCCGACCTTTTATATTATGAAAACTTTGTTAACAATATTTCATTGACTGAATCGGACATCATTTCACGTAAATACAGAAATTACTACGAAATGCTAGAAAGAAGCGTCAATACATTGAAAAGTTCTCCATTGCAATCTGAATCAAGACATAATCTAATAATGAGATCAAGAGTAATGTCAGTGACACAGATTGAAGATTTAGAAACAGTTTTGATGGATTTCCATGAAGAAAATTACAATTGTCATAACAATGCTTTAAGAGTAAGACAATTAATTCACAATATTAGTCTTTGTGAACCATCGACAACTGAATTAGACGAAATTCCTTTATACAATGTTGGGAAAAATAAAACGTTAATGGCGCTTTTCATTTCATTTCCAACGATTATTGCCATTTCCATTTTATCGATAATTATTTATTGGAAAAGATGGTACATTAAGTATTTCTATGTCATGTGTAAGAACTCTCTGATTTTAACATTTATGGATGACCATGACGATCAAAAGGATGTGATTGTAAACGGATTAGATGAAGAAAACGTTGAAACTTTTGTCTATGATGTTTTTGTTAGTTATAGTGATCGTAACCGTCAATGGGTTATCGATGAACTCATTCCAAACATTGAACAACGAGAATCGATAAATGTTTGTCTTCACGAACGAGACTTTCAAGTTGGATATGGCATATTGGACAATATCGTGTCATCTATGGATCGGTCGCGTTGTTTACTTCTTTTGATTTCCGAAGATTTCCTAGCAAGTCAATGGTGTCAATTTGAAATGAATTTAGCGCAACACAGACTCCTTGAAACTCGTCGTGATAAACTTATTTTAGTATTTCTCGAAGACATTTCAAAACAAAAACAATCGAAAACTTTAAAATATTTGATGAGAACCAAAACTTACTTAAAATGGCCTCTTGATGACAATGTTGATGATCGAAAACTTTTTTGGAAGCGATTGAAGAAATCAATTATTGATAGTAAGTGGGAAACAGAAAATTATGGGAGTAGCGCGTAAAATTGCAGAATAAAATTTAATCAACTTTGGATGTGAATAAGATTGGATTAAGCAGGGTCTTGACTTGACTTGACTAACTTCAACTTGTTTCCTTGACTCGACTTGAAAAGTTCTTGACTTGACTTGAACGAGTCAAAGCGCTGGGATTAAATGACATTGCAAGCAGATATTTAATTAAGAGTTTTTTTTATCTCATATTGAGATTTCAATGAACAATTTTATAATTGTCAGATTAAAGTAAGAATAATTAAGGAAATATTTTTATTCAACGAATTAAATAATAAAAAAATATTTAAACTTTATCTTTAAAATCTTATTTAATACTTAAAGGAAAAGAAAATTTATTGTTTATTGAGACGATTACACTTATTTTGTTTGTTTTATTTATTTATCAAACATTAAGAAACTTTAAAATAATTTATGACAACTTATTTACTTATCACATTAACACTCATGAACCATCTATCTGTCTTCTACAATTCTACCAATAAGATTTTCTATGCTGAATCCTTTTCCATTGCCGTATTTTCCACGCTTTCTATTATCACTTAAATTCAAAAGATTATGATTTGTCAACGTTTCAGTAAAATAATCATTCTCCTCATCATCAGGTAAATAAACTTGTTTTAAATCAGTTTTTGTTTCATCGGAATGTTTTAAAAGTTCCGTCTCAGCATCCACTTTAAAATCACTTTTTTTATCATTTTGATGCGATTGAAATTCGTCACAAGATGTTGTCGAAGTTTCTTTAGCCGTCGCAATATTTTTTGGTATGACATTTGATTTCAACATAATTGTATTTTTCACAATCTTACTCCACTCTTCATGTTTCACTGTTGTGTCATTTAAATTATGATAAGTCAATGACTTCAAGTCTGTCAATTGCTGATCATTGTCAGAATCGGTTTCAACATCAATATTATCATTTGTGTAATCTTCTTCTTCGTAGGCATTCTGACCTGTCGCATTATAAACTTCCTCTTGTCCACTAAATAACACTTTTGAACTTTGCAACTCACTTTTAATTGATTGTATTGAATTCGTTTCATAAAACTCTTTCTTTTGGTTTATTTTTTCAATTTGATTGGAAGGTAGAATCGAATGGTTGACATTTCGAAAGTTTATCAGACCAAAATTTGTATTGAAATTTTGATGATGAGTGGAGAGATGATGTGCCGACGGATGATGCATTGATGGCGAAAATTGTAGAGAAGGAAGAACAGGAACCGGTTTTCTTATCCAAAATGGATTAAATGGCGCAAACATATTTGGAAATGGAATATTGTGATGGATTTGAATTCGTTTGTAACGCTTTCGACGCCTTAGAAAGCTACCATTGTCAAACATATCTTCCGCAAGTGGATCAAGCGTCCAAAAATTACCTTTTCCAGGATTTCCCGGCTCACGAGGAACTTTTATAAAACAATCATTTAAACTGTTGAAGGAGAAATCATTTTAGTGATGACTTTGTGTAGATATTTAATGTTGAAAGTACCTTAAATTATGTCTAATTGAATTCTGCCAAGCAGGAAACTTTTCTTTGTAGTATGGAAACCTGACAAATGAAAATTAGGAAATATTTAATTAATTTTCAACTAGTAAATCTTCTTACCGACTCATTATAAATTCACATATTCCACTTAGTGTTAATTTTTTTTGTGGTGATTGCAAAATTGCCATCGTTACTAAGAAGTTAAGAAAGAAAAATTTTGTTAGTATTGAAGAAACATTTTCAGAAGTTTATTCAATATTTACTGAGTGCTATGTAAGAATAAGGAGGTTTGACAGCTGATGAAGAGCCTGCTGATGGTGGTCTCGGCTTTTCTAAGTTTTTTTCTTCACTTTTTGTTGATTCATTGACTTTGCTTGTGCTTTTTGAAAGCAAAGGAGATGACGATTGTGACTGACCAGCACGAAATTCCATTGTGCTTTGAAGTGTATGCATTCTTTCTTTTATTTTCACTATTTTTTCAATAAGTTTTAAATTGGAAAATCTTATTTAGATATTTGCCAAAATATCAAACAAAATTTTCATCTCCCAAATTCGTTCTACACACGACCGAGTTTGAATAACTAATGTCAGCATTTTAACAACGCTACCAAAATATTTGTCGATCCTCCCGAAAATAAAATTGTGTCTAATTTCCCAAAAATCTTGTAACTGAATGGCGATGATATGCTTTGACACGACACATAGGAAAAACAACATTTTTTACCTAACAGATTCACAAATACTCTGTGTACAGTTCGAGAAGAGAACGAACGACAAAGCTTATCACAATCACTCTCACTCTTGCTTCATTCACACACACACACACAAAGTAAAAGGATAGAAAATTCTTCTCGCTTTTCCCATCCTGAATTATTATTGTTGTTGTTTTCTGTTGTATGATTCTGAGTCTCTGTTATTGTTGTGTGTATACTTTATTTTGATAAAACATTTATCTATGAGAAACCACGCCAATGAAAACATTACAGAGAGTTTGAAATCCGATGACGGTAGAAAGAGATGGCATGAAATTGGCATATTTCTCGTACAGCACACCATGACAAACCTTAAGCTGATGGGGATGAAAAGGGTGTTGTCGTTATTTTGTTATTATTTTTCATTTGTTACACAAAGCCTTTGTCGGATGTTCAGAGATGAAGCCGCATCCTTTGCTAACGATAGAGTCAACCATTATCAAGAAAGGCGACAATAAAATGTTAATAGATCTTCATGAATCACAATAATAAAGCACAATAGTAAAAGAAAAATTTATCTTCTTTTATGTTCTTCGTTATAAACGATTCTCATTCTAATCCCTAAGAATGACAGCCGAATATCGTTAACAACCATTAAGAAATTTAGGAATATTTTCAGAATTTAAAGATATCATTTTATTTATTATTATCAAAACTTTAATTAATTTTGGCTTCGAAAGTTATCATACGTGACCTTTAACTTAATTTTCCACCTTATGCCACTCATAATTCCACCTAAACACCAAACAAAATTCAAAAGCAATAAATATTTATTACACACTCTTAATCCTTTCGTTATTAACTTATATCGCTCGTTTATTGTTCTGTTATGATGGTTAGAGACAATTGAAAATGTTCTGCAGGGGTTTTTAAGGAGGGTTGGCAAGCTATCATATTATTTTAATACTCGTTCATTCAACTTATCCGTTCGGATATAAATCTTGTGACAAATGATTTAATTTATTTCAGCATGAATTAACATCCCAGCAGCATCCCTGACTATTTAGAGATTTCCTTCCATATGCTTGACAAACCTCACAATTCACTGAACGCATGGTGAATTAATCATTCATAAATTGTTCAGTTTAATGTTTGTTTGTTATAACGATGCCATCACTAAGAGCTTGGATGATCCTACTTTAATGACGAGAATAATTAATTTCATCTCTCCTCTTATGTGCCCAATAAAATTTTTAAAATTGTTATTGATGGGAGGATTAAGAAGTTCCACAGTAGAGTAGGATTAAGGAGTTCTCATAACAAGTTCCCTGCAGCGAAATCTCCTTTAAAAATTTTTTCTTCAAGGATCACTTGCGATGGAAAATAAATAAATTCTTATTATAACTTTCAAAATTTTTTTGTTAGTTTTTCTTTCGATTATGACAATTGTGAGTGAATGAGTTGGAATAAATTTTCCAAATCAAAGTTTTATTCAGATGAACAGCTGAATGAAGAGTCGCTCTTTAAACATTTTGTTTCTTGAGAACTTTTGAAAATCAAACAGTAATTTATAAGACGATAATAGAAAAGATGACTGATGGTTGTGTTCTGTATATGCCCTCATCATGTTCTCGAAAATATTTGCACAAGTTTGTTCATTTCATCAATGTACTCAAGTGTTTAATTCATTCATTCAAACATGTATATCTAAACATGAAGGAAAGTAAAATATTAACATGCATTAGTTATATCAAATCCACCCTTCGTTTCAAAGAACAACAAACAATTAAAATGCGATTTCAATTCCTTTTTTTAATCCCTCGCTTTGTCGTTTGAGATGCAATGTGGTAACATAAATTGCTTCCTTTCATTGAAACTCAAGCTAGCGGAAAATTTGCCTTGATTTTTAAGTCTTTTATTGTGGAGTGTTTAACTTCCGTTTCGTGATCTTTTCACAAACATTTCACTGACGAATTATGATGTATAATAGAAAACGTGAAAATTATTCAAAGAAATATTTTTTATTAATCATTCATCGTCAACAAAGTGATTTGTCTGATGTACATTTAAGTTTTAAAATGTTCACTTCTAAGTTGATGAGTCAACATCAACAAATATTTACACAGCAAAGAGACAAAATCCAAATTGAAATCCCTTGTACCTTTCAAACTTCACAATTGCTTTATTCTCTTGATCAATATCATATGCTCTTCTTCTCAGAAGATGATACAATTTATTCACTCCATGACATGATGACAAAATAAAATAATCGCTGAATCCTTTCACAAAATAAATTCATTGTTGAATAAAATTTATTTACCGAAAGTTTTATACATTTTAAGTATCTTAAGGACACTTTGTTGTTGATTATGTCAAGCATTACGATAAATCAACATCCATTTGGATTTATTTTTATGATTTAAGCAACTAAATGTGATGTTTTGTAGTTTGAAACTATCAAACTTTCTATTAAATTAATTTTAGAATGATAAAAATATTCTCAATTGCTTCATCCAATTGCAAAGATTTGAAATTCCACACTTTCAATTAAATATTTTCTTTCACACTGTGTCGATGATTTGATTTAAAATTCAATTTTAAGCAGGTTGTAATGGACGAATATCACAGATCTACATAATTTAATTTTATGATAAAACCCACAACGATTTCCTCGCCCTGTTTATTGAATTGAATTCTTCAAGGTTTAATCGAATGCAAACTCCAGCAGCGCAAATATTTTAAAATTGAAATCTAAACCAAATTAAATTACTTGAAAACTTTCCTTCATCTGCTCACAAGTATTCTTTGATTGAGAGATGACAAAGAGTTATAGAATAATGTTTCCCAATCAGCGTCAACTTGAAATGTTTGAGCTGTGAATTTATAAATAATTTTATTCTGTATGGAGTCAGAAGTGGCACTCAAACACTTGTTAGTTATTTTTTAAAGGATCGTATGATTTCCTTGGTTTGGTTAGTGCATTTAAGTTTATTTTTAATGGTAGCGAATAATGCTTTTTTATTGCCAAATTTTGCTTTCTTAAAATTCTTCATAAATCCAATAAATTCCATCATCACAAACTCTCCAAAATTTCCCGGCTTTCTTTTCCAAATCCACGCAAAGTACATTCAAAAAAAGATTAATATTTACACAAGAATAAAAATATTTTGTCTAGTTTAAAAACAAATTAAATATCAAGATTGAAAAAGTTTTTGATTTCACACTGAGTGGTTTTAATTTCACTTTGCACACGTCGCATCAATTCAAATGATCTTAGTGAGAAACCATTGGTAACAGATATTTATCCAACACTTTGTCATTAATTGATTCTTATCACACGACTTGACATAAAAGTGCCAACACGTGTTTGACGTTTCGCTTTCTAACACTCTTCGAATGTTGGCAATAACAAATTGTTCAACGAATTTATCCTGATCAAGTGATGTAAGAATGCTTTTCATGTAAAATTAATTATTTTTGTATATTGTACTCTTCAATTTTCATCAAATAAGTGAGTTTTGTACAATAGAAATTTGTAATAAAAACTGTCTCTTTCTTCCAACATCCAGTATTTACTTTCATGAGGTTTAACTTTACAACATCAGTTTATTTATTTGTTGAGTTAGAATAAAATTAAATTTCGTTGATTATTTACTATCTGTAAGATAAATAGTAAAATCATCTATCAAGACGTGTTTATTACGTATCGATGAATTTCCAATGACACGTGTTTATGTTACAGGCAACAATCGAAATTGTTTAAATTTAATATCATTTAATTTACATTGGGTAAGAAATTTCTATAGATAAAAATTTAATTTAAGTTTATATATAAAATCGTTTATGCTCAAATTTCAGCATATTTTCTTTACAAAATAGAAAAAATACTGTAAAATCCAAAGAGAAATCAATAAAATGAGAACAGTGAGTGGAAAATGGCAGTAAACAATCAAAATATACAAAGCACCCGGGAGCTATTAATTTGATTTCTGCTGAACATTCAAACACATAACGAAATATACACAATTTCTCTGCTGCCATTGTGCCAAAGCGAAAAACTTTTATCTGCCTCAAATCTATTCATTTTATTTTATTTTTACTCCATAGAATTCAATTACGTTCAACTAGCTCTTTAATCTCGTCATTGAAAGATATAAATGTGAAGTGAGTTGTCGTTACCGACATGAAAAAGTATCTCAGATTATTCTAAATGCTATCCAAAAATCTACCCTCTCTCCATTTTCAACTGAACAATAAATAAATATTTTATTATCGTAAAATACTTTTGCTTGTTATTGAATGCTTTTTCCTTCTTCATCTTTCTTCCTTTTGAAATTGAAGTTTGTATCTTTCAGTTTCTTCTCCTAACAGTTTACAATGCATGTCGTTGTGTGTGCGTGTCGAGCGCTCTCTTTCTCGCCAACAGTCACCATAGTAACATAAAACAACATCGTCCTGATTGGCCAATTGAAAAATGTCGGATATGAAAATGTTTTCCCTTGTCAGATAAACACAAAATTTTTTTTTCTTCTCTCGCTTGACACTCTGGGGATGGATGGTGAGTTCGATCATAAAATTTAACGTTAAAAATTCTTGCAACAATTTGCTTTTGTCGAAAACAAAGTAAACATGAATTTCATGTGAGATGAATCGTTTAGTTTGGATTTGTTGTCATGCTTAAGTTTAACAGATAAAAATAAAATAATTAATTTATGTACGACATACATACAACTTCACTGTAAGTAGAGAAACTTACTCGTTCAAACGTTTCTGTTATTGTCAACTCGCTGCTCGAATCAAAACTGTTTATGTAGTAAAATAAATTTCTGGGGTGTAAAAAAAATAACATGGAAGAGCGAGAAGGTGAAGTGGAAAATGGGGGAAAATATTCGGGAGACTTTTCCTTCATTCGTATGTGTGAGTTGAGTTCGGCTGACAGCTCGAAATTTTCTCGACTTTCATGGGGTGAAAATATGAGCAAAGTCGAACAAAGAAACTTGAGAATGTAAATATTTTTGACATAAATCATAAGATTTTCTCGTTTACTTCTTTCTTGTTAGGAAATCTCAGCAGAAAAACGAGGGAAAGCTGTTGAACAGAGATGAAGTTTTTACTGAGTTTGCTTATGTTCTTAATCGTGCTTCTGATTTTAACTTTGTTGTTGCCATTTTGTATGAGAAAAAAATTCCTTTTGATCTTCAAGAAAAACGTTTATGAATATCACGGTGGAAACTACCTAATTACACAAATGTTTTTTCTCCTTTTTTCTACATGAATAAAATAAAAAAGAAGAAGCTGAAGATTTGTTGATTTTCTTTTCTTTCTCAAGAAAAATAAGAAGAAAAAGAAAATTCGGTTGAGATTTCTTAGAAAGGATTAATGAAAGAACTCAAGGGATATGATTATCTTGAACAAGTTGAATGCATGTATAAATAGATAAAAAATTTGTTTTCATCTCAAAGCATCGCATCAATAAGTTGTTTAACAAACAATCAACTTTTTTCGCTCGGATTACATTCTTTTCTTGTTTGAGATTCTTTACTTAAAAAAACTTCAAGGGAAAAGTTCTTTATTCATATTATCCATAAATATTTTCGTCAAACATCTCTGAAAGAAAGAAGGTCAAGGGTCATTACATGGATTATTAATAAATTTTTATGTTAACGTAAGGATGGAAAATATTTTTTATTTCTTTTCTTAATAAATATGTTGTAGATATTTACATAGTTGACTTATGTTGTCGAGTATTTCATGTTGCTCTTAAAATCAAAGAGATGGAAAGCAGAACAATAAATGGAGAATTTCCGAAGATTTTATTTGTTCCACTTCCAATCGAAATCAAATTATGACCTAAATTATTCCTATCAACTTCGTAGATCTTGAAGAAAGTGCTCGGTCGCTTATTGTACTTCTTCATAATTGCATTAAAATTCGATGGCATTCTCGCGCATTGACTCTCATCGAAATGCAAAATAACACCGTCACTATTCTTTGCTAAAATGCAAACATCGACATTCTTTTCAAACTCAATTCTTTCCATCTCTGTGCTTGTAATATTCCCAATTCGGGTGTCATAAGCAAGAGTCTTTTCCAATAAAACTTTATTTCTTCCATCACGAAAATGTAAATAAAAGTCAGCAATATCTTTTGAAATGGAAGAGACGAACCATTGAATAAATAGCGATCCCTTCGTGCTGAAAACAAGAAAAGAATGAAAGAAGAATGGATGTGAAAATTAATTTTCAGACTTTTCTTTTGTTAAAGAAAAATTAAATTTGTAAGTAAAGAGGGTTGAAATGATAAAAGGGAAAGTCTCATAAACATTAAACTTACTAGAATATGTCACGGAAGCGAATGTCAGGAAGCTTCTCGTATTCATGGTTTAAGTTTTTAATAAAACTTTTCTCTTCATTTGAGCAGGTTAATCGTCGATCATCGGCTTCATGTAAAGTAAGACCAGACAAATACTTTGGTTCGTTACACATAATATTTGAGTATTGATCAGGTGAAGCTTCTTGACCAAGTAAGAAATGTTTCAATGGTTGAATTTCACAATCACATTTTAAAGGATTCCCAATGAACTTCACTGAAACTCCAGTTTTAATGGCATCAATCAAGGATTTGTTTAAATGCGTTATTTGATTATTTTCCAAATTGATTTCCTTCAGATTCTTCATTTTTGCAAGTTTATCTTGATTTATTTTGAATATTTCATTATTCTCCAGATTTAAGATTGTAATATTTTCAGGCAGTTCAAATGGTGCTTCAATATCATCTAAATTTGAGAGTTTGTTGTTAGATAAGTCAAGAATCTCAAGTGCCGTTAAGTTTCCAGTAACAAATTTTCTGATTGATGATATCACATTATTCGAAAGTTTCAAAGATTTAATCTTTTTTGTTCCAAATGTGATGTCAAAAGTTAAGACCGGAATAATATTGTGACTAAGATCAAGACGTTCAAGACGATAAGAAATCCAAGGATTAGATGGAAACATTTTTCTCGAAATGTAACTGATTTTGTTGTGACTTAAGTTGATCTATAAATCATGAAAAGAGGAAAGTTTTAATGAACTTCTCAATAAGTTAAATCAAAATTTTTACTTCTTGTAAACTCAAACAATCGTCAAAAACGCTGTTCGTCTTATTATCCAACTTTTCAATGAAATTGCCCGACAAGTCCATTTTTCTCAACGAAACAAGACCGAAGAACGCATCATTTGGAATCGTTTCAATAGAATTTCTCGATAAATTTAGGGTGAGTAGTTGAAGTAATCCATCGAATGCCTTTTTACTGTTCGAAATAGAAATATCTCGATTGATACAAACATTCCAATTTTGCGTATTTACTTACCTGATGTTATTGATTTGATTGTTGTGGAGATTAACTTCAAAGACAACCGGGAGTTTACCGAAAGCTGCTCTCGGCAATTCAGTGATGTTGTTGCTCTTTAAAAATCATTAAAATTATTCTTCAATTGCAGATATAAATAATTAATAAATGTTACCTGTAAATGAATGTATTGGAGCGTCTTCATCTCACCCAATGCTTCATATGGAATCTGAGAAATTCCATTATTGTTCAGATAAATTGTCTGCATTGTCAGCAAGCCAAGAAAAGAATGACCTCGAAGATTGTTTCCGATCTGATTATGACCCAAGTCAAGGGAAAGAAGTGCATTCATGACAGGCCATGTTTTCTCAGGAATTTCTCGAAGAGAATTGTTGCGGAAGTTTAGAAAGTTTAAAGATATTGGCAGTTGGAAAATATTCTCCAAGTTGTTGTTCTCAATAGTGAGCCATCTTAAACTAGAAAGTTTCGCTAAAGATCCTCGTGACACTTCCTTTAGTTGATTGTTGCTCATATCTAACTCAAGAAGTGTTGAAAGTGCACCAAATGTCGAAGGTTTAATTTTTTCTATCGAATTGTGACTCAAATTTAAGGATCGAAGTGAGAATAAAGGAGTGAAGACAGCATTGGAAATCTCACTTATCATGTTGTTAGATGCATCAATCGTATGCAACTCATAAAGTTTCGGAAAAGTATTCTTAGGAATGTCTGTGATGTGGTTGAATGAAACATTCAGAACTCTCAATCCAGTCATGTTTTGCAATGGAATCTGTGACATGTTCGTGAATCTGTTGAAGGAGACATCGAAATGTGAAGCATATGAGTTCTCGTCGAAAGCCAATCGTGGAATGTTCTCCAGAAGATTATGTGAGAAATCCAAATGCGTAATGTTGTTGCAATTTATGAATGATTTCGGTTCAATACTTGAAAGTGAATTGTAAGAAATGTTGATATGTGTCAAATAAAGTTCAGTAAATGATTGCTTTTGAATTTCCGTGATGTTATTCTCAGACAAATCTATCAATTCAACATATTGAAGTTGGGCAAACATTTGATAGTCGACTTTCTTCAACTGATTTCTCGCTAAGTCAATTTTACCGATACGACTAACAGACCCAAATGTTCCACGACCGACATCAGTGATTTGGTTGTCGCTTAAGAAAAGTCGTCTTGAAAATAAAAGAAAAATGTTATGAAATGCAACAAGGAATGAATTCAACTTTTACCTCAACATTCTCATGCCACGCCAACTGTTTGCATCCAAACGTTTGAGATTATTGAATGACAGATTCAACTCCCTCAGCACGGTGTTTCTTGCGAATGCACCTCTGTGAAAAGTTACAATCAAAATCAGTTTCCGCGTTGAATTTCACACAATGGAATTAATTAATACCTTGACAGTTCAGATAACTTATTATGTGATGCATTACAGTAAACCAACTTCGTTAAATCAGCAATGTGAGACGAATCAAGTTTTAATATTTCGTTGAAACTTAAATCGAGAACTTCAGCATCGCGCATCCCTCTAAATTGATTTTTCTTCAACACTTCAATTTTATTTCCATGAAGATCAATAACTTTAACTTTCTTTAAATGTTGAAAAGCGTTTGCACCCAACTCCTTCACAAAGCCATTAGTGAGGTAAAACTTCTCAAGTTTTGTCGGTAATTGGCTGTCGTCAAACTCACTCGTCGCAACCCCATCAATGAAATGTTGATCAATCTCGAGAATCTTTAAGTTTCCCAACACTTTAAGTGCACTTTTTGGGAATGTTGTAAGCGATGAATTTACAATTCTCAACTCTTCCAATGTCGAATCGATTCCCAAAAATGTAAATTCATTTATTGATTTTATTGGAACGTTGTAAATCTTCAAAACTCTTGCTGTTGATTGATGTAACAATGTTCCATATAAAATTGTAAAATGTGAATTCTTTATAATCAATTCCTCAACCATTGAAGCGTTGAGAGCTGCAACATTTTGTAATGCAACTGCTAAACTCGCTAAATTTCCTCCATCGCAACTTATGTACAATCCTATATCACTTCCTTTATCACATTTACATGGATATAAAACATTTTGTCTAAAATAAATTCGAAACTTCAAAAAGATTCAAAGAAATTAATTTGTTTAGAATAGTTACTTGATTGGACAGGCATATTTAGGACCTGGTGGGATGTAAATTGAAGAAGCATGATGTATAAACAGAATCAACAGCCCAACAGCTCCAATTGAGGTCATTTCAAGCTAAAATTATTCAATAATTGAAAATCAACCACAATAAATATTTAGAGAGTTAAGAAAACCATAATAGAAATCGAGTTCTTTAAATGAAACTCAATTTTAAAGAACCCACGCAGAGAAAGATTCTTAAAGAAATTTCCAAGTTAGAAATTTGTGAACCATCACGAATTATTCTTTCAAATCTTTATAACATGAACAAAGCATCAAGTTGGAAGACGATGTTAAGCTTTGATGAATGACATAAGATATTGTTAAGTGTGGTGTTTTAAAGTCGGAATTAAAAACTTCAAAAAAGAAGTCATGACCGCTGAAACGCTTCAGTCATTTTTTTATAAATTGCGCAACTTTGCCGGCCACTATTTTTATGAGAATGATTCATAAATTTTTAAGTAATTTGTTACTGGGATGCGGAACGCAAAATTAAAATTTAATTTTGGTTTTCGATTCAAATTAATTACATAACATCTGATCTAAATTGGCAAGTGAATATATCATCATTTCATCACTTTTGAAGAAAGAAATTGTTAGTGTCGCTTTTTTGTGTGAATTTTAATTCAAAATGCGACGTGATCATTAATGAAATAATTTCTTTTATTTCACACGATTCACTGAATGTGCGAGTTATTGTGCGGTATTCAACTTTATTTAGATGGTTAACATTAACTCCATTTATCATCTCTTTCTGACTGAAAATTCTCTTTCGTTTGACGGAACCTACTTTAACTTTAAAGTTTCTATGCCAGTAGACTTCATGCTCAACCAGCGGAGAAAAAGAGAAAAAAAAAACAACACCAACAACAGTTCGTGTTCGAAAAAAGTAAACGAGTAACATTTTCTGAAGGCCACATAAAGTTTTGAATATGTCTGATTTCTGATTGGAATTGTGTATGCCTAAAATGATATTTCAATGTTGAAACTTACCTTTTTATTTATTTTCAATCTCTTAAAATTTTCCAATGAACACTTTCTTAATAAACTCAATTTCATTTGCTTTGTTTTGAGGTATTCATAATGTCATCAGATTTATTTCACTTCCTCATGATCTCATTATTGAAACATTTTTAATTATCACATCATTTTTTATCACTTCTTTTATTCACAATTTTAATTACCGCTTTATGAATCAATAAGATTAATTATTTAAATAATTTCTTGTATTAGAAATAAATTTTTAAAACCTTTTTCGATGAAATTAATCACAACGTTTCAAAGCCAATGTCTTTAAGCAACTGAGTTGTTGAGTCTGAGGAAAAAATAAAAATAATGAGAAAGTGTAATGTTAAACGTGCAAAGCAAGAAACCAAACTTGAGTTTATAACTGAGAGCGTAAGATATACATAAAGTAAATGACAACCAAAGAGATCGTGGAGAGAAACCAGTTGAAGATTTTACTTTCCGTTCTTTCATGTCTCGTTACTTGCTCTCACGTGTTTCATTCATTCACTGATGAAGAAAGATAAAAGAAAATCTACTGAGAAAGATGCGATCAAAACAAAAGTGAGAAAAATCGTCACATTTATGTAGAGCTTGATCTTGATGTTGTCGAAGAGAGCTTTAGATTGATGCCGGTTGCATTTATAGAAATCTTTCATTTCCATTGTGCAATGATAAAGAACTAGACAAACTTTGCATGAAATACAATGGAAAAATGTGAGAAATAAAAATAGTTTCAGACACTTTCTATATTCTTTAATTAACATTTTATTGTGACTTCAACATTCATAGAACTCTCATTAGTTTATTTAACATTAATGTTGTGAATTAAAATTGTTATTCGTTGCCTTTCTAAAGCAAAGATAAAAAGAATTAGCAATAAATAAAAACTGATCAACAGTAGATAATAAATTAAAGCTTTTCGGTTTGATACCTTTCACTAAAAATCATTAATAAAAACGACTAGATTTGATTTGATAAAATACTGAAAATGTTGGAAGTTTAAATGAAATAAAATTGGCACGTAGGTAATTACATCGTATGTTAATATGACAATTCCTAGTTGTTCTACTTTTAATTTTTGAATGTTTTTAGTAACATTTTACGATAAATTGTTAGAAAAAGAATCTTAAGATTCTTCATCGCTACTTTCTTGAAATATTATTTGTTCCGACCACCAATCGTGAACTTCAAACGCTAAAGTTACATGTTGGTTAGTGAGATTCTGCTGCTGTTCAAGATTATGATGACCGTGATATCCACCAGGATGATGATGATGGTGTAAAGTGTGATGATAAGTTGTCTCTGTGAGTTGTGCTAAATGTTGAGTTTTATTCTGTTGTTGTCTTACAGATTTCTTTTTGCTATCGTTGAATCTATCTTTGCTACTGCGAGCTTGCGGATCAGATAATGTTGGCGCTAAAAATTTCCGACCACTTCCAGTTGAATCTGATCGACTTAAAACATTTTGTGCCTTCTTTCGACCCTTTTCACCTTCTTTTCCTTCTTCAATCTCAGCCATTGAATCTTTTTTCTCTTCAATTTGCTCATTTCTCATCATCATCTCATTAGTCGCTCTCAAGCCAGCAATCAGTGAGTTGGACTGTTTCTATTTAAGATAATTAATGAAGATGTTTTCGTTTCTTCAAATGATTTATAATTTCTTTGTTTGTTTTGTACTTACGGCATTGTTAGCACGAATCTTTTTCATGCAACCTTCAAGCCATGTTCTTATGGTTTGCTTTGCAACTTCTTCTTCAATAATATATTCAAGTTCTTCACGGGCAAGTAACTCTTCTAATTGCAATGACTTTCTGATGTCAACAGAGCGATACGACAACATGCTGTTGAAAAAAGTTTCAAAATAAATATGAAAGTTTATGGAAATCATATGGAAAATTACTTTATGACATCATGAAATGTGACGTCTTCCCCATTATGAAGTTTGTCGAGTTCATAGCACATGTACTTGAATAGCAAACGATCTTTCTGTGGATCAACTTCCAATCGACCTTTAAGCAGTCTCAAGATGAATTTTATCCTTCTAACTGGAATCACTCCACGTTGATGAATATCCACAATGTTCCAAGTATTTTGAAAGTTTCTAATGTCGGCATAAGAGAGTAAAGCATCTTCTTCATTTGAATAGAACAGCGAAAAGTTCTCCATGATAATAGCTGTGGTTGAGAGTTCGTGATTAAATTTATAAAAGAAAATTATTTCAATCATTTTTCTTTCATCTCACCGACAAGAAGATTCAATACAATATACGTTATGATCACGTAGAATGTACAGAAATAAATTAAACTCGCTGAAAAATTGCCACAATCTGTTTCCCAAAAGTTCGGTCCGGGAGTGCAATAAGGCGGTTGAATCATACAATCGTGCATAATTTTGTTCCAATCTTCACCAGTTACAATTCTAAATAACATTGCAACACCCGTGATTGGTGTACCAAAGCTGGCTCGCCTTCCAATCTGTTCTCCATGTTTGACAGTTCCAAACAGAATTGTGCCAGCTAAAGCATAAAAGAACACCAACAAAAACATTCCGAAGATAATAAAGAATGACTTGCAAACTGATACAGCAACAGTTAGAATTAGCATTTTGAGTGTCGAATGTTTTCCGGTTATTGTGAAGAATCTGCGAAGCAAAAGTATCGATTAGTTAAGTATTACAAATTATTCAAATGATCACAGAGAATAAAGGAAAAAAAAGTTTGAAAGGAATCTATGAAGATTAAGATTAAAACAAGGTTAGATCAACATCGAGATCAAGATTAAGATTAAGAGAGGATTAAGATAAAAGATGAAGAAAATCATTTTACCTCAAAATAACGACCATAAATCCTAGAAAATAAGTAAGATCACTCTTCAGTAAGATTTGCATTGTCACCCAAATGACACCAAGAATGGTCACAGTTAAATCATAACGATTTCGTCTCGATTGCCAATATCCACGGATTGTAAATGCAATATTTTTCATAACAACTTCACATACAAAAACCATGTTAAGAAGAACGCTTATGAAGACAAGTCTCTCTGTTTTTGTATCACCTTTGATCCATGTGACACAAAGAAGTGCCGAATTTAAAAGCACTGAACCAGCAATTAATCTTTTGAAGATGATGTTTTGTGTGATGTCATAGACGAACGCTCTGAACTTCCTACCATCGGGTCGTGGTGGTAAATGAAGAGGCTGCGCAATCTTCAATCTTTTCTTCAAGTCACCCCATCGTCTTTGATCGACTGTCAGCAAAGCTGTTCCTTTATTTTCCGAATAGTTTGCAATCACAACACCCACAAACAGTGTCAATCCAATCATACATCCCAAAAAGATGTAAATGTGAATATAAATAGCATGTAAAGGTCCAAGTACTTTAATAAGAACATCTCGAACATCCAGCCATCCCTTGAACGACAAAACTTCGAACAACGCTAGCATTGCATCGCCGATGTTATCAAAATTAAATCTTCGTGGATTTGCCCACACACGTGGAACTAACATCGCTGGATAACTTTCATTAGGTCCCGGTTGAAGTTTCATCTTCGTCACAAAAACTCTTCTCATAAAAACACCCACACAATCTTCACGTTTATGAATTGTTGGATCATTACATCTCGCCAATCGACCGCCATAAAGTTGCACACCATAACTTGCGAATACAAACATCAACATAATTAACATTGTTGATACTAAAAGAATTTCTTTGAAGCCTCGACACAACTCATAAACAACTTTTCGCATATGTGGAACAAGCGTGAATATTCTTAAAGGACGAACGCATCGTAAGATCATCAAAAGTTGAGTATTTGAACCACTTGGAACTTGTGTTGGCATCCAAATGAGAAAAATAGCCGAGACAGAGAATATGAAAACATCGAGAACGGCAGCAACATCTTTTATGTATGCTTTTGGTGTGAAGAAAAGTCCATCGGCAAGAATCTTCAATGTTAGTTCAAGACTCATAAAGATAACGAACGTATACTCAGCGATTTGAAGTGAAACATGATCCATAACGCGATAATGTGGAGTTTCAAACATCATGCTAATGCACGACAACGTTGTCACGAAGATCATCGTCCAATCAAGGTAAGTAACGAGTCCGAGAAAGTTGTGAAGTGTTTTGTACTGGATTTTACGATCCTTTGTTGGCGCATCATAACGACCATGAACAATTCGTTGGCAAATCTTTCGGAAGCGACTTTCTCTTGGAATTGCAAAGAGTGGCGTGTCAAAAAATGGATGATTCTCTCTTAAATCTTCTTCTCTTTGATTTCGTCGCATTTCAGCTTGTTGTCGTTTAGCTTGCAACAATTTAATATCCAAATCATGAGGTCTGACACGTGATGAAGTGACACGACTACTGGTCGCTCCAATGTCGCCATTTTCCATTAAATGTTCATAAGTTTGCTTTAGTTTTATCGAACCACTTCGAACACTTCTTCGAATTGATCGCGATCCAAACTTCTTTTGATCAACTCGCCAACCAGCTTTTGTTTGGATTGTTCCTTGTGATTTAAGTCCACTTTTGACACCAGCAACTGGAAGCATTGCTGAGTCTCCCAACATCAATCTCTGATTATTCGAGTCATTAATTATATGAATGATTGCAGATTTCTTCAAAGTTCCACCAATTGATCGAACTTTTAAAGTTTTTGTCATCAGACGCAAAGGCTTTTGCTTGCGAAAAGCAACATTCGACTCCCACGGCTCTGATACTGGCCTTTTATATCCTTCAGAGAACTCATCTTGTTCCATTTCAATGACAAAATTCTTCATAAAAGATTCACGAACTTTTGGCAATGTGAAGTCACTTGGAATTCGATGAAGAATTGTCATTTGTGGTGAGTCGGGAAACTTCTCAAATATTCTTAATCGAAATGGCAATGTTTCCTTTATCTCAGCACTTTGTTCCCTAAATTTGAGTTGCTTTAGTTTCTTGATGTCTTCGTCAAGTTCTAAGTTATCCAAGATGACAGCGACGAACAAACTTAACACAATAAGTGTCACGAACAAATGATAGAGAATAAAGTAAACTGCAACAAGTGGCGTCAATCTTAAAGGTGTTCGAATCATCTGCAAATATAATTAAAATAGAAAGTTCATTTGTTATTAAAATAATTAAAATTTTCCTGAAATATTCTCATCGAATGACGATGTAAAGTTTTCTTTAAAGTTTAAACCTTTTCAAGTAAAGTGTCGCTGCCGAAAAGTTTCTATTTGATACTTAAGTAAGTGTAGCACAACAGTCAAAACTATTTTTAATCTCACCGTTTCATCCATAACTTCCACCCACGCTTCTTGAGTTAGAATCTGGAACATGCTCATGAAAGCTTCTGGGAAGGTTTCAAATTTTGTGAAATCACAAAGAAAGCAGAAAAGTTGCATAGAAATGCTGGAGCTGATGATTAACAAGCACATGGTAAAGATAATCAACGATCCAAGTTTCTTTCCTGGTCCAAAGATTTTGTAAACAAAACCTTCGAGAATTGGCGACGCTTTAATTAATCTCACAACTCGAAGCACTTGAAAATATGTGAAAGCTGATAAATAAAAAAATGGAATAACATGAATCGATGTTCCAAGTGCAAGAAGCAATTCAAACTTATGAATCGAATGCTTCCAATAGCCCCGCCAACCAAGACAAAAAATCTTGAAAATTGTTTCCAAATCGAAGAACAATGTAAAGATAATTTCTATATAATAATAATTTTCATAGAAAACATGTCGTGGTCGTCCATCGTGTTTGAAGTTCATCGTTGCTGTGACAATTCCATTTGCAAGAATAACTGTCATGACAATATTCCGAAAGTAAGACGACTTTATGATTCGATGACATGTTTCATTAGCTGATCCATGTTTGTTGTCATCAATTGTTATCAACTTCCATCCATTGTCGTCACCAATAAGCATATGTGATGCGCTACTATTTTGGATATGTCCACGAACGCCCCACATTTGTTGAAATTGAACTCTGATTTCATTGAAAGTTTCTGTGATTACAGCAATGAAAACATTCTTCACCAGCCATGCTAGGAAGAAGATCATTGTGCTGAAATAAAATGCAGCTCTCCATGCTGGCAATGAGTCAATTGCGCGGTACATGATGAATACCCAACCTTCTTGAGAGGCTGCTTGATAAACTGTAAACACGCTGGTGAAGATTTCCTCAAATCCTTGATATCCTTGCTCGTAACTCGACAAAAAATCCGTTTTCATGCATTTCATTCCAGCGGGGCATTGGTAACCCGATCCAGGATCCATTGAACAGAAAGTGTCTGGAATTGCAAGCGCGTTGATTGACAATGGCCTTGTTTCATTTGTTGTACTTAATACGCAGTGGCTTTTAAGTTCACCGAAGAATTGCACGCCAAGCAGTCCGTATAATGCCATGAAAAATATAAAGAATAATGTCACGTTGTAAATTTGTTGGCTTGATCGTCTGAAAAATAAAACTTTTATTAAACATCAAATTGAAACGAAATAAAAAAAGAAACTAACTTGAAAATTTGATTAATTCGACTTCGAGGCATTGAGAATTTAAGGAAAACTCGAAGGAATCTGATCATGATGAGTGGTCGCGGTGACCTTAAAATTGACAATGATGAGAATTTTGGCACCATTTCAAGAACTTCCAAAACTTGAAGTACGACAGACACCCAAATGATTAAGACCATAAAACTGTCGAAAATGCACCATCGGCTTTTGAAGTAAGGATTTTCTCCTTTGACAAATCCTCGAAGTGAAATCTTGGCGATCATCTCAGATAGAAAGAGAATGCCAACAGTAACATCACAGATGAAGGTGAAATATTTTAAAGGTGGATATCGTTCGAATGTTTTTGGTGTGTTGAGACAAACGGAGAAGAGAGAAACTAAAGCAGCAAGTCTCATTAACCGCCGCACCCATAGCTGAAATTATTAATTAAAAATGTTAACAGAAATAACAGGAATGAAGGTTGATGTCAATATTTACTTTGTTCACCCATTCGACGTCTGCATTTTCGTTTTGCATTTCCTCGTTTCCGTAATCAGCGAGGATATTTTCAACTTTAATTGATTGCTTCCTTCCAAGCATTTTTTATGATTCGTTAAGATAACATTTAAATAACATTTTTAGTGTTATTTCTTATCCTAAAATTTTAGTTTCTCTATACTTTCATCTTTTTTCCTATCCATCCATGTTGATTTTTCCACAGTAAAACAATTTTCCAATTTTAAAACTAAATATTTACTTTTCCAACAATGTTTGTGAATTGATTTCACAACGTAGCTTTATAAATACACTTTGAGTACAAAACAAACGTGTTAAAAGTCTAATAAATTACATTTTTAAACAATATTTCAAAATTTTCTTTGCGATTTTCTTTCATGGAAAATCAATTTTTCCGATCGATATTTTCGTGAAAATCAGCTGGAGAACTATTAAATTACAGAAAGACGTTAAATTTCTTTTTCTTTGTTTACATTTTTTCTTTTTGCATTTTATGACAAATTGCTTGTCGGTAAGTTAAAATATTGAAATAAATAAGCTTTTTCAATTATAAAGCATAAGATTTAGATTAATTAAATAGAGATTTTTTAAATTTAAAATTAATAAAGATTCGAACCATTCAACTGCTTTCCTAAACAATTGAGAGGTTTCAAGGGAATACAAGAATGTGAAAAAATTTGTCAGGCGGACTCTTTGGCACTGACATTCATGTTCTAATTTTGATGATAATATAGAAATTGTAAAAAATATGATGATATCCTGTAATTAAAGTATTGAGTGATGTTTTTTTGATATTTGTTGCATAAAGTCGATGAGATTCTATTTATTTAACTGTAGTGTTAAAGTTCACGCTTAAAATAAACCAGATAAAGCAAAAATTAACAAATGGCTACGGCTCTAGAGAAAATTGAAAAAATAGAGAATATTCGTGATGATGGGGCTTCCACGAGACTTTCCGATGTGACAGCAACCCCCAGGGAGTCGGAATCAACGATGGAAAATGGTAAGTGACGAGAAATCTGTAACGGAATTTTATAATAATGTGGTGACTGAACATTAAAAAAAAAATATGCAAATAAAAGAAAAGGAAAAAGTGAATCAGACATTTATTACATGTTCAATTGTGTGATCACAGGCAACAACAATTAGCGTTGATTGTAAATCAATTAACAGAGACTTTTTCATTGTACTGCAAACGCTATCAGTGGTCTTTCAAAAAACGATTAAGCTCCAGTAAAGTGAAGTTATAAGAAAAATATTAGAAAAATATTCACGCACTCCCTTTGTGTGTGTGTGTGAGAATTTCAATGGAATCATGCATGGATTCTTTGAATTTCATCTCCACAGTCTATTTATAATTAATTAGTTTCCTCATGTTTAGCTTAATTGTCAAAACAAAACAAAGCAAAAATTATTTCTTTTGCTAGAAAACAAAAAAAAGATTCATTTTAGTCGTACATTTTTAGTGCTGGAGGCTGTATAGCGCTGATAAGAGTGCACAATTGATAAGCAAAATAATTGAAAAAGCAACAAAAATAAAAGTAAAGTGTTTTTCGCTAAGCAAATCTTTTAAACATACCATTTCGAATGAGTCACAACGGGTTATAACAGAGTCCAAAAGTAATAATAATAATTCCATTGAATCTCGCGAGTGTGTCTTCGTGAGTGTTGTGTCATCATGTTTTGCAACAAATTGAAATTGGTTTGCTAATCCTCAATGCCTGAGAACTATTCCCATGTGAGGCTTTTATTTATTGTATATCCATTTCAACTTTACAGCCAAAAGTGTAGCCGACAAGAGCGCTGTTAGTGAAGTAAGTCCAACAAATCCATTTCAACTTGTCATCAAATGATTAATGAACAATTTAATTTCACTTCCTTTTATTTAGTCGGCATTGGAAGGCACGCGTGGTAGTACCGTAAACAGCTCCATTTCTAGAGGTACTAAATCCGCTGATAAGGAGAAGAAAATTGGCCATCGGCGTGTTGGAGAAGATGGAGAGATTACCTATAAAAAGATCCAAACGAGTACCATTATGGGCTCAATTCAATTAGGTATTCAACATACGGTAAGTGACCTTCGCCTATTGATTTTTTCAATAATCTACTCTCAACTTTAGACTTGTGGTGAACAAAAGCTTTATTACATTTTTTTTCCGTTCTGTTTTTTTTTCTCTTCATTTAATTACTCTCCAACAGGTCGGAAGTTTGGCTTCAAAACCCAAACGTGATTTACTGATGATGGACTTTTGGGAAATGGAGACAATTTCATTTCCACCGGAAGGATCCAGCATGACACCGGCACATCATTATAGTGAATTCAGATTTAAGATATATGCTCCGATTGCATTTCGATATTTTCGTGATTTGTTCGGAATTCAGCCTGATGATTTTATGGTAAGAAGAAGAAAGAAAGAAAGAAAGCAAAACATTATCAAATTTATTACAAAAGGCAAATAGGTTGAGTTCAATGGCTTTAACATGTTTATATTGCCGTAAAAGGTCATTGAACAAGCCTTTTTTCACACATTCTATCTATGAATCTGAATATTAAATTCAGTTGACAAAAAAAATGTTTTAAATAATGGTTGTTTTAGATGTCGATGTGTTCATCCCCATTGAGGGAACTTTCCAATCCTGGTGCGTCTGGATCCATCTTTTATCTAACTGATGATGATGAGTTTATCATCAAAACTGTCCAACATAAAGAAGGAGAGTTCTTGCAGAAACTTTTGCCGGGTTATTATATGAATCTTAATCAAAATCCCCGAACACTTTTGCCAAAGTTCTTCGGTTTGTATTGTTACCAATGCAATAGTAAAAATGTCCGTCTCATAGCAATGAACAACTTGTTGCCATCGTTTATTAAAATGCATTTAAAGTATGACTTAAAAGGCTCTACATATAAACGAAAGGCTAACAAGTCGGAAAGACAAAAGAAGTCGCCGACTTATAAGGATTTAGATTTCATGGAACATCATCCAAATGGAATAAGTTTAGAAGCAGATACGTATTCAGCACTAATTAAGACAATACAAAGAGATTGTCGTGTGCTTGAGTCATTCAAAATCATGGACTATTCTTTACTTGTTGGAATTCACAACATGGACTTGGCTCAAAAAGAGAAGCAAGAAGAGAAATCAAGAAATCCAAGAAGCGATTCGAATCGTGATGATTCGGATATGGAAGATGCTCCTGAAGCTGATCAAGCAATGCATGAAGAGAGAACTGGTGGTCTTGCACTTAATCGTACGAGGTTTGTGAATCGGTGTTTTCACATTTCTTTAAAATTTTACATTTACAAATCAAGAAATTCGTTTTATTATGTTCAGTGCTCTTCACAGATCTATAAATCGTCAACGGTTAGTTGCTCATTCCACTGCTATGGAAAGTATCCAAGCAGAGAGTGAACCAATTGATGAAGAGGAAGATGTTCCGTAAGTTACTCTCTGATTTTATCTTTTTAATTACTTATCTATATTTGTTCATATATTTCAGTCCTGGTGGCATTCCAGCACGTAACGACAAGGGCGAACGTTTGCTCCTTTTCATTGGTATTATCGATATTTTACAATCTTATCGATTGAAAAAGAAATTGGAGCATACTTTTAAGAGTATCATTCATGATGGTGTAAGTTTTCAATTATAATTCGATTAAGCCAGGGCCTTGACTTGTTTGGGTTTGTTTGAAGTCAAATTACTCGAGTAAGTCAAGTCACTCAAATTAGTCAATTGAAAAACATTTCTCAAGTCGAGTCAAGTTAGCAAGTTTGCTAGTCAAGTCAAGTCCCTGGATTAAACTAACTCAACCAAGATCGAAAGTGATCGTTTAAAATTGTTCAAGTTTATTGAACTTATTTTAAACTTTGTTCGACTTTTCAGGATACTGTGTCCGTTCATCGTCCTTCATTTTATGCTCAACGCTTTCAAGATTTCATGGCAAAGACTGTTTTCAGGAAAATTCCATCGCGTAAGTTTACATTGCCTACGCCAAATAAATATTCGATGGGTCATTTATGATGTTTATTTATCACTCGAAATTATCATTGAATTTATTCATTATTAATTAATTCAATTTATGAGTTAATTTCGTTTATCATTATAAAGTTAATTTTATTTTTAAACCTTAACGTTAAGTTGATGGCTGAGTTTTTATTATGAACGAAGAAGTTTTCTTAATTTCTCATATTTTAAAGCAGCACGAAGCTCAGTCATCTTTAACAAAAAAAAATGTGATGGAGATTTTTTTAAATTAATATTTTATGTTGGTTTAAGGAAACTAATTCGTTCTGGTTTTTATTTTAATGATTTCTATATTTTAATTTACAAAAAAAAATAATGGAAATTGATCGTCTAAATTAAATGTGTTTGAGTCGACGTTTGTGTTGGAACGGAGTATGATTTATATATAAATATATTGAAATGGTCTCTAAATGGTTCATTGTTGTGATCGAAACACAAATATACAAAAACTTTTTATTCATTTTTTGCTCCCCGCCCCTCAATTACACAAGAAGAATAAAAATAAATTTTATGCTCATAAATATGAGAATAAGTTGAATCCAACTGTATCCAGTCGTGATTAGTTTTTCCTTGTTTCTGTGATTTCATTTATGTTTTATTTGACTGTTGACCTTTAAATTGATTTGCCCATTTTAAGAAAGTTTCCTTCCTGATTTCAAAGCAATTCTTGGCTTTAGTTGCGCGATCCTTTTTAAGCGTGAATGGAACATGTTTATGGCAAATTGTGTATACTGTTATAGGAATTGGAGGGGGTGCAAATCAAAAACAAAACTTTTTGCTTTTTTTGTCACGAAGAATTGACTTGTCTCGTGATTTCCTTCCACATTTCTCTTAACTTTCTATTGTAATAAAGCTTAACAGATGGGCGAAGAAAAACTTTTTTAATGGTTCTTGTTTCTTCTTCTGACGTGATATTTAATTTACATTCAATTCCTTCAACTCATCTGACTTAGACATTCATTTATTTCAATTGAATATTTTTTTGTTCATACTTAGACGTGGAAGTAAAATAATTTTCAATAAACCTTGTTTCAACGAAACGGAGGAAGATTATTAATTTGCTTTATTGCCTTGCCGACGAGAAAATATTAAATATAGAGCAAATTTGTTCATGAACAATAAACATACGGAGAATTGTGGCATAATTAATGTCTGCTGACTTTTAAATTTCATGAAAATTTCTGACCCTGATTTCATTGCGCAACAGATTAATTCTTCCCTCACGTCTTTCTGTTGATGTAATTTAATTTCTTTTGTCTTGATTTATGGTCAATTCGCACATTCCGTCCTACATAATTTACGGAAGAAAGAAAAGATTCAGACTTAATGTGTCAACTGCTCCATTAAGCATAAAACTCGCTTTTCTGTGTGCTTCAGCCGTATGAATTAGAAAATACTTTTTCCCTTTATGTACGTGATTTGATTAAATATATATATAAAGATATATGTACGAACCACAAAGCACATGAAAAGAAATGAAATTCAATTATTTTTTAATGTCCCCTCACTGAACAATTTCTAAAATCTTCTTTGAGTTGGAGTTGAAATTGTTGTGCTTTAAAGATGCAAGGAATTCAAGTTCTTTTAATAGCAGTTTGAAGAATGTTTAATTCACGCATTTCATGGCTTGCCCATTCACAAAAGTCAATGAAAATCGTATGCGGAAGCTTTTAGAGATCAAAGCAAATGTTTTGCAATGTTCCATTTGTCATGTAAATTGTATTTCTTCAATTTCTATTTTTCGAGAATCTTTTAAGTTAAATAACTCAGATTAAATTTTATACTTTGAATGATTTTCTTTATATTTTCTTCTCCTACAAAGTTTTCTTTTTTGTATATTTTGTTAAACAAACAAATAATTATGATCGCTGAAGCACAGACAAATTTGATAAGTTTTTCTTTTGTCTTCCTTTTTTCCATCCAATTTTATTTCCATTCCACTTTCATAACAATCAAATATTATTAATAATCCAAAGTGGATCTTCCTGAAATCAAAGGGCAACATCGTAAATTTCGTACTTTGGTGACTAGCTACATAGGTAAAGTTGGATGAACACCTTTTTCCGTTTTTTGCTTCTTTTTTTGTATCTATCGAAAGAAAATTTAAATCAAAATTTCAACCTGCATGCGGAATTTATTTAAAAGAAAAATTCTCAATAATTTTTTTTGTTTATTGAATAGCGAATATCTAGTGGATTTCAAGAATTTTTATTCACCTTTTCTTGCACAATATTTACAATCTCCATAACACCCAATCAAACAATTTTATCAGCAATTTTTTAATTTAACTCAGACACTCTCCTTATCAGAGAGCAACAGAAAATAATGATGAGACTTTACGGAATAAAACGGATACATGAATGAACCGCTCTGTCAAAAAAATAGAAAAGGGACCAATACCGATTTACCGCTCGAGATTATTTTAATTGACTTGTAGCAAGTGTCGTAAAATTTTAGAAGTTTAGCGAGACGACCAACTTACACAAAAATTTATTTGACTTATTTAAGAGTGTTGTTGTTCATGTTATCGTTCGTCCCATCATTTTTCCTATTGATGTCAAGTATTTTGTTAAATTACGAGTATATTGATTGTAAGAACAACAAAAGGCTGATTAGTAATGATTGTTGATTCATGCACCATTGTTATCATCTCACGTAATTAATTTATACTTTTTTTGTGATGATTGTTACTATTAAGTGATTTAAATATTTCATCACTTCTTGCCACCTTATTTAGTTTTGTATGCACCAAAATTTAATTTCACTATTCACTTGTGGTTTTTGTTCTTATGATTTGATATCAAAAATTAAATTTTAATGTTAAGCAATGATTAAATTTAGCCAAAAAAATGAATTTTTTAAAGTTTCACGCAACATTGAAAAATTGTATAAATAAAATAAGTGGAAATATGGTAAATTAATTCGACGTATAGTCATTAAGAGAGTTTTGAATTTTCACTTCATTATAATTTCTGCATGTCTATAGAATTTATTGTTCAATATTTAGCACAATAGAGTGACTGTTTTGTTTATGTTCACCATACCCTATTTTGTTGAACGAAATGGGAATGTTATTTGCATAAAAAAGCATTTTCTACACAAATTGACACAAGTTTTATCATTCTTCATTTTACAAAAACCTTTGAAAGTTCCATCCTTATTAATTTATTCCTCAACCACCTTGACCTTCTCTCGTTTATTTGTCAATTCATGTTCGCCAAATTAGTGTTTCTATTATCACATTTTTTTAGGTTTATTTTTATCTGAAGTTCGTGAGAAAATTCTAAGAATAAACAAAAAGAAAAATCAATTTTTCATTTATTAAAAGTGTGTGAAATGTTTCGTCATTTATGAACGACACCTTTCATATTGGAAAATAATAATTTTGTAGAAAGAAAATTGTACTTGATGCTTCCCGTCATAAAGTTCAATATTTTATCTTTTATCGTTTACCTCATCAAAACACGAAATGTGAGAATTTTCCCCATCAAGAAATATTTAAAAAGTGCCAGAAATTTTTATGCTTTTTCTTACGTTAAGCAACAAAATGTTGTTATTTCATTTAATATTTGAAAGCATTCACGATGTGTTATAAAATTTTCAATAACCTGTCTCATCAAATGTTACTTTCTTATATATTTTAAATTAAATGTAGGAGCATAAATTTTGGTTTCTTGACGATACAAAAAGCAAACCTGATTTATCAAATATTCATTCAATTTTTTCATCACTCGCAGCTTGTGAAATTTGGCGAAATATTTTTTATTTAAAATAAAATTCATCATCATTAAATATTTTAGCATTTATCAATTTAGATCAAAAAGTCATTTGGAGTTTGGACGGTCACATTTTTTTGTTTATTATTCATAATTTTTGTGCTTGTTGATTGTAAATAGTTAATGATATTTTTTTGCCAGGTGAGATCTTCAAATAAATTTTTCTTTATCCATTTCGGTGTTGTGAATTTTTTATTACTTTTGAAGAGGAAGAGGAAGAGTAACATTTATTAAACTGATATTTTACATTTTTACATACATTTTGAAATACAATGATCTTTAAATCCTAGTATTAGTCCTTTGACTTTAAACTAATGTGTAATAATTACTTTTGAAGTGAAGAATTTCTTTTAATTATTAAAGCTATAAAAATATTTTTCTTACAATGTTGATGGAAAATTGCACCAATTCACCATTGCACAATGAATTCCATTTGTGATGCAAATAACTAATTTAAAATCCCTTCAAAGCACATGCTAGTTAATTATATGTTTTTATTACTCGCTAGATAATTAAAATTTAGTGAGAGAAAAAAATTCTTTTATGGTTTTTCTTAACGATTGGTGTTGATGCTGTGCAACTTTTTAGCACGATATCATTGTAAAAGTTTATTTTACAAAGTAAACCCTTAGCAAGAATGCTTGTAAATTACAAAATTTCAGGAATAAAAAGTAGCAAAGAGAATTTATGTGGCTTTTACATTTTCTAGTTTAAAAACATTATGCAACCTTTCTTTAATTTTCGATGTTTCTTATGTCTCTAATAGATAATAAGGTTAAATCTTACAATGAGACTGCAAGCATATTTTCTGATTGAACTTTTTATCATTACAGCTCTCAAGCATTCACCATCGAAAAGAAAAAGTTTATCGAGGGTTGCTCACCAGAGATCAACAGAATCAGAAGCTGATAGTCATGGTAATTTTTTTATGCTTTTCTTTCACTCATTCTGCTCCTTATACTTGAAACTTTCAAATTTAATTTGAAACGATGTTGTGATTCTATCGTATGATAAAAGCTTTTCGTTCTTATCTTTGTTGATTATCTCGCATTCTTTGTTATACAAAAAATGTTTTCTTTTCAATATTAAACTGTTTTTATATCTTGAAAGTAAAGGCTCAGAATTACATTAAAAGTTTAAGGTAAAGCCATAAGTTTCTGATGGCTAAGCACAGATGAACAACTTCCAATTGCCTCTTAAGCATGACAGGAAATTTTATGATTTTTAATTAATTCTCGCGCTTGTTCTTTTTTCTTCCTTCGCTTTTGCTAAAAAATTTATAAAAAAATACAACAGCAGCAAGCAGCTCGCACTATCACCATCATCAGCCTCACAGCAGCTCTTCAAAGACAGGTTAGTCGCCAATTATTCGTCATATTGCACAACTTGCCTTTTAATTTATTACTTTGTATCTCCCCACTTTTGTTTCTGTCGCACATCTTTCAATCATACTTGCACCTGTGCACAACTCAATCTCACAATTCATGTGAATTGAATTTATGATTTTGTGAACGTTTTTCATTTCCTTTTTTTTTGCTTTATTTTGTTGTTGTGGAAAAAATATTTGAATTTGATTGTCATAAAATAGTTTCTCGTTTCTTCTCATTTCTCATGCTGCCATTTAAATAATAATGGATGAATAATAAAAAAAATGATAACTAAAGGATCTGGATCGGTCAACATGCAGTTGATAAGGGCAATCAATAAGAGTAACAAGAGCAATAATAACAATAATCAGATGTCATCCGTAAATACTAACAAGGTTGTAATTATTGCACCAAATGCTTCACAATCATCGATGAATCCAACAAATCATTCGGGCAATAACATCAGTAACTTGGGATCAACACAAGCTCCAGTCAGTCCAAGTATTGCAATTCCAGCACTCAAGAAACGAACTTCAATTGTAAAACAATCAGTGCCGCCCCCAGTACCACCTCGTGGATCACCGCGCTCTAAAAGTAATTTAATTGGTCAATCATGTGGTCGAAAAAAACAATTAAAATCTAAAGAAACAACAATCAATGTTGAACGATTAAAAAGTTTGTCATGTCTCGAACAAAGTGGTTGTCAGAAAGTCAAAAAATGGCTTGAAAGTGTTGAAGTTCCATCCACAAGCAGTGAAATTACTGAGATTTCAATTTCTGATAATATCGAATTTAGAAGCGTGAAGAAATTGGCTGAAAAGTTTGCAACGCTTGACCATAAAAAAATTAAAAAATCGCCAAGTTTCAGACGAAGAGTGTTCGATTCGAGTTTAGTTAGATCTCGAATTGAAAACTATAATTCACTCGACAGCAGCAAATTAAATAGTGCAGCATTTAAATCGTCTGATGCTGGCACTGCTACAGATTCAGGAATTGATATTCCAGCTCGTCCATTCACTCAACATAGACAAGCATTAAATACGATGAATCGATTCAGTCGTGACGGTGAATTTGTATGATTTTGTTGCTTTCTTCGCGTCTATCAAGGGACTCACGTTGCGATTCATAAACGAAGCATTTGCCTTTTTGTATGTGCTATGCTACGTGAAAACATTTAAAAGAAGCTTCTCTGTCATGAATGAAAGATAAATCAAAAGTGTTACACTTTTCTCATTCTTCGTCCCACATTCGCTGTTAAAGTTGTTAAAATTCGTTCATTCACATTTGTTGCCACATTTTCAACATTCAAATTTACTTTAAAAAGTTTCCTTTTACATCAGTTGTTGTATTCAATGTGGGTTCAATCTTCTTTAAAGGTTTTGAAACAAAATGTTGATTAAATTTAAATATTTCATATATTTTTATAAAATTTTTGTCGATACCTGACAATCTTAGGATAAATTTAGCTTTAGATAAGAAGTAGAATTTATCTTCATGGAATTCATAAAATATTTCCTAGAAAGCTATTTGAATATTTGAACAATTGATCAAACAGAAAAGAAGACTGGAAAGCTTCCGACTTGTTACGTAATTCTCACTAATGCAACGCTAATGCTTTCATGTTTTATGTTGTGACTCTCCATTTATGTTTTCATTATGTTCATCGAGTAATCCTCATGATAGTTCCTTTCAACAAAGCTCGTCATTTTCATGAATGCAATTGGAATTCCCATTGAGCTTAAAAAATAAAATAAAATGAATAGAATAAGTGCTCATAAACATTCATAACTGCTGAACTCTGTGGATTATAGAAGAACAGAAAAGGAAGCTAATAAAGTGCAGCGAAATATTTCATATTTTTCCACAAAGATATTTCATGGGAACGTATTGCAAAAAATGAGGAAATGGAAGTGACTTGTGACATTAAATTTCATTGCTACTCAACATAAAATTCTATGCTAACAAATATTTATTTTAAAACTTTCATTTCTCATTTTGTCATAGTCAATTTCATAAAAATGCTTTTCTGTTTTTATCGCTAGGCTCCGCACCGTCATGTTCATCAACTCCACCGCCAGCATTTGATGACATAAGTGAACCAAGCGAGCACAGTGGCTATAACAATCAATCGAGAAATTTAAGCAATGATTATAGAAGTTCAAGTGATAAACGACTAAATTCACCTCGAAGCACGTCAAGCTATCGAGATGATTCCGTTAGGTAACTAACTAACCTTCGCATCATTTAGATTCATTTTCAGATTAAATTCACATTATGTTATTTTCTTTCCCTCCCTACTACCACCATTTGCTTCACTGCCACTTGCTTGTCGCCTTATGTTCGTTTAGTATATCAGACATTCGATTAGAAACTCATTTAGCTAAGGATTCGACATCATCAAATAATAGCAATTATGGATCGCGTGGTGCATTAGCTTGGACGCCTCCAGCTTCGATGGAAGGCTCGACTCCCACATGGACCGAAGGAACACCGAGCTTTACAGACTCAAGCTCAAGTGAGAACGGAGAAATTGGTAAATTCCATTACGGTTGACATCATGTCACGTACATTATTAATATAATCTGCATTTCTATAGAATTTTCTGGCTCATCATCGCCTCTCAATCATTCTTCGATGTCGGATAAGCACAAGCCAACTGTAGAAAAAGCCCTCAACTCCCTCACGTCGGAAATGGTGAGAGTTTGTTATACCGAATCAAAGAGTATTCGAATATCTTACAAGTCACAAGACTTATAAGCACATCTAGAGAAAAATTTACTATTTTCGCTTTTTTGATTTCGGGAATCGTCTGTATGTAAGACTTGTGGTTTTTAATTACATATTTAAGATACAAAATGCAATTATTATTTTGAAATTTATTTGCTATGATTTAAGAACTTCAATTATCTATTTAGTTCAATTTAAAGAATGATTGAAGAGAATCGCGTGAGTGCTTTATTTTGTATTTGAATCTTTCTTGAACAAATATCAATCATTTATTTGAAACAGGGAACGTAACTAGATCCAATTTTCCATACATTTCTTACGTGTCGGTTCCGGTTCTTGTACTGAAAATTGGAACGGGTTCCAATCCCTGGTTTGAAAATCATTGAAGAAAGTAAAAAATCTTTAGAATCTGCTTATTCATGAGTTCTACTTATGATTCTAAATTCAATCATCACTTCAATAAAGTCCTATCGGCTATTAAGCTGAACAAAAACACAAAAAAAAGGAACTGAATTTCACTGAGTAACGTTTGATCTTTTTTTAATGATTGTCATTCGAGTGAATCGTAAACAAAGTTATCTAATTGATATGCGACACTTAAAGTGTGATACTTTCTTTATTATTATTATTTTCCATCGATATTTAATGTTCCTTCGACAAATGAAATATTTTATTAACGTCATGGACCGAACTTTCGCAATTTGGTTTTTATGTTTCTCATCTTTTGTGATTATTAAATAAAATACGATGAAAGAAACAGGCAATTTTTATGAAGGATGAAGGATCATTATAAGACTTCTTTAAAATGAATTGGGTTGGAAAACTTTTTTTTAAGTTCTTTTAAATGAGACTTCTTTCTGTTAGCGGTTTCCTTTCGAATTTTATTCCTTCACATCAAAAGCTGTAAAGCTCTAGTTCTATATGAAAAGCTCAAGAGAACATTTGTTTAAATAGTCGCAAAGAAACTCTTCAAAAAAAAGGGATTAGAGAGTTATTTGTTTACAGAATTCCTAAGCGATAACTTTCATAAGGAACAGAAATGAGTCGTAAAAATTCAAAGCTTTCGTGAGCGTAAAATTAGCATCATCTGGAACTGATCTGACCTTTCCATCGATTTATTATTTTTATTCTGAGTTTTACGTTTCGCCTTAATTTAAGTGCAATTTTTTTTGCTACTCTTCTTAGCAACAACGTGAATGTTGGACCTTTTTGTGCTCTTTTCTTTATTGCTTGTTAGATTCATACTAAGGTATGCCACCTTTTTCCCCTCTTTATTCGCACATGATATATATCAGGTTCTTGTTATAAATGCATTAAAGGAAAGAAAGAATGAGAAGAATATCTTCTGAGTGAGTAATGCAAACTTTATTCATACAAACATATGACACATGATGCCAAGTTTCATTGCTAAGAAAGCTCAAAATGAAGAATAAATAGATAAAATATCTAATCATTCCTATTAATATCAGAAGATTTTATTTGATCACGTACGTACATAAATTTCAAATAGATTAAAATTCATTTTATGATAAAATTAATCTAACTTTAACATCTCTAAATTTTAGATTAATTTTTCTTACATATTTCGAAAAGTTTCTTAGTTTTGAGTTGAAAGTGAAGAGAGAAACTTTAAAGAAAACGAGCTTGTAAAATCTCCTAAATAAACTAAACTGCGACCACTGTAATGTTGTAGATAAAATATCCGATCAAGGGTATTTAATTTCTGTTTCACCCTTTAGGCTTTATTCAATGTTTTCTCTCTTACCTAACATATATTTAATGCAAAGCATAAATCATAATCGTACAATATTTCTGGAAAGTTTGAAATCAGAATTTGCAACTCAATTGAATTTTCATTTCAAATTGAAATTTAACTTGCAAATTTCTCGAGAAAATTAATTTATGTTTGCAGCGTTTATTTCCTTCTAAAGTTAATTAAATAAAATTGTCAGTCATTGGTTGCTTTAAGAGCTTTAAAGATGTAGATATTTTTCGACAGCCTTGCAAAATAACCGAACGAACAAATGCCAGAAATATTTATGAAACATTCACTAATAAATATCATATTGTTGTGAATGTTTGAGTGCTAAAGAAAGAAACTTTCGCAATTGTCATTTCTCGGAATATGATTTTTATTATATTAAAGGGATGTTTTTATGTTCGTTTACGGAAAAGTCGCCACACATTCATGGAAGAAGTAATAAACAATGTTTTGCGTCTTGCCTTTAATATATTGACAATGCAAACAGAAGCAAAAGAAGAAGTCGAATCTGTTATTCACGATAATAATTAAGTGGAAGTGAATTTGCGAATTTATTTGGAAAAGTGTGGGTGTGGACGTTACGAAACTTATGTTCCGCAACATATTTTCCTTTTTATTTATCATTTTGAGTGCTTCCGTTGTTTATTTTTAGGGTGGAAATATTATTTTTTTATGAAATTTCTTTACAAAACTTTTCTTTTCTCCACCAATTATATTCGGCTATACCTCGAAATGAAATCAAAAATTAATTATTATTTTGGTGAACTCGTAGCTTGTAGGAGTGAAAGAATATTCTTCTTATCTTTATAATAGCTACTTTATACAAGGTTTCGAATAAACGAACAATTTGTCTAACGACTTTATTCAAAATGAATAAATAACATTAATGCAGTGAAAATTTCCTTTTATTTTCCCTATGCTTTCTTTCTTTCTCTCTCTCTCTCTCTCTCTCTCTCTCTCTCTCTCTCTCTCTCTCTCTCTCTTTTTTGTGAATCTTTCATGCTCGCAATTATCTGATAACTTGTTGAAAATGGATGCCTCATTACCCTTCAATCTGATAACATGAATTATATGATGGACTGGGGGAAACCGCATATTCGTACAATCAACAATTCCGAAAACAAAAACTATACAGGAAAATTTACGTTATCAGGTCGATTATGACTATAATTAATTTGTCTCAGATGAAAATTGAATACATAAAGTTTTCGCTCGCATTCGCATAAATATATTTCAATGAATTCCTGCAGAAAGAGAAAAAAAAACAAAACATATAATCTTCTACCCAATACTTATTACATAATAACCTGAAATGTTATTTTCTTTTCATCTCATTTATTTATAAAGAATGAAAATAAATTAAATAATAGATAATACCTTAAAAGTATTTAAACATCGCTCTGCAATGAAAATAAATGCCCATTGAAATCAAATCATAATTCAAGACATATTTAATGAAAAAAAACCTTAACTATACATCTCTATACAATAAATAATGTAAAATGAAATTTACCATTTGAAGATTCACTTTAGGATATTAAAAATATTAAACAATTTATTTATTGAATAATTGCAAGTTGAAAAATTAATATTAATGTTGGTTGAAACGACTTAATGCGAAAAAAAAGAAATAAAAATGAATAAACAAAAAAAAAGCAAAAGTTTTTAATTTATTGTTGAATTTATTTGAAAAACATTTTAATCGTGATTTTTAATAATTTTATTAATTTAGTTTCACATGTCATAGAAGTTTTAGAATTTACAAATCAGGCAGGAATCAGGGCTTGGAACCAGCAGGATTTCAATTGGTAGTAGAAGTTCCAGCTCTAGTACTTTCACCATGTTCTAGTTCTGGTACTATTTAGTTCCAAAGCTTGTTCCAAAGCTTGAGTAAGATGCTTCTGTTAGCAACAGTCAAACAATTAGATAAAAGCAGATGAATGATTTACAATCATTTGAGTATTTTCCTTCATATTTTACATTTTTAAAACAAATTTCGCTGATGAACGACAAATTGTAAAGTTAATGATGTTTTCCACAAAAATATTTATTAAATATTTGCAACAGCTTAGACAGAAAAAGTATTTTCTTACTATTATCATAAATCAAATACATATGCCACACAAAAAGAAATTTTTTGAGATTCTGAGCCACCATTCTAATAAATCCAAGTCATTACTCTCAGCATTTTCATTTTGCCCTTTCAGATAATTGTTCATCAATCAACATTGTTTATATGATGATCAACATCAATCATTAATATGCACAAAATTTCTTTTTATTCTCATGTTATCGTTAAAACGAAGAAACTTTAGTTACTTTCTTAGGATCCAAATTAAATATTTTCTCGAACAATTTGTAATGGGAATGAAGTTCTTTAACTTTTAATTAATTTTCAACAAATGAAACTATTCAGAAGTTTTCTTAAAAAGTCAACTGTAAATTAAACTTCTACTTGTTTAAACAAAAGTTTGCAAATACCATATTTGTACTTATTCTTAATTGAATTACATAAATAGTTCAATAAACATTTCATAACAAGCTCATATTATTCAATTTGTATAAAATTCTAGTGATTCCTAAAAAAGCTACTGAAAAATATATTCGGACTATGGGCTCACATACCTAAATGCATAAGTAAGTTATTTCAGATTAAGAATCATCATTCGAGCTCTAATCAGTTAAAATAAGGTTTTTTTCTGCACTCATGTTCGTTCATCTTATGTCACTTTAACGGTATGCAATCACATTTGTAAATATTAAATCACTTAACATCACATAAAACAATTCTTTGTTTATTTTTCATTTTCTACATTTAACAAAAATTTTAATTTCTTTAACTTTTATATGTTTTTATGACACTGTAACATTTAATTCTTATCTAAATGACTTATAATGGAAAAATTCATTTTAAAGCTTTTAGTTTTCGTGTTTCTTTTTTTATAATTAAAAGTTTTTTCGCGTTTTCATTTCACACAAAATGTTCAAGTCTTAAGGATACACATTTGAAATACAAAGTTTTGCTTTGAAATGCTTTAAACTTTAAGTTAAAACGTGTGGATTAAAGAGCTTAGTAAGAAAATGGAAGAAGAAAAATTGCAAGTGTAGAAAGATGAAAGTTCTAATTTAGTAATAAATAGTTTATTAGATGCTAATCATCTACCATTAAAGGATTATTTAGATATCTTCCAACCGTTAGAGATTTCTAAAAAAGTTTATTAGATATCTAATATTTTGATAAAGGAGAGAAAAGCAAAGTTTATTTCTACAGTTTGGTGTTATGACGTTTCACTATGCGATGGTCAATCGATAAAGATTGCCAATGCTACTTTGCCTAATATTATTCCTTGTTTGCGAATATATAAAAAACTGGATCTTCCCATACTTCCTTCGAATCCAAATTACCAAAGTTATCGTCCATAAATGATTCGATTGTTTTGTGGACGTGATAAATAACGCCTTTAAGTTCATGGTCTTCATCTGTGTAAACCTATTTTGGGAAATGTTGTTATTCTTGTCTATTTTCTTGAATGATTGAAGTCTTACCTGATGTCGGAATATGACACCTTTTTGTATGAGAGATTTTGTAAGAAGCATGGTATGTTGTTGATGAACTAATGTGTCAGCTGTACCATGTATAAGAAGATAATTCTTAGAAAGGAAATTGGAAGCTTGAAGGGAAAGATCAGCTTCTTGTAGCGAATGTCCAATCATGCGATTATAACCAAAATATTTTTCAGTAAAGAACGAACCTAGATCAAAAGTTTAATCAAGTGTCATAAAAGTTTCGTTTAGAATGGGAAAAACATAAACAACTCACTGTAGAATTGGAAAGAAACAATTGGAGCCACAGCAATGTAACAATGAAATGTTCGTTTTGTGTCTTTTGTCAACAATATCGATGTGAGATAAGCACCATATCCCCAACCATAAGCACAAATTTTTGTCGGATCAATAATTTTGAAATTGTCTCTCAAATAACTGCGAATGAAAGATAAAGAAATGTTGCAAGCTGTGATTTTTACGACCATATTTATTGAAAATGCTTACGTAAGAACTGTGAGTTGATCTTCGACATCAACAACACTGATGTTTCCTTTAATCTGTGATTTAAATGCCTCCCCTTGGAAGCCGCTGCCTCTTCCGTCAATTTGCGCAACAATAAAAGATTTCTGAGAAGAAAGATAATGATTCCAATCGACTTTGAACTCTTCTGACACCAACTGTGTGCCTGGAGTTGAATCAATATGAAGAATGAGTGGAAATGAAACTTCTTCATCCTCTTTCGCTGCTGGTGGCAAGAAAAGTCTCACTTGGGCATGAAATCCATCCTTTATCTCCACACTGAATGTCTTTACTTGAGGCATTGCCAATTCTTTCACGTTCTCTGCCATTTCTGATCCGAGATTAATGATGAATATTTTCTTAGCTAACGAACTATCTACAAGGTAAACACTTGGGGTGTCTGGACCTAAACACTCCAACACATAATAAGAGAAGTCTGTACTCATGAGAACTCGATTATAGAGACAATTATTGGGTATCAAATCTGCCTCACTTGGTTGTTTATTTTTACCAATCATCGTATTCACTTTCACGAAAATATCTTTTTCATTGTGATTTTTTTCACGAATAAAGCTATTCAGATTAAACGTATTATTTACGTCATAAGTCCCTATGCTATTATCACACGTTAAGCAAACGGGAGTTTTTGGTCTTATATTGATATCATTTGACAGACTATCGAGAAGATCGAATTCCAAAATTATTTTATATAAATGCCGTTGACCAGGACGACCCTCTGGTGCACTCATATAATAAATCGCCTGATTTCTAGCATCCCAACCGAGAATCTCTGTTACCTCGCTACGTCCTATTGTGACTCCAATTGCCTTCTTATTTGTGAATGGAATCAAAGCAATTTGTCGAAACGCGCCAAATTTTCCATCCAACACGGGAAATATTTTAATCAAGAAGCGATTGTTGTTTGTTGATGAATCTGATGAATTCATTTTTAATGGAGAAAGCTTCAAAGCAAATTCATTTGCATCGAGATAAATTGGTTTTTCGGGTGAGATATCAACTCCGATTTCAGTATTTACTTCTTGTTGTATCTAAACACATTCAATAGAGAAGAAATAAATAAAAGATTGCCACATTACTTTGTTTTCTTTCTTCGTTTATCTAATTCCCTATTTGCTTCATACATCAGTTTGTATGCACAAGCAGAATTGTCGATGTTGTGTTGAGTTCGTAAAATAAATGCTTAAATAATGTTACATGAAAGTTTACCGAACAAAATTTTATCGAGAATTTTTAATTACGTTGTGAAAAACATTTCATTAAACACGATTAAAGAAACGTTTATTTAAATAATTTAATTGTAACAAAATCGACATTCCGCCCCGAAGGAGATAATGATAGACGAAGCAAATATAAAATTACGAATTCTACTCACTTCAACGCATTCGAACAACGGCGCTTTGCACAGAACTGTACTCGATAATGTTTGATCTCGAGATGTGTACGTTAATGTCATCTCAACGTTACTAATCCAAAACATATTTCCAATGTAAAAGTCGCCTATGAGATGTTTTGGTAGGACAACTGGAATAAGATTTATGTATTTGAGTACGTTAAGATTCACCACAAAGCATGAAACAGTCGGATTTGGTGTGCTGTATCGTGGATATCGAATAGCTTTAATCATTGGATATTGAGAATTTTTGCCATTCCACGTATATCTGCAAGTACATGTAGAGGTTTTCACATGAATAATTTGATCATTGTCCCGTGAAAAAAGAACGAAAGTGAATTGAAAATAAAACAAAAAGCTCATGAATTTGTTTCAGTAGCAAAATATCGACCAGAGATTGGAATAGAAAATTATTTAAATTCTGTTTGTGATAACAGAAATGAAAACTTTTTTGTCCATCTCTGTTGGCTTTGTAATTCCAATAAACAATATCGGAGCACTCAACAAAAATAAAAGACTGAAGCACGTCTCTTACTTACTCATATTTTTGCACGTTCGTGATATTAAACGACAAGAATGATAAATAACTTCCATTTGTGGAGAAGGCGATGGTATCACTGTTAAGTTCCGGCGTGTTTAAATAAAGCCAATCCGGAATCCCATTGAGAAGAAAATCTTTTTTCCCTGTAAGTATATTTAAGAGAGAAGTCTGAGCAAATAAATATTAAGAAACAAAATAAACCGAAATTCTTTGGATATCAATGAAATTGGGTAAGGTTCATTCAAAGATATGAATATTTGTCTTAAAGAAAAGAATGAAAAGATATTTCTGATATATTTATTGAAGGAATCTTATTCAAAGATTTAACATGGAATGGAAGAAAAACATTCAACCACAAATTTCTGGTCTTGACTTGTTGAAATCATTCCGAAGATAACAAAAACAGAAAAGAAAACTTTTTCTAATTAGTTTCTTCTTTCGATGGCGGATTCTTTTTTTTGCTGCTCCCGTCTGTTATGCATAAGCTTCTAGTAAAGCATAAGTAAACAAGATTTTATCTTTATACAGTTATGAAACAGAAAACAAATAACAATAAGAAATTTTAAATAAGTCAATGCTCGAAAATCTTTTTTTAAAGTTTGAAGGTCTTCCACATCATCGAGCAAAGTTAATAAATTTGCTTTCAATATTTGACAATCTCAATTTATTCATCTTTATTCGTTTTTACAATATTTAAGAAATGTTCCAAAGCTCACCATTTGTCGTTATTCGAATCACCAAATCGCTGTGAATCTTCGGCTTGTAATAAATGTCATAATCATGAATAAATGTCACAGCTTGAGCGATCTTACTCTTTTCAATAGTTTTCACTTTGTTTTTACTACTTGGAAGAACTTTTTTCTCACTATTATTATTATTGTTATTGTTCACTATGTTACTACTATCATAAGATGCTGGTGACCATAAAATTTTCTGCAATTTGACCTCCTCGCTCTCGTTTGGCGTGAGTGCGTAAAAAGTAGTTGAGAAGATTTCATACACGTAGTACTTCGTGCCATTGGAATCATCGTGCTCGCACTCATATAAAAGTATAAAATTCAGATCTGGTGAGATGCTGTAACAATCAACATTGAGGCGTCTCTGTGGAACATAAAAAAACTGGGTTGAGATATGAAAAGAATAAAAAGCCAAACGAATGATGATAATTAAGGAGAAATGCAAATATCTTTTATCCTTTCAACAACAAGCCAGAGAGGAATTAAATAAATAACGAGAATTAAGGGGGGAGAAGGGAAATAAAATCATTGAATAAAAAAACGTCGTTGAAATCAGAATGAAAAACAAATTTTCACACATAACATAAGATGGGGTGGAAATGACAAAAAAAGACAAGGACGAACTGAAAAGTCAAACATAAAGATCACTTAAAGAAATGTCGAATTTTTCCTTAATTATAATGAACATCTTTCGTTAGAATTTTCTCTAATTGAGCATTTTCATGAATAATTTGTGTCGAATATTTAAGGAAAATGTAAATTAATCTTATCGAAATGAAAAAAGAGGAAAGTTTTGTAAATATCAAATTATTCGATTCAGACATTTGAAAGCTTCTAATTTAAGTTGGTATTAGAATTTATTTTTCGTTTTACTCTGTCAATTAATTCTTGAACAAATTAAGAACAATATTTAGCAAGAAAAAATAAAAACAGTTTCGTGATGTTAATGAAGAGCAAATATTAAGCGCCATGAATTTATATTATTTTGACTTACAAATGAAGAATTGTCCATAAGTAATTTGGTTTCTAATGTCTCAGCATTAAATAAGGATATGCCGTTTTCGAGATTCCGAAAGATAAACTCCTTGTCTGTGTAATTTGTCACCATTTGTTGTTGTGTTTTTGTCGCCAGTACCGTATTTAATATGGAGAAAAAGTTGTCAGTTGGCACATGGTGATGATTACAATGTCATGATAACAGTGAAAGGAAACAAAAAAAATTGAGTCATTAATTATGCTTGAAAGCTTATGTGAATGTGAGTATCATCATACATGAAAAGTTGTTGTTGATGCATAAAATAAAAACCGAAAAAAAAGTAGATAATCCAAACTGAATCAGCTCAATCACTTGACATGATTTCTTGTGAACTTACCGCTTATCCAAGAGCCATTAAAAGGCTTCCATTTGAGTGAGTCATTGTAGATATCCGATAGAATAACACGCCTACCATAAATTCTGGTATCCTCAATTTCTGATTGTCATTTTAGAAGTAATTTGCATTCAATTGTGAAAGGGTTGAAGAAAGAAAGAAAGAAGGAAGAAAAAGGGAAGAAATGTTGTGTGAAAATGACTTTCCTGATGTGACATTTTGACAAGTTCAGAACATCATTAGTACGATATAAAAAGTCTACTGACCTGGAGATAATAAGAATATTGAGAAAACTATAATTGATAAGACAGCAGAAATAACGAGTAAAGCAATGCAAATTCCACGCCAATTTCTCTTTTCAGTTGAAGATATTGCAATTTCCTGAAATAGAAAATAATGAAGAAATTTACTTTAATTAATATTAATTCCTTCCTCTCTTTGCCTATTCTATTTAAAAGGAAGGAAAAAGTTTTATGACTTTTGCAATGAAGGGAAGTTCCTTTGTCATTCGCAGCACATGCCATGTCGTGCTAAAGCTTCAAAGCAATTTCAAAACCTTCGCATTTCTTTTCCTAACAAAAATCAAGGCTGATTATTTTTCTGAACTGTAACAATTTATCACAAGGAGATTGAAGCTTTTCAAAAGAGCACGAAAATGTTTTCGTTTACCTTTTTACATCAACAACTCAATTAATTTTATCTTCAGGGGGAAAATATATAAGACTCTGTAGAAACGAATGGAGCACGAGCTTTTAGGGGTCTTCTTATTAATGAAAGTTTATTTTTGGAGAAAGAAGGCAAGAATTTGTCAAGAATATTTATGATTCCATTCAATACTTAGAAGAATAATACAAATTTTCCTTATTGTGTCAGTTGAGAATCATCCTCGTTTATTAACCCGATTTTTCTTAAAGCATCTTAATCATAAATATTTAAGAGATTCTCAAAATTATTTGAATCTCAGCGAGATGCTATAAATAAAAAATACATTACGACTTGAGAACAATTAAAATTTTATTTGTTTTCTTCGGTTTCCTCAAAAAAGCAGACATTTTGCCATGTAATTTCTTCCATGACTTGTTTCTACTGTCGTCGTTTCTATTTTTAAACATGGAAGTTTTTTAACATTCTGTCGAGAAATTGAGAAAGAAAGAAAATTTAATTCAGTGTGATTGTGAATTGTGGATAAAATTTGACGGTTTTCTTTTTCTTTTTTTCCACCCCCAACATTTTTAATATAATTTTAAGGCTGTATTAAGTTCTTCCATTTTTTTATCTTTTTGTTTCTTATAAAAACATTTCAACTTTTTTTTATCTCAATTGAAGTTGAATCGAAAAATGATATGATGGAGTGAAACTTTTCTTGCTTTGCTTAAAGCGACCATAAAAAAATTCATCAAGCATAATAATTTTTTATCTGATCTTTTATTGTCAGCCTTTTATTAAGTGAGGAAAAAAATTGTGCTAAACTATGATGGACATTGATAAATTGTTGTTTTCTTTCAAATCTCATCATAATCATGATGATGTGAATTTGTTTATTGTGTCGATCACATGTCAAGAAATTTGAGCTTTTCTCCAACTCCGTCGAAGTTTACGATGTTGAAAATTCACGTTTACAATTAAATACAAAGAGTCTTCAGTTTTAGGATCTTTGAGATTAAATTTCGAGTAACTTTCTAATACTCTCCAAAGTATTTTGATAATAAATTGAATTACATCTTCAAAAGCGTTTAAGAACTTTTCTTTTATTTTCTTTACAAGCACTTCGTTTTCCCTACTTAGCATTAAATCTAATTAAATTATTCTTTATTTTGTATTTGAAATCCTTGCGGGAAAACATGTTGCATGATTGAATGGAATATTTGTTTTGCATTGTGAATTCCTCCCACAGGTAGATAAAGATGAACACTTCAGTGAATAAAACAACTTTAGAACTCTTTGAAAAATAAATAAGACATTTTCGACTTTATTCAACATTTGTGTAAAAAAATATGTTGAAAATATTTCTTCCATGATTTTGAAAGTTTCAATTGTAATCAACAGAAACATAAATCAGCAACTTAAATGAAGCTTCTATTTCGATTTGAATAAATTTGAAGCACACATACTGTGCTTTTGAAAACGGATGTTGTTAAGTTGAATATAATTTCTTTGCATATCAACATGAGATTGAAAATATGACTGGAAATATGCATGAACGGAATTAAATCAAAGAAAGTGACAATGTCAAAAATATCACTTTTTAAATCTTACACGCTGTCGATATTATAAGTGAAGAATATCTCAATAAATCTGACACGTTCTGAAGATTATTTTTTGAATTGAGATGTTTCCTTTTGACGGGATTTGATCTTAAAATAAACCCAAAAAAATCCTGGAAACTTGTGAGAATGTTGACTTATGTTGCAGGTACATCGACGATAAGAAATGGAAATTCTCCAACCATTATCAAGATCATCAAACCGAAAAGACATAAAATATTTAGTTGGAACTTTATTCTACTTTTCTCCTCATTGAAATAACCATCAGAATAAACAAAATATAAGTGAAAAAAAGCTCAGAGCGTGCATAAAATGTTTGAAAATGAACAGGCTTGAAGACAACATTTACATTTCTAACCGTACGTAAACAACCAACAGAGGGAAAGCAAAAAAAAGGAAGGCATTTGCTTTTTATGATGTGCTCTATTCATGAATTTGTTGTACGTAAATTCAGAGTACAAGAGCAAATAAATAAATAATTTAATAAAATATTTGTGTAGGTTTGATTTCTATTCATTTTATGGTTAAATTTTGTACATAAAACATTCCGTGTTTCTAATTTATAGTCTTTAAATTTTATCTAAATAGTGAACGATTGTTATCGACAAGAAATATTTCCATCATTTACATAATTTCTACCAAATAAATTCAATACTTTTTAGAACAAAGAATGAAGGAAAAGAAATCAAAACTGTTGCTTGAACACCTGACATTGTTTGATTTTCTCGTTTCTCTAACTAATCAACCTTTGTCAGAGTTTTTCAGAAGCATGAAAAGAAAAAATTGAGTTCAAATGAAAGTTTTCGTTCTTTATGTAAATTTGTCCGACTTTTATTGATTTGTTTCGAGAATTGAGAATTTCAGTAGTTGTCATGGGAATAAGAAATATTGCTTAGCGAACAAATCTTTATTTGCCATGATTTAAGAAGAATTTTCATGTAAACATAAATCCTAAATCTTTGTCAAGTTGTTGTATTGCGAAACAAGGAGAAAAAAGTTCTTTTCAAGGATTAATTCTTCTATTTCACGGTAAGGAAATGTGCATGTAGTCAGATATATTCAACTTATAAGACCATCGCATGGAAAAAAGCTTCGAACATCCACAAATAAATGAAACAAGAACCAAATGTTAAAACCTCAAAACATTTATAAGAAAGCCAAAGGCAGATCTTTATGGAGAACTCTGTCTTGAAAAGATGGTGTCACAAGAAAAGGACAAGCACATGAATATATCTAAAAATAAATATCACATTGAAATGGTCATAAACGAGGATTTATGGTAACGCAAAGCCTCGTACACGTAGACCAATGGTGCCAAGGCAAACCGATAAAAAATAAAGTATTAGATTTTGCTTTCTGGTAACAATAATCTGATGAAAGGAAGCATATAAGGCGACAGCATACCAGAACAGAATTGCTTGTTTTCACCAAATTAATTTCCATAAAATTTTGTAACATCAACAGTGAAAGTAATAAATTAATAATGAACATGACGACGGAGGTTGTTCATTGCTTTAAATCACTAAATTGAGCTTTGGGTCATGTTTCATGTTTCATTTGTCATTTAAAGCTTTATGTAACTTAAAGTTATTTATTTTAGGAAAATCATTTTGAATTCCTCGAAGTGAAAACTTTATCTACGAGTTTTAATAATTTTTGCAGCATTATTTATTTTATTGCTAGAAAAACAATGAATAACCAACATGAGTTGAACAGAAGTGTTGAATGTTAAAATAAATTAAAGTTTTAAAAGAACCGAAATAATCTTCACCACATTATTTAAAAGATTAAAGCCGAAATGTTGCTTTAAATCAATTCTAAATCCGCACTGAAATGTCAAAATTAAAACAAGCAAAAAAACTCATTAACTTGACATCCCTGGCCATAATTTTTATTGCTTTTTTCTCTTCACCATTTTATTTTTTAGTGTAAATTACTTTTATTTGTCATGCGAAGGCTTGGAAAATGCGAATAAAGTGGCGGTCTGCTCTTTGCGTATGAATTTAACGTTCATCTACATTAATATCTAAAAATATGTTGCCATAAAGCCAAGCAAGAGACCACAAACAATTCATGAATCTGAAAGATTATTAATTAACTACCCAAACTTTATTTTCCCAAACGACTCTAAAGAACGTTTAATGAAATGAAAGTCTGATGCGTTTTTGGTTTTTCCACATCGGAAATTAATAAATCACAAAAATAATAAAATTTTATCATCGAGTGGATTGAAATATTTGAAAATCTTTTTTATGGGAAATTTCAAACTCAATTGAAAGCATTTGTGGAAATGAATCAAAAATTTTTAGCTCAATTTCCCTCTGCAATCATTTTATACAATGAAATATCAAATTGTTAACGATTTTGAACCACCGCACAATGAGATGGAGTGTTATGTGATGGGTTGATGTGAATATTCAAAGCACATTTAGGAATAATTTATCTATCTAGTAATATATCACAACAGCCTCTCTTGTGTATATGCCGCAAGCGTTTGGAAGTGATGAGAAAGAAAGCGAAACGAGTTCGTTAAGAAATCTTAATTGCTTTCGGATGTGTGGAGGTACGTGCGTGCATGGTGCGAATAAAATTGAAATAAATTTTCCCTATTTTTCCATACATTCATGAACGTCACAATCCAAATGAAGAAAGCGACACATTAAAAAGGAAATCGGAAGGAAAAAAGCCTCGATCATTGTATTATTTTTGTAACACGTTTGGGACACATTTTATTGCGATGCTTGGCATTATTTCATTCACAAAGATAGAACAAAATACGAAATTGTTTTAAACCTCTGAGGGTCTCATATAAAATTTATTTTTATTAAAGATAACGAATAGTAATGAAGTCCCCTGCATTCCTGTAAATAAAAAATTCTTCTTTCTCAACATAAAAAATCAAATTAAATGTCTCAGTCAAACAATTATTTGCATAAAATCAGCATAAATTTGCAATCATTTCATTGCCACCGCTGTTTTCGTGAGAAGAAGCATGGTCTATAAATGACTCCGGGAAATATTCCAAATTGAAATGAAGGGAAAGAAAATGAAGGAATGCGACAACATGAAAGTCTGAAAAGAAATTTCATTTATCAGCGAGCGAGTAATTCACATTGTAAGAGACTTTCCGAGTCAGCATTTGCCTTTCTTACTTTTATTACTTGAGTTTCTTTTTCTTATTAAAGTTTCCCTTTCTTGAGTACTTGGGACGTCACTAACATTTCAGTTCAATAAAAACGACATCAGACACAGCCTTTTTTCTATCCCTCATGCTTACTAAATTGATTTAATTTTGTTTTGACTTTATAGTCAGTATTAAAAGAAATCATTTCATGTCTTTTGAGTCTATCCAACAGATTTTCCTTTCATTGTTCCATGAAGTAGAAAAGTAAAGAAAACTTCAAAGTGATGAATGAAATGCTTAAGGAAGGTTCAAAGCGCATTTAGATTTAAGATTAAAATTTTTCTTTACATTTTCAAGAAAATCTCTTTCCAAAGGGTTTGAAAGCTTATTAAGAGAAATATCCTTAAACTACTACTAAATAAGTTTTTAAATAGCTTTTTCTGTATTCATGTTGTGTAAATGGGAAAAGCTCTTACAAACAGGATGAGAAGGGAAATTTTCCACAGAACGTCATTAAATTTACAAAGTAATAAGGAAAATTGCTCAATCATCTCTATAAAGTAAATAAAATGATGGTAATTGCTGTCGAAGCACTTCATTATGTGCACGATAGAGTTATCGTCTTGAGAACAATAGAATTAAATTTTTTCTCTCTTAACGACACTCCTTTTGGATTGATCACGAAACATGAACTTATCTGCTTCAATTTTTTCGAAAACGGTTTAATTGGATGAAAAAAATTGAATAAAATGATTCCAAATCAAAATAATTTTGTTATGCAAAGTTAAAGTTTGCCGTTACAAATAACATTTCGTGTCACGCCTAAGAAGAATGAAATAAAAAACGAACGGCTTTCAAGCTTCTTATTTCGCAATCAGACCCTCTGGGAAAACAGAAAAGTTTTGCGGCTCTTTGGGTGGATGTTGAGAATTGAATTTTTTGATGATTGCGCAAAAAAAAAGGAAAAAGAGAAAGTGAAAGCCTTTGAAAGCAATAAAATAAACACTTTGATACATCAATATCCTCAAGAAGGCAGTCGAGAAAAAAATATTTATTTATGTTTCTCACTTAGCGGTCACTGACTTGAGTAAATTGGAAGATAACTTTATTGTTCATCATACGCTCAAACGCCCATAAGCTTCCATTTAAAACTTCAAAACAATTTCAAAATCTCTAAAGTAAATTATTTTCAACATTAATGAAACAATCTACGCTCACGATTAATTTTCATTTAAGAGCTTTTAACTCTTCTCTAGAGCTTTAAATAACTCAGAAAAGTTAATCTCTGGAAACTTCACAGATAATAACGTTTCATTTTAAGAATTTCTTCGTCATCTTACCTCAAATTGTGAATCCTTCTTCTTGTTAAGTGATGTTGTATGACCTGAACTTTGAACACTATTCATGATGATGACCCAGGAGAAAACTTTATCCTAAAACTTTCTATTACTTGATTTCTTTTTTTCTTTTTTCTTGTCTTGTTGAAAATTATCAAACACAATTTTTTTTCTTCTTTCTTTTTCACTTTCTCTTCAGGATTATGTATCAACAAACTTTGTCAACAGCTTTATTATTGTCGCTATTTCGACTTGTTGTTGTATCTCTTCGATCTATCTTATTTTTCTTCTTCTCACTATCTTCTCGGGTGTGTCGTGTTTTATGGTCCTTGAATTTGATAGAAAATCCTTTCTAATTGAGTATCACTGTGATGGTTTCGTATTTCACTTCACCCATTATTCGATGTCATGGAGATTATGTTTCATCATTTCATGTGAAAGCCTGTTTGAGAGAATAAAATTCCATCGTTGCCTATATTATTTTAAACAACACACAACCACATGAAAACAACCACAAGGTAACATGACTAAGGGAAATTAAATTTCTAATGCCATCCAACCGCATCTGACATCATCACACTTCACTTTACGGAGCTTTATGAGACTCAACTTCTCGTCGCTAAAAATAACGAAATTCTGTCCTTTTTTTAGAACTGTTTAGGGAGTTGTGTGAAGCATAGCGAAAGAAATTTTAAGGGATTTAACCGAGAATTTATTTTAAGCGTTGATCGGCGAAAAGACGCAAGAAACAAGAGAATCGTCAAAATGAAAAATTGCCCCTCAGATTAAGGGACATCATGCAAAATAGCCACGCTATAAAAATACGAAGGAGGACTGATATGCTAATAAAAAATTTGAGAAGATGAAGACAGAAGAAACATTTTTTTCATTAATAATGATGTTCGTCATTTTCATCTATTTTCTTTTATTATTATTATTATTATTCGATAGGACTCCCTTCAATAATATATTAGATAGCATTATAGTTAAGACAACACGCAAAGAAACAAAGAAAACTAATTTAATATATGAGGGTTGTGCACAACAAATAAGCTGCCAGTTGACATGTTTACGATTCTCTTTAAAGTTTATTTCCATTTACGTCTTTAAACGTAGGGGAAGTTCGCGAAAAGAAGAAAGAGGAAGTTCACGTTGATGATATTATTTGCTTTAAGAATTTGCATGAAATGTTCATTTAAGATATCTAAAGCAGATTTAAGATGAAACCATTTGAAGTAAATCCTCAAAGAAATCAGAGCGCTTTCATTTTTGAGGCAATTTCACTTCAGGCTCAACACGACGAAAATTATCATAAAATCCTCATCGACACGAATCACAAAACAACACACGATGGAAAACTCCGTAAAAGCTTCACAATGAAACAGATGAAATTTGATGAACTTTTCTTCTTTTTTTATGATTTCGTTAGAAAACTTTCACTTTTATTCCTTCACTTTATATGAAAATGAAAATATTTTCCTTCAAATTTTTGTTCCTTTTTTGATATTATTAATGAGAATTTGAATTTTTCTGTTTTACAAAATGTTAAAAAAGGAAGAAAAAAATCACTAAGAATAATAAATTATACACTTGTTACCAACTGCTTGGACATCAGATCGTTTTGTAATGACTGTAAGGGATAAACCATGTAGATATCAAGGGTGAGAGAAGTGATGAATAGCTTTAGAGTGGGTACAGAAGACTCTTTTTCCTTTCTTTCTTTTTTTTATTAGATATTAAATTGAGTGAGAGGAAGTGTGGAATTTTCTGTTTCCGGAAAGCGACTTTTTTGTCAAATTGATAGCGTTAGTCTAACAGTTGGAGAAATTCTTTTCACTAATCAAATTCCTTCCACTATGGAGAAATGTTTGCAATAACAGCTGAAGAAGGAAAATAACTTTATATTTGTCCTTCAGATAGGGACTGAGAAGACGAAAAGCAAACACGTCTTAACTACACGAAGAACTTGTTATCAATGCGAATTGAGAGAGAAAAGAAATTTTCTTTTCCACAAAAAATGGTCTCGTGTTGCAGCTTTACTGAGAAGAATGTTTTTTGATGGTACATGCGTAGTAACGTAATGCAGTTACAAAATAATCATCAGAGTCGAACTTTTGTTATTGTTTATATAGAGAGATGGAAAAAAGCTTCGTGTTTAGATGCTTTTAGAGAAGACTTCTGATTGAAATCATTTCTTGAAGTGAAGTCTACAGAAATTGTTTGCCCTAAGGATTCTAATTTGACTACTGCAAATAAACATCTGAAAGCTTCTTCATTGCTGTAAGTAACAAACAAAAATTCATCACTTTCTAGCAAATTTCTGCTGGTTCTTTGTGCTTCCATTAATCAACGCCATTCATTAAGAGTTCAAAGAAACTTAATTCAAAATTCTCTGATGCATACTCAAGTAAGCAAAAACAAATTTACATAATTTCCCCCGACACTTTGTTTAGCGACGTCTAAGAAATCGTGATCTGTTATTATGCGAATCTATATTATGTTAATTTTTCTTTCCTTTCTAGCCACCCACACAAAAGCTGCATAGAGTGTTTCTTTTTATATTCAATTATGCATGCTTCCATGATTTCGTGTGAGTAGTTTCTTCATTGCAATTTCCTTCGCTCGCTCTCTCAATTTTCAACTTGTTGATTTATGATCTGTAATAATAAGAGCTTAATGATGCGAGTTAGATTGATTTTCACAATCATTAATCATAATGAATTAAAATCATTTTATAAATCTTATTTAATGGGAGCTTTATTTTTTATTGAAGGATTTCCACAAATAAATTTCCATCATCATCATCATTACAATCATTTCAAAAGGAAATTTTATTCTGGATCGTTGAATGTAACTCGAAATATTTTCCTTTCACTATTGGGAACGGTCTAGCTGAAGCTTAAACATTTAGTGGTGACCATCGTCATCCTCATAACCATCGGGCAATGCATTAACATGAGGGTTCTGAAATTAAATGCAATAAGATCCCTGCTCTTTGTGTTAAATATTATTATCATCAACTTACGTGGAACAAGGACTTATTTCCATCACCCCATGGGAATCGCTTATTTCTGATTCTTAAATATTCGTATTTGACAAACTCTGGACGATGTACTGTCATTTTTTGATGTTCCAAATATGTGTTAAGCATGCACAATCCTACAGCTGGCATAGCAACGAAGAATGAAAGCCGTTTCCACAATTTGTAGCCGCCACCTAGAGATATATTTATTAAAAATGAGATATTTTCTTGAGGACGTGATCGTGGACGTGACTTAATGCACATAAAAAGAATGTTCATAAAGAAAAACTTTCAGTCACTTTTGAAGTTAACATCTTTAACAGCATTTTCATTTGCAATATAATAATACAATGATGGTAGGCTATTAGGTATAATCAGCAGTGAAAATTTGATTTTTTATTTTGAAAATATCTTTGTCCTCATCGGAATTATGCAATCGAAAATTAATAATTCTTACCATGTCCTCCAGCACCTTCAGCAGATGCGCTTGCATAGCTATTTTTTACAGCTGTTGTTATACCGCGTTTAGCAATTTGTGTTGCCATTATGTCCCAAATTAATTTTTTCTTTTATGTTTTTTTAGCTTCACAAAAATCAATCGAGAAGTTCAAAAATTGAACTAAAATTCGTCTCAAACTTTTCCGCTAGATGTCGCTAACTTAAGTTGGCGGTAAATTTAAAATCCTTCTTAAAAATTTCCTATCATATGGCCATGTGAGATTAAATGTAATTAATTTGTCGTACCATTTTTAATAGCAATATTCACATATAGAGTATGAGTCACAAACAATGATATAACACATATTTCTTCTCAGATAATTTTGCCTTTTTATTAGCATGAAATTATCGGCTGTTAATAACTTATGGCAGTTTCGAAATCCCTCACAGATAACAACCGATAAATAGTTCTTATCAAAATTGTACGCTCATAAGACTTATCAAAAAAGCCCCACAGTACCTCTTCTATTGTAAGTAGTGCAGCTGGTAATTTCTTGGTCTCAAAATTGAAGCCACAGAGATTAAATAATTATTACAATGGTCAATGAAACAGCATTGCTTGAAAGAAATCAAGACAAAAGGTATTGTGAATAATAACTTATGAGAAATTAATTGCAAGTTTGATAAAAATTTGGATAAGGATACCTATAATCAAAATTCCTTTTTATGCGTTTACATGGAAATTTTAATTAAATTTGATTATTCATGTTAAAAATTTAATAATTTTTTTTTGTGATTACGGAAGTTTAATATGAAGCTCGTATACATTATTACATTATCAAAATTTTCGAGGGCCAAGAATAAGCTTACACTGCTCTTCATGAACAAATTTTGTAATCACGTAATTATATTGGTTTCATTTTTATCAAACTTTTTTCCAGCTGATAAACTGATTAGCCGCATGCTTCGTGAATCATAACAAGAATTTGTTTATATTTTTAGTAATAATTTCTTCGAAGCGTATTTACGATGGAATAGCCATTGCAAAAAGATGTTAGATGAAGCAGAAACGAAGATATTCTCAAGTGAGCTTATAATTTTATGAATTTACTTTTACAATTAAATCGACGATTTATTTTTAGAAATTGAAGCTCCATTTAAACGATATAATGTGAAATTGGGTCAATGTGTCGGACAAAATGATGAGATATGGACTTTCTCAATGAACACTCAAAGCCCTAATATACCAATCGTTTTACTGCATGGCTTCTGTGCAGGGAGCGCTTTCTTCGCAATGAATTTAGAAGGTTTAGCAGAGAATCACCCAGTTTATGCTTTTGATACCTTGGGATTTGCCAGAAGTTCTCGGCCTACTTTCTCTAATGATCCTATTAAAATTGAACAGCAGTTTGTGGATTCAATTGAGAAATGGCGTGAAGCTGTAGGAATTGAGAAGATGGTACTACTTGGCCATTCGTTCGGAGGTTTTCTTGCTAGTTCATATGCTTTAAAATATCCTAATAGACTAGCACATTTAATTTTGGTGGATCCTTGGGGATATGATGAAGCACCTGATCTTCAAGATTTTCCCTTGTGGAAGCTTTCCGTTGCTTATACTGTTCGACTTATGGTTGGACCCTTAACAATGATCAGAGCTTTTGGACCATTTGGCGAGTGGTTAATAAAAAATGTTCGCCCTGATCTTTTACAAAAATATCAATCAATTGTTGATCCATCAATTGTTTCTCGATATATATACCACTGCAATAATAACAGCAACCCTTCAGGTGAAGCTGCTTTTCATCGTATGACACGTGTCGGTCCGTGGCCGGTACATCCAATTGGTGAAAGGATGAAAAATGGAATAAGTGATGACATCCCAGTTACATTCCTTTATGGTGCAAACACCTGGATGAATAGTACTTACGGAAAAATAATTAAAGAACATAGAAAAAGTAGTTACACTAACGTTGAAATTGTCGAGAATGCTGGTCATCATATTTACACCGACAACGCTCCTGAATTTAATCGATGTGTACTTAATGCATGTAAAATTATGAACAAAACAAAGAACTGAAAGTAAAACTTATAAATATTATAATAATTTAAATGTTGTCAATCTACACATTTGCGTAGCCAAAATAATAAAAAAAAAAATCATAACAATTTTTGTAATGCTAATTTGTCAGATGTAAAACAATCACAGAACGTTGAAACTGAAACGGTTGAACGCTTTTAATTTCAACTGCCAGTAATGTGAAATGAATTTAAATCGTTTAGTTCCCTTTATTCCAACATTTCTCACGTTTAGTTTTATATAAAATATTATTCAAGCTTTTCCCACCCACTCATACATATCGATACGTGATGGGAAAACATTTTTCATTGGACTCGCGTAAATATTTTTAATCATCAATGTTATTTTGTTAATACCGCCGAGTCATTTCAAAATTAGTTTTTTGTTGTGATAAAAGGAATTTCAAGTCATAAGATCAAAATTATTTCTCGGGGACGAAATCATGGTGAATGACAAAGCAGTTGTCAATGCTAGTGAAGTTCGTAGGTGAGTTGAATTAATCTTTCAAATTTTACATAAATTTGGAAATCGTCAGATCAGATCATGAAATTATCGGTAACCTTGAGTACATTCAATGTATCAGTAATGACGTCAAGTTCAAGAATGTTTTTAATAAAGAAATATTTTGTGATAACAACTTGCGATTGATATGAAACTCAATTGAAATTTTAATTCCCAAAAAGGACATCAAAATATTTCTTAGCGGCAGATCTAAACATGACTCGAAGAAATAGTCGGCAAATTAAATATTCATGATCTGAAATTTTTTCTATTCATGAAAGCTTTAATTATATTGTTTATTGTACAAAAAAGCTGCGCATTTTCATCATATTTACGATGGAACGGACATTCAGCGGATCTTTTAGACCAATCAGAAACGACAATTTTATCAAGTAAGATTAAATTAATGAAATATCCGTAAAGTAATCACATATCATTAATGACTGAAGGGAATTGTATGAATTACATTTTCTTTTATTCTAATTATAGACGTCAAAGTGCCTTTTGATAGATTTCCTATCTCTCTGGGTAATTGTGTTGGAACGAATGACGAAATATGGACGCTGTCGATGAATACTGAAAGCACAAATGTTCCATTAGTTATGCTACATGGATTCGCAGCTGGAATTGCTTTTTGGGTGATGAATTTGGAAGAACTTTCCGTTGATCGACCATTATACGCAATCGATTTGCTTGGATTTGGTAAAAGTTCTCGGTCGAAATTTTCCACAAACGCAGAAGAAATTGAACAACAATTTGTTGAATCGATTGAGAAATGGCGTGAAATCATGCAAATACCAAAGATGATTCTGCTCGGTCACAGCTTCGGTGGTTATCTCGCAAGTTCCTATGCAATTAATTATCCAGATCGTATCGAACATTTAATACTCGCTGATCCTTGGGGATTCACTGAAAAACCTGATTTGAGCAATGTTGCGTTATGGAAACGATCACTTGTGAGAGTTTTCCAAAAGATGACTCCGCTCGCAATTATTAGAGCTGCTGGGCCTTATGGCGAATGGTTGGTTAAGAAAGCTCGTGGAGATATTCTTAGAAAATATGAAAATGTCGTCGCTGATCAAAATATCATAGCTCAATATATTCATCAATGCAACAGCAATCGAAATCCTTCAGGCGAACAAGCTTTCAAGAACCTTCTTGAAGGTGGACCATGGGCTAAATATCCAATGGGGGAAAGATTAAAAGATCAAATAAATGATGAAATTCCTATAACATTTCTTTATGGTGCAACGTCATGGATGAATAATACTTATGGTGTCATTATCAAAGAGTCACGACCGAAAAGCTACACACATATTGAAAGCATTGAATTTGCTGGTCATCATGTTTACTCAGACAATGCTCTTGACTTCAATCAGTTTGTGAACGATGCGTGTAGAGTTTTAAAATCAAAACGTCTGACAACTCATTGATTGATAATATTTTTAATTTATTTTCAGTATTATTCGTAGACTTTGATAAGAAAATTTCTTCATATGCTCTTATTTTGTAATAAAATCATAGTAGACAAAATATAAGTTTTTGATTATGTTGGGATTAATGCTTAGAACGTTTCATTTTCATGTTATTTTCGTGGTGCTATAAACCGCACCGTTTCATGTTGTACAAAAATTATTTTTCTCTTCTCTTTGAATCGGTTAAGTTGATTGATTTTTGTGTTCCCTGAGTGCAGTCAAAGAAGTAAAGAAAAAATTATTTTAAAGCTTTTTTTAGTTTGATTTCGACGGCTATTTGATATCATCTGTGTAAAGAACATTCGTTCATTTGAAATGGTATCAAAATGTGAAGGTGGCGAAAAGAATCAAAATCAGAGGTGAAAGATAAATAAATAAATTTTACCAACATTTCAGTTTTACCTCACTTTCAAACATATTGAAAAAAATAAATATTCGTAGTTGACCTTGAACCCTAATAAAATCTGATTTAAAACTCTTTCATTAGACGCTTCCTTTCGTCTCTAATGCGATGGAATTTCCATTCGACAAAAGCTCTCGACAAGACCGAAGAAAAAATGCTCTCTGGTTAGTGATTGCTGACTTCACCCACAGTTGGGATTAATGTGGCTCATGATATCAAAAACTCATTTACTGATATTTCATTTTTTTCTTTTTATTTCTTTTATTTCTATTTAGGAGTGAAGACTCAATACAACAAATTCTACGTTGACATAGGGCAGTGCGTTGGTGATGATGACAAAATTTGGACTCTCTCGATGAATACAGAAAATAATTCAAATATTCCAATGGTCTTGCTTCATGGTTTCGGAGCTGGAATAGGATTTTGGATTTTAAATTTTGATGCATTTGCTGCTGAACGTCCAATTTATGCCATCGATCTCTTGGGCTACGGGAAGAGTTCAAGACCAAAGTTCTCGAAAGATGCCGAAATTGTTGAGAATCAATATGTGGAGACGATTGAGAAATGGCGACAATTTATGAGAATAGACAAGATGATCATTCTAGGACATTCATTTGGTGGATTTATTTCCGCTTCTTATTCTATAAAATATCCTGAACGAATCGAGCATCTTATTTTAGGTGATCCTTGGGGATTCACACCAGCCCCAGATTTAAAGCAATATTCTTTGTACAAACGTTCCTTAATTCGTGCTTCTGGTGTTATCTCGCCTTTGTGGATTGTGAGGGCGGCAGGCCCTCTCGGTCCGGTGATTTTGAGAAAAGGCCGCCCAGATATAGTTGAGAAATATGAAAATGTTGTTGATAAACATGATCGTACTATTGCCAAATATGTTTATCATTGCAATACAAAAAAGACGACAGGAGAGCTTGCATTTAGGAATTTACTTGATGTCGGTGCCTATCCAAAACGTCCAATGCTTGAAAGACTGTTGAATGGTCTTAAAGAAAATATTCCTATGACAATTATATTTGGTGAAGAGTCGTGGATCGATAATTCATTCGGCCCTGAGTTAAAGAATGGACGAAGTGTAGAAAGTTACACGCAAATTGAAAATATTAAATCTGCTGGTCATCAACTCTTCTCAGACAATGCAGAAGAGTTTAATCGAATCGTGCTTGAAGCATGTAAAGTCCTCAAATCAAACAAAGCATAACTTTAGTACTTTGATTAAATTGATACTCATAAGGCGATTGGGAGTTGTTGGGCGGAAGTTTCATCATTTCATTTCGTTTATGCCATAATTTTTTCACATTTTTGCATAAATATTGAATTAAATTTTTAAAAATTGACAACTTTGTCCATCAAAGGCTATCGAATGTTAAAAGCTTTAACTACATTTATTGCAACTACCAATCCATAAGATCAAAACTTTTTGTTTTTTTAATTTATTTTCTTATTTTTGTTTTGCTATAAAATACGCTTTAACAAATACAAAAATTGTTTAACATGAGACCTATAGAGAGTAAAACTTTTTATCTAGAAGCACATGATATATTTTTCTGAGACACGATTTTATTGAATAAAAATATCTTACAAAAAAAAAAATAAAAACTCACTCTCATTAAATGAGTAGGAGAGAATGAACAAGAAAAAAAAACAGTGAATTAAAATCGAAAAGTTGTTAGTCACGAAGAAAAAATCGAACCGTAAGCTGTGAAGAAAGATATGGGAATAAAATAAATGTGATGAGTTCAATTGTGACAACCTTGATCTTCGAAAATAAAAAGTTTAATAAAATTAATGATCACTGAAACTTGCACATATTGAAAATTGTTTTATTTATCAACAAGCCGGTCACATTCACATAATTTATTTGAAATTGCAGCAAATTGAAGCAATTCTGTGAATTTATATCATTATAATTTGTATTGCACAACAACTTTAATATGGAAAATACAAGCAGTGAGTACGGAAGAAAATTTCAACTTCTGGAAAAGTTTAAAGTGCTTTACGACTTAAGGTGAGTGTCCGAGGCTGATAACGTAATTCTGTTAAGATAAAAATGAATAACTTGATACACTCACATACAAATGATAAGAAAAGTAGTCTAACTAAGTTATTTTTATAGACCTGTTTAAATTTCAATCTTGTCGTGTATTAGAAAAAGTTTTTTTTTGAATAAGGCTTAAAATTATTAAGCGCAAAAAGTTTTTCGCGCACACCCAAACCCACATCTGTTCGCAGAATAATATTATGTAAAAACCTGATTACTCTTGTTGTAAACACTTCACATTACGAGAAAACGAATAGAGGGAAATGGAAAGAAAGAGTGAGAGAGAAGGGAAATGAAGATAGTGAAAAAGAGTAACACCCGGCAAGTCTTATCAAACAAATAACTTTAGATACTTAAAAGCTTCACGATAAGTGAGTTTTGTTCCTAATTGAAATGTTCTAAATTTTGTGTAGACAAAATGTTATCAACTAGATCAACATTGCGCAAAAATGAAAACAAAGTAACAAAATCAAATAAAAGTTTAATTTTTTTATCACTTGATTTAGTGAATCAACCCCAATGCAAATATGAAAGTAAATGAAATGTGAGTCAAGGTCGCTGAGAATTTATTTTATTTCAACATGTATGCTTGATTAAAATATCGTCAAGAATTTTTAATACATGTGCAGAAATGACGAAATGTAAAGTTGACGTCATTTGTACATTTTGTTCTTCAAGAAATTTCTTGTAATAAATATTTTGATGATGCGTCTTACAAATTCTGAATTTATCTATAAATCATTTGATTCTCTCAAACTTCTTCATTTGACAGATCATTCTTTTCGTCACTCTTCCGATGGAACTTTCATTCGAAACAAGCCTTAGAATCAACAGAGGATATAATGTTGTCAAGTGGGTAGATGATTGATTTAATAGAATATTCTCAAAGCAAAAACAAATCTTGAATCAACCTCCCAGGTGTTAAATCGTCGTTTCAAAGATGTCATGTGGAAATCGGAACATGTGTCGGTGATAATGATAAGATTTGGACACTTTCAATGAACACAGATAATGAAAACGTTCCGATTGTTCTTCTTCATGGCTATGTCAGTGCACTCGCTTTGTGGATGTTAAATTTAGATGACTTTTCAGCACATCGTCCAGTTTATGCGATCGATTTGTTGGGATTTGGAAGAAGTACTCGACCAAAGTTTTCTGATGACCCTCAAGAGATTCAAGAACAATATGTGATGTTTTTAGAAAAGTGGCGAGAAGCGATGAACATTGAAAAAATGATTCTATTAGGTCATAGCTTAGGTGGCTTTATATCAAGTTGTTACACTTTGAAGTATCCTGAAAGAGTTGAACATTTAATTCTTGCTGATCCTTGGGGTTACACTCCCGCCCCAGATCTCAAACAAATTTCCTTCATTCGTCGATCATTAATGAAGGTTTTTACAAGATTTCCACCATTTGGGATTGTCAGAGCAGCCGGCCCTTTAGGACCACGATTCCTTCGATCCGCAAGGCGAGACATTGTTGAAAAGTTTGAGCAAAATCTTGACGATCGACAGAAGAAAAGTGTTTCGGAGTACATTTATCATTGCAATAATACGAATCGAAGTGGTGAATTGGCCTTTCATCGAATGCTTAACAATGGACCATGGCCACAATATCCGATCGGTGAGAATGTTAGAAATAATATTTGCCATAAGATTCCTTTAACTTTCATCTACGGCGTGAACTCGTGGCTTGACAAAACTTATGGAAATATTATTAAAGAATCACGTCCAAGCAGCTATACGCGCATTGAAATGATCGACAATGCTGGCCACAAAGTATTCTCGGATAACGAGACAGTATTTAATCAATTAGTGGTAGAAGCTTGTAAAGTATTAAAATCATGAAATTTATTTTCGTTTCATCTTCAAAAAAATTTTTTTTATTAAAAAACAAAAATTAGTAAATAAAACGAACAAAGCCAAAGGATATGTAATTAAGGGAAAAAATAAGTGATTTTGATTATTAAATTAAGGCACAAAAAAGAATTAGAATAACTGACTGTCTTGAACATGTTTTTCATTTGTAAATAATACTTAATTTCCTCTGTCTGCTTTTGTATAATAAAATGTGCAAAATTAAAAACGAAATTGCCAGGGATGTGATTTGTTTCCTTTTGTTACAGTTTACTTTTGTAAAACTGACAAACATCATCTCTGCATAATGATAAATATTGTATTTTCGGTATTTATTTGAAACTTTAAGTTGTAAATATTTAAATAAGTAAAATTATTCCAATTAAGAAGAATCAAGGATTAAATTTAATCTTAGTCTGATTATCCTTAATCCGGATTAAGAAGAATTTTAATCTTCGGAATCCTTAATTGGAATTTAATTTATTTAAAGGAAATAATGAAGTAAATTTCGTTTATTGTGTGTGTGTTTGGGAGCCTAAATCTTAGGCAGATAGAAATCATGGAATCAATTAAATCATTGAAGATAAAAATAGAAAGGTCATCGATTTATGTAAAAATGTCATTCAAATATTTGTTAGTAACTTAAAAGACCTTCGTAAAACTTTCGTGTTGATCTCAAAGGCACAAGAAAAAGAAAAGAGTTTCACTTTTCGAGACTAATTTAAAAATCTAATCTCAAGTTATTGTTGAAACTGCGTGACGAGTGTTTTTGTAGCTTTTGCTAAATTGTATGCACAATTTCGAACTTGCTGTAGATAAATTTCAACAATTGTTGGATTGTCTTTGATCAGAGCTCGTTGAAGATTCGTACATTCAGTTTGAACACTCGCAGTATTCAAATTAAGTTGACGTAAGGCAGATTTCAGAACTTCGTCATTCATAGTGGGTGGAAAAATGGCAATCAGTTCTTCAACCCCCACACGAATGCGTTCTGAACATGGCACAAAAGCATCTTTTTTTGTGAGATCTTGCATGGCAAGCCAAAGTTCTTGAATTCGACGAGTCACAACTTCCGTTCGTTTTGTAACTTCTTCAACTAATGGCATTGGTTGATTAGAATTCGAAGAATTTGATGAAGATGAACCAACAGAATACAAACTTTGAGTAATTGTTGGTCGATTTTCTTCGCGAGGTGTCTGACGTGCTTCATACATTGATACAGGTCGCTTTGAATTCATACCAGAACCATTTGCAGTAGACGATCTTACATCTAAAACAGGCTCAACTTCAGTAGCAGTTGTGTCAGATGCATCATGAATTTTCCTTAAATTTTAAAACATTAAACAAATTTATTTTGATTAATCAAACTTTTAACTTACAATTGCACATCTTGAGGAATTATTTGTGAATCAATTCGAGTCTTCAGCATTGAATTTTCCATCGCCAATTTCTCGACAATCGTTTTCAGTTCAGATATCGTCAATTCAGAATTTTTCAATTGATTCTTCAACGTTTCAACTTCCAAAGGATTAAAAGTGCTTGCATTATGTACAGGCGATTGTTGATGCACATTCGTTGGGGTGGGTGGTTTTGCAGACACAATAGAATTCAAATTACCGGAGCTTGAATTAAGCGTCTTTGTGTGTGAACAAATTTAATAGTTTAATTATTGACCTTTTGGGTTCTCAATTTTATTTATTAATAAGAATTGTTTTGATACTTTCGAACAAGCTTTAGATGATGTTTCAGGCACAGAAAAAATATGTTATCATCTCTCTAAACACCCCTACAATGATTATTAGTACAAATAGTTGACTACGACAATTTTTAAACATTGCACATTTACAAATCACAATATGAATGCTAAGTACGTTAATCTGTTTCAAATACAATTGGCAAGCATTTTGGTTGAAGCATTTCATCATTTTAATGATTATTTACATGTTAAAATTAAATCATTTTAATCGTCGATTATTAATTTGTAATGATTATGAATGAAAAAATGAGAATTCAGCTAGCATCACATAAATAATTAGACTAGATTTAAGGATTGAAATGTTAGTCAATGCTGTTAGTATTCCTTAGCCCACGAGTGAATTTTACCTGCTGTGCAACTGGTGCAAACACTTGACCATAATCATCATCAGCCACGGCATCGTACAATGGTTCGTCATCAGATAAATTTGATTCACGATTTTTTCTCAATTGAACAATGTTTGGTGGTAATGGAGTTGAAACTTGATCCAATGGACGCAAGTTTGCAATATTTTGTCGTCTTCGTGCGTCTACTAAAATGTCACTAAGTAAACCACAAAACTCCACATGAGAAAATCTTGCAAGCTTTTGACGTCCTTGATTACGTGTAGCTGACAAATGTGGATTTGTTGGAAGAAAAGGAACTCCACCGACTTCAGGATTTGGCGAACATGTTGACCAGACTAATAATATAAAATACAGTTAACTATATCACATTTTTTGTAAAGAATAAAATCATTACTTGTCTCCATTTCACGACGATCAACTTCTTCGTAAAGATCCATAACAAGCTCTTCAAACATTTTGTTAGGAATCAACTGAAGTTTACCTCGAGCAATCTTAAGATGTTCATTGATTTCCACTCGACTTTGCTCTGGGATTATTAAATGCTGTCCACTCTGAGAATAGTATTTGATAATTTTCTTCTTCATCTCATTAAATAAAGTATAATTAAACTTACTGAATGATCTGGTTTCCGCCCACACAAGAAATAAATAATTCGATCAGTGACTTCGAAACTTGCTTCAGTTAAACGTTCAGCAATTTGTGTAAATTGATTCTGTTTTGCATGATCAATGGCTGTGTTTCCACTTCCATCAGTTGCATTGATGTCAGCACCATAAACAAGAAGAAGTTCAATCTGTGCTGCTTGACCAAATTTAGCTGCAACATGCAAAGGCATTGTCGAGCCTTTCTCTTCATGAATGAAGTTTGGATCTGCTCCCTGAACCAGCAATCTCAAAGATGTTTCAAGATTTGATGACCTTACACTTGCGTGAAGCTGTGTACTTAACTCCTTCTCAAGACTCGTCGAGTTATCAGCTTGTAATGTTGGTTTCAAAACGAATTCCAAATTGACATGCTTCGCACGAATGAATTGTGACTTGACTGGAATAGAATCCTTTGAACTCGGCTTTCGCTTTTGTTGTTTTGAGCTTGGATCAAGTAAAACATGTTCCCATACAGAATTTGCCCCATGACCGTTGATTTGATTGATATAATTAAGAACTGAAGGGTTCCAACATCCTTGCCTCAAAGCCTTGACAATTGACACATGAGTCCCAAGTGAACGATGAATTGATGCACAATCAGAACAAAGTAATATACCTTAAAGATAAGAAATGAATGACGATTGAAATGTCACGAAGTCATGATTTAATATTTTTTATTACTCACCTCTGTTTAGAGAAGCAAATGGTGCATCTAAGTGAAAGAAAATTTTCATTAAAATCCATAAATCTTTTATCCTTCAAACATTTTATCTCCCCTTGTAGTCCACAATCACCGCAAGTATCCACTGAGCCTCGAAGTTTGGCTCGTGACATTATAACACAGTTATAATCTTGGATACAACACATAAAATAAAATCATAATAATTTTTTTAATGTTAATTTGACCACCAGATGTCAGTTTCTTCTAAGCACAGCTCAAGTCAGTGATGTTTTTGAAATATGAAATTCGTTTTGGAGAATTTTCTTATGCTTGAGTTTCTTTAAAAAATTTATCTGATTTAAAAAATATATCGTGATTGAGAAGCATGGAATGTTCTATTGAATTTGTTTTTTTCTTTTAATTCTGAGCTTCATTTTAGATTAAGAAATGAGGGCTTTAGTAGTTTTTCTACAAACACATTATTAGTTTGCAGTCGAATTTCATTCAAAAATATTTTTCTTTTATCAGTCCTGGAAGTAAATAAATGATCTAACTGAATCCCTATACCTTTTATGGTGAACAGAAAATATAAAGTGTTTCATTAAAAGTTAAAAATCAACGAAAAAGTCACAGCAAATAATCAAAATAAGAGTAAGTGAAATTTGAACAAGATTTAGATTTTCTAATAAGACAAGAGAGAAAATCAAGTCGAGGGAATTCTAATGCAATTGTGAGAAGAATCATTCTGAAATATTCATAACTAAGTTTCTATAAAGTTTCCTGAAAACTTCAAAAGTGTATAGGAAAATTTGTCAATTTCATTGAGCTTCTTTTTTTTTAATTTTTTAGTTCTGTATGGTCAAAAATCTTTTTTCAAGGTAAAAACTGACGTGGATTAGTTGTTATTGGCTTTATTTGTTAGTATGAAAACACAAAACATCAACAATACTAAATAAATTTAAGAGAAATATGAATATAGTCTAACAATATGTCCAGAATCTTAGTAAAAATGTGGAAAATCATTTTTTGTAATATTGAATTTGTGATAAAAAGTTTTTTTTTTGCTTATCTTCAACCACAATTTTAATCTTCTTCAATAACATTCAAGTTATTAAAAGAAATTTTATGCATCAGAGCGGTTGTATGGCTTCATTAAAATCATTTCACCCGTTAAATTTATCTGGGCATTGGTCACATAAATGTAAAGAAAAGGAGAAAAAGTAAATTCTTACTTGACGTCATAGTTTTGTATCTATTTACATATAAAGTAAAAAAGCTAGATTTGATTCCATTTGAAAGATGTCAATATATGTTTCTTTTGCGTCAATGATTGATATGTAAATTGTTCCTTTAGTTATTGATTAGAAAAAGAACTCGACAAGTATTTGGAATAAACTTTTATTCTATTCAATTCTCATGACTTCATCAACAAGAAACAAAGAAAAAAAATAATATTATGATAATTATTCATTAATTACATCAAATGGATTTAAGCTTGGATCAATTTCAAAACAATATTAACAATGTTATGAATTTGCCATAAAAATTTCGTTGACTTTGAACTCCTTGATAGCTCAAACGACAATTTCATTTCTTAAATCTTTAAACCTTCATCAGTTGCAGGTTCGATTCCCCGCTGTGACATAATTAAAATCATAAAAGAATATTTTTCTTTCAAAAATGATGTTCAATCATAATATTTGCTACTATTGAAGGACTTGTTTCCTAATGTATAAAAGAAATTATAACTGATTTGAAAGAAAAACTTTTTGTCATCTTAAAATCAAAGAAAAAATGTCATAAAATAAAATCGTAATCTAAAAATATTTGCAGATGTCATCATCAACGTCAAATCCTTTACCTGATGTAGAACCGCAGGCTTCAACAAGTGAATCTTCAGAGTATAAACCACAACAATCAACACAATATTCTTTTAAACCTTCACCTGAAAATAGTAAAACGTCAACGAAAGCAGATTTTACAGATGACGAAGAAAAGAAAGATGATTCGATGTATGTTTGTAACATCTGTTTGGATATAGCCAAAGATGCCGTGGTTTCTATGTGCGGTCATTTATATTGTTGGCCATGTTTAAGTAAGTTTAATTTTCAAGCATGTCTTAAGCGGTTAATTTAATGACAATTTTATATTTTAGACACTTGGCTCGAGACTCGTCCTACTAGGCAACTTTGTCCCGTATGTAAAGCAGCAATTTCCAAAGAAAAAGTGATTCCATTATATGGGAGGAATAGCGACAAACAGCAAGATCCCCGTTCTAAAGTTCCACCACGTCCTCAAGGTCAAAGAACTGAACCAGATCCAAACACGGGCTTTCAAGGCTTTCAATCATTTAACGGTGCTGATGGTGGTTTTCATCTTTCATTTGGCATCGGTGCATTTCCTTTTGGCTTTTTTGCTTCCAGTTTCAATTTCAATGATATGAGACCGTCAGCGAGAGCTCCACAACACCAACAAGGAACACCACAGTTTGAAGAAGATCAATTTCTTTCGAAAGTTTTCTTATGGGTGGCTTTGTTTTTCTTTTCATGGTTGATTTTAGCTGAAGCTTAGTTAGTTATAAGCAGCGCAAACAATAATCATAATTTAATCAATTAAAAACATTCCAACAATTTATCATGATTTTGTTTGTTTGAAATTTAAATTGTTTTAATTTCTTTCATCAAGATCATGTTTGCAGATGCCAGTTTAATTAATTACTTTATTTCTTTCTTTTCATAGTTTCTCTGATATTCTCAAGTATCTGAAGATTGTTATATATTGTGGTGGAAATTGCAAAAAAATTAAATATTATATAATTGTTATTTATAATTTGGATGATGATGTCGGTAATAAAGAAGAAAATGATTAAAGTGGTTTTGCATTATTTATTGTGATGAGTTGTAGGATCGATTTAAGTAGAATTTTGTTTCAGACTTTAAATTGTGCTACAATCTTTGATCAACCTACGAAGCTTATCATTTAAATTAATGTAAATAAAGTTTGTTTTTAGCTTTTTCATTAAACTTTATTTACATTTATAAAACATCAGATGAACCAAACTTTCACAACATTTAAATTAAATTTTATAACATGAAAGAATTTCTTAGTTAAAATTCAGTAAATATCAAAAGACTCATTTTTCAATACAATCTGAAAGTAAATAAAAGAAAGATAAAATAAAACTCGTATTTTGCTATTTTTAATCATTAATAAATATATTTTCTCGGTCATATGATTTTTCTTCTGTTTTCATTTTTGTTCAAATTTCCATGGAAAGAAAATAAAAAGTTTTTCCCTTTATTTCATTTTATTTTCCTTCAATGAAAATCTTTAAATTATTATCTATGTTAATTAGATATATTCTTATCAATTCTCTACAGACGAGTGATGGTTGTTGGCTTATGTTGTTTAAAATTTACTCAAAAACTTTCCTTCAATTCTTTATTTTTTTAAATATAAAAACACATAAAATATGCAGAAATTGTATGATCTTAAATTCTACGTTAGTTATTTTAGTTTTATTTCTTGTTAGCTAAATATTCTCCATGTGTGTGTGTGTATGTGTTTTCTTCTTTCAATTATTTACTTATCAACAAATACAAAGAAACGAAATAAGACAATTAATTATTGCATAATTCATTTGATTCTTCTTTATAATAATGAAATCATTGAGAAAAGTGGACTCGAAGTAGGAAAATTTTGGAAAAGGAAAATTGAAATCAGGAAGGAAAATTTTCTTAACATCTACGATGAAAATTATTAATTCTTAACTCTCTTAATTCGATTAATTATTCTCAAAAAAGAAATTTATTTGCTATTCTTTTCTTCATTATTTTTTTAATTATTTTTCCATTGTTTTGAATCTTCACAATCGCTTTTGCGTCTTTAAGGAAAATTTCCTTCTTTCTGTTAATAAATTTTCATTTCTTTTTTTAATTCGCTTCTTTCTCTCTGCCTTCGTAACTTTGGCTCTTTCATCGTCACTCAACGGGTCATTTCGCTTTCATCTCAATGGATTGATTGGCATGAGGACTTTCGTCATCGTTCATCATGGTACACAAAGACGATGGCTTCTGTGGATCACATTTTCAGACTTTCAGTCTTTGATATTTATGCGAATGTTTCGTTTCGCAATTTTTTGTTTGAAACGTTTATTTGCTTGTCTGCTTGCTTTTACTGTTGGTTCTGTGGTAGCATTGCATTTGCTTTTTTCAAGGGAAAATAATTTACAAAGCAAAACTTATTTTTAAACTTGAAAGAAAAAAATGACAAAATTTTAAGAGATATTTTAAAACATCAAAAATATTTAATAAAAGAAAATAAAGTGTCGGCAGATAATTCAAAAGTTTTGATAAATTTCATTTAAAATTTGTTGATCCAAATAAAACGAAAAGCCGAAAAATTTAATTCTATGAAATATTCCAAGTCGCCATTTCATTATTTCCCATGTGATCATCATTAAGATTATGATGATTAAGTGATGATGATGATGAAGTTGCCGGTGTTGTTCCAGACGATGATGATCTACTTCCAGCAACAGATGCATTTGTTGTACTGATTGGTTGTTTAGGACCCCAAATGCGAACAGTTCCATCATCAGAGCACGAGGCCAACATTGATGGATAAATTGGATTCCAGCTAACACAGTTAACTGTTCTTGTATGTCCAGTGAGTGTTAACAATGGCTGTTCGTTTCTTATGTGCCAAATATAAACAGTGTTATCCTCGCTCCCACTTGCTATGAAGTTCTCATTGACGCCTCCGAAGCAAGAATAAACCGTGTAGTTACCTTGAACGACACCTTGGAAGACTCTCACCATACATTTATCACGCAAATCCCATAAATGAAGGCCTTGCGATGACACATTCAACAAAGCCAATCGATCAGATGAGTTAACACTAAAAGTCATGATTGGATTGTGTTCTTGTATCATGTGAAAATCATTACGAGATTCAAAGCAATATGATCGAATACGATGATGTGTATCAGACCCAAGGACGGTGACATTATCAGAACGAAATGCGACTGAATTTACTCTTACACCATCCCAATTATTTAATATCGCACCTTCCAAATCACACAAATAGAATTGTCCTCGTATACCGCCAGTGACAAAACGTTGTCCATCTGGTGAAAAAGCAGCACATGTAAGCGATTCATCATTTGAATGTGAAACTTTTGAATGAAGTTTAAGCTCTTCAATATTGAAAATAAGCAGCTCGGATGATTCTTCTGTTCCACCGACAATGAGATATTTGGAATCGGGAGACCATGTGACAAACGATACACCATTTGCATGACATTCAAATGATTTTATTTGTTTAAGTTGATGACGTTCTGGATCAACTTCCCAAATAATGCAAAATGTATCTTTTGATCCTGTTGCTAATTTGAGACCATTCGGTGAGAATTTACAGTACCAAACTTCATCAGAATGCTCATTAAGCACCTAAATGAATAAGAATATTGAAAAATTTAATTTCATTGGGATCATGGAAAGGAACCGCTTCAGATTTTCCATGCAAGGTTCCAATTCTTGCACTGAAAATTTTAACCGATTCCGATCCCTGATTGTTGAGATTGATAATGTACTCACCTGAACGGGATGAACGGGAAACATGTGGGCAATTTCAGAACAATTGTGATCGCTCAACAACGAAACATTCTCTATGGATGTGTTCCAAGCCATATCGTGATGTGAACAACGTTCCATTTGGAGTTCAACACCTTGACGAAGTAATGTATGAAGACGACGTGGCGGGAGCATGACACTTGCTGGTAAGAATGACTGTAAACGATCCATTAAACGTGTACGAGATCGAATATTTTTTCCCTCCCATCCAGCACGTTCATATAATTCCTCATTATTGGTGCACATCATATAACTGGATAGTTGATGAACGCGTGGTGTGTTATGTTGTAACGGTGTCAATTCGTTTCTTAAAACATGAAGAGCATCTATTGGACGAGAATCATCAAGATACTCCAAATACTTTTGTTCTAACAATAGAAACTTCATTTCAATAAGATTTGTCGGTTTTGTCGTTAATTTCATTTCATCATTATCGACAATCGATTGTAATTCTTGAAGATCGTAATCGGCTTTATGCCAATCACCACAGAGAACATGCTCACGAAATTTAGAAGCTGCTGGATGTTCAAGACTACATCCAGACTCTTGCATGAGCATTTGTGCTGTTCGATCTAAACCAATGAGCTTCAAATGTTGTCCAATCAATCGGACAATATCGCGATTTGTTTTATCCAATTGAACACGTTCAATTGGTGGAAGGTCATGATTGTTATTTGTGTGATGCATGACTCCATTTGTTGGATAATCATTGTTGGTTGTTGTCCCGTTTGTCGCCGTCGATCCACCTGATGATTGCTGATTGTGTTCGGTTTGAGCCAGACGATGACCATTTATGTCATATGCTGGTGTGGATTGTGATGTTCCGTTCATGTTTTCTTCGAGCATTTCCAGGAAATTAAATCGTCTTTCTGCTCCTGGATATTGTGACTGATTACTGTAAGATGAAGATGATGATGAAGTGAAGCGTGAGGACGACGATGCGGGACTTGAAAGTTGGTTAATTTGCTGTTGTTGCAGCTGATGATGATCCTCTAACACCGACGTTCTTTTCGAGCGTTTTCGCGGTGGCTGGTCCTCTGGAGGTGAGGACCGTGAGGTAGAAACACCCTGAACGAAATCAATTTTGAGCAATTTCAAGCAGCCTGAATAATGATTATCGAATTCGATGTCCGACACGATGATGATGAAAAATTTTACTCTTGATGTTTTTTTCTTTTCTTTCTTATTTTTTTTCACGAAATTATTTAATGGCGATTTTCTTCAATTCTTTCCTTACTTCTTCCTTCAAACTTTTCAAAGCGTAATTATCTGGAAATTCAAAACAACATTTTTAATTGTTTGCCTTTTCACCACAAGAAATAAAAAGGGAAAATTTCTTAGAGACAAAAATTATCGATTTCATCGAAGTGAAATCATCAGAGTAAGGCAACAACAAAAATGGTCGTGTGTGTGTTAAAAAGAGAGAGAAGTATTACAGCTGATGTCAAAATAGGGCAAATCCTATGTTCATTTTTATTGCGTTGCACCATAAGTTACGTCTCGAGTTAATGTACTTAAAGTCACACAACTTATCATATAAAATTTCATAAAGATAAACTAACTTTACCACATCCGTTCAAAAATTAAATACCTTGAAAGCTTCAATTTTTTTGTTTCTTTTTCTTCAATGATAATGAATTTTATTTTTGGGGCACATCAATGATATTTAGATCACACACAAGTCGAAATATAAACATTAACCATAAATTGGTGACGTTTCGATGGATTTTACGAGAAATTCAATTGAGTGATTGTGCAATGACTTTCGTTTATTGCTCGTGAAAAAATAACTCAAGTTTTACTCACTTTTTTCACGATGCAGTTTTCATCGGAAGGTAATTTTCTTTGTTTTTCTCTTCACTCCTTTCTGTCTTTTATTTACTGTCTCATCTGATAAATTTTTTTGATGGCGTATAGAATTTTCATGCCAAGGAAATCACTAAAATTATCAATTACAAGATTTATAAGAAATAGTTTAATATATTTTTTAAATCAAAGAAATATTCACTTTGTTTAGAAATATCTTTGTGACAATAGTTTCAGAGCCAGACAAAACTTTCTTTGTCTTTAAAATCTGTTCAGAATAACTTTTTATATTTTGATAACTATTTCCACTTTTAAACTTTGCATCAGCAATTATAAGTTTATTTAGAACTTCCAGATATTTCAATAAGTATTTCTTTTAATTTTATTAACCAAAAAGAGTTTATTCAATCAAATTTTCCTTAGGTTTTCTGAAAATATTTCGTTTTTATGGGATATTTCTATCAGTGTCGTACCCTAAACAATTGAAAATTGGCACTTTTAGAAGTTTTGTCACAGATAAAATTTTGAAAATGTACTCGAAAAAACTTATGTACGGGCAATTATAAACATTTTTTTCTGCTCATTCAAACTACTGATAATAATTCGATGCATACCTCGCTAATTAAATTGATTTATTATCAATAATTCCATCTAGTTAGCAGCGACTGAATATTAAAAACAAACTGAAACAACATGAAGTAAAACCTTTATGAACGTTTATTTACAATGTTTTTACCAAAGACACGAACCTCATTTTGAACTAGATTTTGAACCAAAGTAATCGGGAATTTCAAATATTAAAAACTGTTAAACATCCGTAACTGTTCTATTGAATTAATTCATTGAAGTTTGTTTATCTTTAGAAATTGTCTTCTGCTTTATTTATTTAGTATTTGATTAGATAATTTAAATTAAGTAGCAGTTAAAACTTTTATTATGTATAAAACAATTGAAAACAATGTTGAAAACATCAACTTGTTAGATATTTCACATCATCCTATTATGAATAAAATCATCGATGAAAATTATTTAAAACAATTCAAAACAAAAAACTTAATATGGAACATTCACTGAAAATAGTTTAACACTCAATATACCTAAATTGTTTGCCATTTCCGATGAATCTGTTGTTTCGGCAATTGGTTCTTTTATTCTCGTTTTCATAAAACATTGTGAAAAATATAATCAAACAGAACAAAAAAATGTAAAATCAATTAATGTGATCATCATTTGAGCACCAATATTATTGTCTATGAATTGAACAATTTATTCTCCTATGTCAACATGACAGCTTTTACGGTTCTTTATGATATTTTTCTCATTCATTGCTTGCTAAGCTTTTTAATTGCTGTAAATGCATACAAGACTGCGCTTTATCATGTCATTGGCAAAACATCAATTATTGAAAGCGAGAAACACTTGAGAAGTTATGGCGCCTTCCTTGTGAAATTTTGTCTCGCTTGTCGGATATTTCAAGCAAATCTATCATGTCTTCTCAAGTGCTTGCATGATGAATTATTGAGGATTAAAAATCAACGACGAAAATAAAATGTAATACTGCATACATAATTGTTTTTGTTTTTTTCACAATGTTATGACAATTTCCAATTCAAATTATTCCTATTTTTCTTTTGTCTTGTATATTACATTCGCAAGTTTAAAATTCATTTATTTTTCACATCAATCTGTGATGATTGTCAAGCTTAACGATGACAATTAAAATCGATTTTTTTTCAATAAAATTCTTCCGGTGAAATAATGACAGATAAAGTTTTTTTCATTATTTAATGAACAAATTTATAGCTCAAACTTTTATTTGTGAATGTTGGAAGGAATATCTACGGAAAATAAGTGTTTGCAAAAATAACATAAAAAAGTTATGATGGATCCAATGTTCTCTTGTTACATGCCTATCGTTCTTCCATTTCGTCATCATGACGAATAAATTCGCTCACAGAATAAATAAATGTTTATCGAATGGAGAGTGAATGTAAAATAATTTCTCTGTCAATTGAAACATTAATCCCTTTAATCTGATTTCAGAAATCGATGTTGATGACGTGCTGTTGAATTGATAAATTAAAATTGATAAGGCTATTCTCGAATGCTACCGGTTTTTACTTTTTTTTTTTTGAGAAATCATTTCATTATTATTTTTATAGAAAAGGGATTTTATTGATACGTACACGCTTCAATAGAAATTTCATGTTTTGTAACGAAGAGAGAAGTTGTTAAATGTTCAAACCTTTTGACCGTTTATTACGAGGAAATTTAGATTCGCACAGCTCAGTCACTGTTGATTCTGTAAATTGAAAGATAAGAAATTGGGAATTGTTTCATTGATTCGCTTATGATCCTTATCTCACTTTTGTACACCCTTGTCAAAAAAGAAATTTTTCCTCCCTAGAAAGAGTCCCTTCTTACTTCTTACAGAAAATTTCAATGAAAAATTTTCCACCAAAACTTTTTAAACTAATCGAGATGGAAGAAAATTCTTCAGAATGTTATCAGACCCCATTAAATCTTTGACGGTCCCTTTTCTAACTGTGAAGCTTCTCCATGCGTTAATGTTCATAAATATTTGTTCACAGCAAACCCACAAACAGCAATTGTGGTGTTGTAAATTTAAATCCAGCATGCGTGCTAAATAATGACTCTTAAAACAATGTCTACGTTATCAATGTCCACTCTTCCTGTTTCCTACTGCTTTTAATATTTTTCTTTGTTCTTAGATATTTAATTACTTGGAAAAATGCCTTTTTAGGTTTTGTCGCTTTCCGGAATGTTCAACCATACAAGGTCAGAAGGCTTTAACAGAAGTCAATGAAACGGAATAGATTCAGATTCCTCTGGAATTAATGTCCCGCAAATTTTCGCTTTTAATTTCCATTTTTTCGCGCGTTCAACCATTTCTCTTTAGATTGTAGAGAATAGCAAGAGGATTATAAAAACTTTTAAACAAAAGGACTTGCATTTTGCAGTTCATTAAGCTTAATGGAAAATTTTGTTTAATAGATTTTCTTCCGAAATAGGAATGGGTTGATTTGGGTTGAACATAATGAATGAGGAGTTAAAATATGGTGAAACTTTCAACTAAGATAAGCTTCACGAGCAGGAAATTTGGAAAGAGTTTTATCGGATAAGTAAGAAAATTGTCACTAGCACTTGAAGTTTTCTTTTTTTATCTTTTTCTACTTCTCAACTTCAATGACACAGGATTAACTCAAAAGAAAAGAAAATGTTTTTCACATTAAAATTCATTGCAAAAAGAATGAAATGTTGTTGTTGCTTTCTAATGAGAAAAATAAAAATAAATTAAAAGTTGTTTTTGTTTAAGTGTAGAGAAGTGTTCAGAAGGTTGCATGAAATTAAGAAATCTATTAAACAAAAAAATAATTAAAAAATCTATCAGAATAATTCATGAATCCTACTTTTTGCTTTACATTTTTATTTTATAATATAAAAGCAGATGCTTATCAGAATAACTTTTCTCCCTTTGAATATATGTTTAGTTCTATTTAGAAATAAAGCTTCAATCTGTTATATCGGATAAAATATAAAGCAGAGGCAAATTGAAAGAGATTTTTGCATAAGTAGAATGAAAAGTGATGGTGAAAGTATCTTTGATACCCAAAAAAAAACAGAATGTCAAAAGTCATAAACTTCTTTGAAAAGTGGAAATGGAAGAAAGAATCTCCATACTCTTGCTACTTTAAAATATTTTTACAGCCTCAGCATAAAAGCACTGTCACTAAACAACATCATAAACTTACCTTTTTTAAAACCTATAAAAAATATTTTAAGTGTATGGGGTTAAAAAGCATCATCAGCATACATAAAACCTGAAACAAAATACAATTTTGATATATTTTCCGCTTCCATGAATTTTCGTTCGCCACGTTTCTTCACACGAGAAGATTTTCTTTCTTGCTTATTTTTGTTTCCAACTGAAAACGTGGATTTTCCAATGTGTGATGAATCATTTCGTATTTTTTTTATGCTTATGCTTTAGATTTTTGTGCAGTCAGTGAATAACATGGGAATTGAGAATTGCAATTTACGTCGTTGGAAAACAGCGAACCTGAATAAACACGGCGGAAATAAAACCTGAAATAATGGAAATTGGAGACATATAAAGTTCAGTGAAAATTTTTGTTTGCCATGCTAGATAGCGAGGGTAAAGGAAACGCATTTGAAAAATTATTCTAAGCATGTGGAAAATTTAATTAAATTTTTGTTTACGGAGATTAACATATTTATGTTTTAATCATTTTTCCTGTGCCGTGTGTTAAGCACCGCCAAGGGAACAAAAGTGGACATTCAATTATCATATCCATCTGACATCAGATGAGAATTCAATTCAACGAAATCCACATTGATGAGAAATTATTATTAAAATGTTAAATAATTTTGGGGTCGATATTTCTCTTTTTTTGAGAGATTAGCATTTTCAATTTTCCGAGACAATTTGATTTAATTTTCAGAACAAAAACCTCAATTTCGCTGGAGGGAGATATGAATATGTTAAAATGGTGAATAATTTTTCATCAATGATGATTCTTTAAACGTTGATTATGATACATAAAAGTTATTAAATATTTAAGTAAATAACGATTCCTTATAGAATCTTCACAGCTTATGAAGTCAGATGAAAGAGTCGTTTTCGTTAAATCGTCTTTATATCGCATAATTCTTACAATCCTATAAAGTAATAGGATGAGAAAAGAGGGAAGGGAAGACATCAGTTAATAGTACATATTTGCAACCTGGCCTCTAATCCCAGCATTTTGCACATTCGCTTCATTCTGTTTTATTCGTGTATATCATTTTTTCGTTTAACACAATTTCGAATGTTTATGTCTCTACATGACACAAATTACGTTTCCATTTCTTCTTGTCGCTTGCTTTTAGGCGCTGATAAGAACTTTTTCAAATCATATTTTCATGCGTTGAGAGTGCCGAAATCTTTTTTGTTTTCCAGGAAGTTTTATGTCGCACATCATGTGTGTTCGTTTGAAATTTGCGAGGTGGAAAATTTTTATTTCGTAAAATGAAAATATGATATCATTTTTCACGATATTGCTTTTTATGCCCCTTTTTCCTCCCTTCTCTCGCTTTCAGTTTTATTTCATGTTTTAATGCAAGGCAAATCTAATGGCTCAAGGCATTTCCACGCACCATCAATCCAACATCAGATCAACATGAATTTTATTCTTGAACATCTAAAAGAAAAACGAAGAAATAAAAAATCTCCACCCCCGTCATCCAATGATATTCCGTCTGTTTATTCCACCTCAAAGAGAATTTCTAATGTTATCCTAACATGTGTTTACATAAAATATTAAAATAAATCTTATGAATTCCTTTTATTCTTTTTACTTTGAATGATGAAAACCACGATAAGTAAATTTTTTTCCCTCAAAAACAAAATTTCCTTTTAAATTTTTGATTTAATGGAAATTTATCTGAATTTTCATCTGCCTTTGATAGGAAATCAAAGATACTTTAAACCTTTTCTTTTTGCTTCAAATGGAAGACATTTTGAAGAATTTTGATATTTTTATTAAACATAAAATATTTTACTATCAACAATGTGTGAAAGCCTGAAGCATAATGTTAATGCGCATATATCCGTTTGTATAAATGCAACATTTTCAGCGCATAAATTAGCAATAATAAATCACTTTCCGATTAGGGATAAAACAAATGTTGATTGTGAAAAAATGTACATTAAAATTGTTGCAATAAATGTTATGCAATTGACAACGAAAAATTTCAATTACACGAAAGGCACGTTTTGTGAAAAAGAATCGAAAGTGAAATGATGTGAAAAGTCGACAAACATCTCTTTATAACTGCATGACTTCACATCGACGATTAAGGTGAAATGTACGCTTTTCTTTCCCTATTTTGTAAAGAAACATTTTTCACGTTGAAAGTGAAAAGTGAATTGCTTTTACATACAGGGAAACTACTTCAGTTGAGTAATCATTAAGAAGTTAAACTATAAAGCAATCGACAAATTTCATATTTCGTTGGGCATAAAACAAGGGAAAAGTGAAGCAATTAATCAAAAGAAATTATCACAAAATCATAATCTGATTAAGTGAAAGAAAAATGAGTAATAATAATTTTATTAATTTCTTCTTCTCTTTCTTCTTGTGGCATGCAGCACGAATGCCATTAATAACACAATTCTTTAAACAATTTGCACATGAAAAGAACAAATGTTTGTCGTATAAGTGTTTTGCCTGCTGAAACACAAAGTTTTAACTTCAAACTGTCTCCTCCATCAACGCGTTGCAACGTTAGATCCAAATTAATCCATTAAAGTTTAATTTGTTTTTCTCGAATGATGAAATCATCGTCAGCAACAGCTCGAAGTTCAGCAAGCATTTTATATTTCTTTCTTCATCATTCATTCAGCATAGGGTGCAAAAAACAAAACAATAGATCTACATTTCGTTAAATCATAAACTAAATTGCGATTTTTTTGTTTCTGTTGTGCAAGAATACCAATTTGCAGTTGTCATTCTCAGACGCTTCATGGAAGTCGGGAAAATAAACTTTTCACTTTAAAAATTGTATTTAAAATGAACATAAGCTAAAAACATATGAAAACATAAACTATCTAATAAGTTTTGTATTTGAGTAACAAATTTTGGAATTGCAGGGAATATCAAAACGGGAGTTCATTTACAACGTCACAATAAACTAAATTTTTAATGTCGGTGATTATTTTTCTTTCCAGAAATTTATTAAAAAACTCATTTTGTGTTGATATATCAATTTCTTGTCATTTTATTATTTGCTCAGTGAAGTGGTCGGAAGCACAAAAGGAATTTTTTAATGTTTATTTTTTATTTCTAATAATGAATGAATATTTTTATGTAGCAATAAAACTCGTCTGGCGTCAAAATTTATGTGATAAGAAAAGTTTTTTTTGGCTATGTAGCAGAATTGTTGTTGAAGGAACAAAATTCGTTTTAATTTTCTTTTATGATTTTTTAATACATTCAAGAGTTTAAAACATTCACAACGCTACTAGATATTCTTTCTCGAGATTGTCATTACGAATAAATTTAATTATAAAATTTTTTATCATTTCTACGAAGACGACGGAAATGTTCTCGGTAATGAAGCAGATTGTAAATTGAGCCTTTTATGTGCTTTTTCATTCTCCTATAAGTATTTGTATGTTTATAGCATCGCAAATTGAACGGATCAGCATTTAGTACGAATGACTGTAACAACAGTGATAAAACTTTTACATTTTATATTTACAATTTCCAATTAAACTTCATGCTTAGAGAAATCATTAAATTTAGATTTGTTAATACTTGCAAATGAGCTTTTTGAAGTCATTTTTCATCTATGTGTTTATTAACAAAAACAGTAATAACATGAGAGAGAGAGAGAAGAAAGAGGGAAACGCACGCAGCAGAACGATTAATGTTAATTATTAATAAGCATGCAATGGAAACAAAGTCAATACTAACAATGATTAAATGTACATCAGAAAAAACAAAAACGGAAAAATAATGTCAGAATGATATCCATAGAAAACTAATCTTAACCCCTCACAAAACAAGTCTCGAGACTCAGAAGATGGAAGGGAACGAAAAATTGGTAATATTAAGAATCAATATTTGGAAGACATTTAGCTTGTGTCCCTTTCCCTTTTGTTGGCCTCGACCCTTCGTTCTGCCCCCTTCATTATTCGGGAGTTGGAGGAGATTGAAATGGAGACAGAAAATAAAATAAAATGATAATTTCATTTTTATATGCTTTTCCTTCTTACAGCAGGCAATATTGAAATTTTTCTTCTTTTCCAATTCTAGTCAAGGGGTCAATTTTCTATTAGTTTTTGGGAATTTCATTGGATCGAGGCAAATAAAAACTATCGTGAGTAATGATCCTGAAAAATCCATTTGAACTTTTGTCACATAAAACTGGTGATTCATAGACTCTCCTCCATATGCGAACGAGGCGTCTCAATATTGAAAGGAAGCTCGTAGCTTATTGTCGTATTAAGAGCACTTTGCCTTTTATTGCACAACTTTTTTTTTCTCTGTTCACAAGACCATTTTATAAAAAAAATCTTGAGGTTGAGAATCTCGGGTTGTATAAAAATATCAAAAAAAAAAATCTTGAGAAAATTAAGCGCTACTGTAAGAAAAATTCTTCATGGCTTCCAAGGGAGAAATTCTTTCGAATTTCATGAGCAATTGCAGCATCAATTGACTTTTAATGTGAAAAAGAAAGACGAAAAAAAATGTTTTTTTTCAAGAGCACAGAGGAGCAATAAATATTGCTAATTCAATCATAAATAATATCTGGCAACTTCTCAGCTAATAAAAAAACGCTTGAATTATTGCCAATGACACAAATATGCTGTTCAATGTATTTTATGAAGCTATTTGGAGACGAAAGAGTAAGTGAAAGATATCAAAAAGAAGTCGTTCTCCTATCGCATTAAACGACAATAAAAGGAACACATTGGAGAATTATTGAGATAAGATTTGTTATTGATTATTAATATTGGCTGCTGCTTATCTTACAAAAAAAATCTCGTTAATGACATTCTCAGATCATCGCTTTTCTGCTTGTTCGGGCAATTGCTTTATGATTCATTTTGACAGTTAATGGATAATGTCATTGATAAGTTCTTTATTTCTTTTTCATAGCGACACAAAATTGTTTGATGGCTCAAACAGCATCAACAGCTAATTTTGTAATTTGTTCATAGCCTCGAAAATCGTCGACAAAAAAAGATTCAGTGTTTAATAACTCAGAGAAAGTCATAAAATGACATGACAGTAGCATAACGCTGATAAACGAATGAAACTGAAGTAAAAAGTAAATTCTTTAATGTGCTTCATTACGTTTATTTACCGTCGCATGAAATTCTTTCTGTTGGATATTTTATGAAGAGTTTGTGTGAATAAGTAAAAGTAGATCCATCTTCGTGTCATGATATGGTGAGCGTCGTTCAATTACTTTTGTAAACATTTACATTAATTCCCGTTTATAAATTTCCTGCAAAAACAAAAGATTGAGTATTTTGTCGAGAGTTCACTGAAGCACGCAGTCTAGAATTTCAGTATAAATAAATATAAAAGCATTGAATTATTAATTGTAATTCTTCTCTTGAAAGCTATTTATGGTAATATCATCTTTAGTTTATGTTGAATTGAAATTATGATATCATATCAACATAGACTACAGATGTGTAATTAAAATGTTTCTGAAAGATATTCTGCTGAAGGGTTGACGAGACTTCCATCTTTCACATTTCAAAAACTTTCTTCTCAGACTTCTTTTAATAAATCATAAACGAGCTTCACATTACTTTTTCACTTCACATTAAGTTTTCTTGAAGCTAAAAGATATCAAAGATCTTTTTGAAGAATCTAATTAAATGCATGTACATACATTCAAATGTTTCGTCGTTTCAAACAGAACCAAAATATATTCAACTCGAATATTATAAAATTTTCCTGAATCATATGTCTTTGCATTTAATCTTCAAATGAAAAATTAAAGTTTTTCAAAGAATTTCCTTTTCTTTTCATGTTGATTTCTTTGCCATAAAAATTTTCTTGTTCAATTACTTGGAAAAAAAAGAAATGTTTGTGATGTTGAAACAAATTGAGGGAAGCAGAGAGAAAAGTTCATTGTACAAATATCAATCAATCAATCAAAAACTTCATAAAACTACAACATTTTTTCAACTAAAATGTTCAAATAAAATAAGTGAAAAAGCAAATATTTGTTAATTTTTCTTTAGCTTTTCTTGAATCTTTAAACTTCAAAATTCTTTCCTTTTGAAACTGTTTAGAGTCTAAATAAATATGAAACTAAACAAACTTTATTTGAAATGTCAACTCAATAAACTTTTACATAATTTATCACAAGGTAGCAAGTTGCTATCATAGCAGCAATAAAAAAGTTAACTTTCATTGCATTTTGATTACCTTAAACGTCGTGGAATTCCACTTCAAGTCAAAAGGTTATTAAAAATCATAAGCAATCTCAGATAACTTGAAATTTGTTCATCTCAACAATACTCAAACTCTTATCAGCTTTCAGCAATCTTAACAAAAAGATAATAAAAGAGATTTGTAATGGATAAAAAAAATCTCTTTCTCGGGAAAACTTTTTAATGAATAGAAGAAACTTTTATTACCTGCTTTCAAAAGACATTTTCGCTCTTTTTTTGGTATAAAAACACGAAACTTTAGAAAGAAGTTGAGAAAAAGAATATCACGTATGTAAGATGCAAGCTGAGATGTGACTCCTAAAAAATAAATTCGAAGAAGAAGAATTTCTTCGTGAAAAAGTTTTCTTTACGACTTCTCGTAGATTGATTTAAAATTGTACCAAACTTTATTTTTATTTAACTCAAGCGACGACAAGAAGAAATTAAAATTTTTTGTCACGTAACAAATTTATTTCTACTGAGCAATAATTTAAATCGAGAATTCGAGCAGAAAGACAACTGAAAGTGGAAAAAAAATCTTTTTTTCTGTTCTGTTACGGAATTTAAGTCTCAGGTGAAGCAAGTTTCATGAAATGTGCAAATGTATGGAAAACGGGCAATAATATAAAAATTATTTCTAGACAATTAAGCTTAAAAGGTTTTCTAATAATATTTTATGTTCTCTTCTACCTTTCTTCATCTTCAATATCCGTTCATCCCCCAAATGAAAAAAAAGGAAAATTCTCATGATAGCGTTTGGTGCGCATCGGTTTACAAATTCTTTTCCTTTCTCTCCAAAAAGGTTTCAAACCGTACAGTCATTCTTTGACATCGAGGGAATTTTCAGTCTAGGAATTATAATTTTAATTTATCTTTTATAGCTAAAGTCGGTTCCTTAAATTACTTTCATTGTTGTAAATAAATACACAGGTCGTAGAGGTTGGAAGTTAATTTAAATAAAAAAAGTCGTCGCTTAATACAATTAATTTAAATAATATGACTTAAGACAATGATTTTGTCGAGTAAAAAAAGGAAAAGTAGGATAAATTTATGCAAATTGTTGCTTTTACTTACAAAATTCACCCATCCAGCAAATTAAACTTTTAAAACAACGACCAAAGCGCAATTTAAGATTTTTTTGGGGAAGTTTTGTGGAATTTACTTATTTCATGTTACTCGTTATAAAACGAGCGTTGTTTCCAAATTTAACAGCGCACAACAAAAGAATATCTAAACTTCTCTGAAGCTGATCGTGTTTTGTTATGCTTCATAGATATGAAAAATTGTTAATTTATATGATGTATTGCAAGATTCTTAATCAGATTTAAAGAAAAAAAAACGCTTGAGAATATGCTTGGAAATTTCATTCAATTTTTCATCACTCGTTTGTTATATTTTCATGCGGTAGACATGAACAGAATGTCTGTAAGAAATCAGATGAAAATTTATAAAAATATTTTGAAATTTTCCAAAGCATAAACGAACAAAGTCGTACATTTGCTTCGGGTGTAAGCTCATTTCAAGCGTCATCGATTCTGATTACTTTTTTATTTTTCCCCACAACAAGTTTGATGAATTAAGTCATATTCTCTAGCTCACTTCCCATCATAACTTATTTTTCATTCGCACTTCATGTGATTGAAATGCGAGGAAATTGAAAATTCTATGGCATGACAGTTTGAAAGAAATATCAAAAAATTATCATCATCTTCATATTTATGCATGTTGTTCAAAGGTTGACTATAACTTATAACTTTTAAAGCATTTAACATTCTTTAACTTTACCTTTTCAACATCTAGCCAACCTTCTTATGTTTGCTTCTCTTTGCGTACACTCCAGAAAAAATTAAATAATTTTATCTGAGAGACTTTTTCATAAATTCTAAATTGAAATCATTCGACTGGAATTCCTTCACTTCGTCCTCTATAGGAATACCTCACTGTCGACTCAGTCGATTGCCTTGAGTTTTTCATTATGGGTTGGATGGAAAAGGTATTGTGTTTTGTTACCATGCGACATACTCTTGAGAGCAATCAGCCTAGCATTTATGAGATTTTTTTTTAATTTCATTCAATTATTTTCTGTTCAGTGGTTTCCTTCGCTTTCTTTTCTTCCCAGATTCATCTTTATATCTAAATAAAATAAAAAGTTTCTGAAAAATATCTCTTGTCAGTCTTGAAGCGTGCTCATAATTGATGGAGTTCAAACAAGTTTAGTATTAAAGCAAAAGTTCTTAGCATAGTCTTAAAGTTACATATTCTTAGGGATAGGATAAAGTTAGCAGAAAATGCTCGTTATTGATATCTTATTCACTAATGTTCAACGCTTTTCGATGAAGAAAGAAAGAAAGAAAGAAGGAAAATCTTATTTCAAAAATGTAGTACAGTGGAATCGCGATTAGCGAAAACCGAAGGGAGTCACAATTAACGAGCTTTTTCTGTAAACGAACTTTTTCGAAAAGTTTGAATGAAAAAGCTTGTTATCAACTTAGCAAAACAACTAAATAATTTCAAAGTAATAAACAAGTTCAAGTATTAAATTAGAGACAATATAATAGTTTTATTGCTAAAAATTTTTAATATCATGCATGATAATGTTGAAAAAATATTTTCAAAGCTCTAATGCGTCTTTTAATTGATGGAAAATTAGAAGAATATTTGGTTTTAAGTTTTCCTTTCTTTCTTCTAATGCATGTTCAAGGCCTTTCATGTAATTTTCCACAACTTCATCGTCTAAATGTACATTTTCTTCTACGGCCAGAGTTTGGAGAATATCTTCATCAGTTAGTATACCGTATGTCGTTATATTGTTATCAAATTCTATAAAGCTGTCTAAGTCGTTGCTCCAATCTTGCTCTTCTACTAATAAACTTTGATTCCAGCCAGCTTTTGTGAAACAATTTCTCTTATTTACTTTCACTGAGAGTACTTTTAATATAAACTCTCGTGCTCATTACGGAGCCATGCTTTCAACGAACTTATTCGTTCAACGAAAGAAAATTGTTAGAGAATGTGAGTGTGTCGCAATTTATCGAGCTTTTACGCTCAAGGGAATTTCGCTAATCGCGATTCCACTGTAGTAGCAAAAAAGATTTCTCCTTGCGAAATTTTAATGTGATTTATTGAGTGGAAAATTTTTATTTTCCTGCGGGAGACGTTTTCACATGCACATAGAGCAGCGAAATATGCAAAAATCACTAATGCATTTTGAAACATGTCGGGATATGCAAATGATAACTCATGAAATATTGAAAAATTATTGCATTTCTTTCTTTTTTTATTTGCTTCGTCGCTATGACTTTCATTCATTTCGCTTATAAATGCAATTCATGTGATAAAGAAAGTAGAATTTTGCCACAAAATGTAGATGCGGTAAGGAACAGCAGACAAAATATGGTAAAGAAAGATGTTTCATGAAGACATTTCAACATGATTAAAATATGCTTTATCATTTGAGGCATACAAATTAATTGAAATTGCTATTTTATTATCACAAATGTCTTTATGAAGTTAACAACAGAAAAATCTGATGAAGATAAACAAAACAAGTTTTTCCAATAGAAAGTCTAAAGGGAAATTTCAGGCAGAAGTATATTTTATTTCTTTTAGAAAATACTAGCAAAATCAATAGAAGAAAGGAAAGATGAAGATATCCTGCTCGTAAATACGAGTTTCTAAAGCAAGCTTTAGACATTTGCATTCTGTTAAAAGAACAAGCTTCTAGTGCATGTATATTGTAATGCTTTCGCTTTCTTAACTCCCAAGCAAAACATTCTATTTCAACTCGAGATCTGAATTTAAATACAAACCTAACAATCTCATCCACAGTTGTTTTCTTTTCCTTCCAATTTAGTGCATTTGTCTTCATATTTTTTTTAACTCGAAAGCTTTTTTAAAAACTTTTGTCTGTTGACACTTTGATTTAAATTTTTTTTTAGAGTTTATAGAACTCCAAATCCCGATGCAGAAGTGTTGAGAAATTTTTCATTACAACTGAATTTACTTTCATCGGATTAAATCGTGTTAAAGGATATTGTGAAAAGATTGTAGTGGAATTCAACAAAGTTGATTAAAAAGAATTCATTTCTAGACGTGTCTAAATGTAATTCTCTCGAATATCTTTAAAGAGAAATTGTTTCGTGAAGTGCTTCCAAGAATTGAAATTTCATTTAATCTCAAATGATAAAAATTTGTTTCGACTATCATCAACCCCGTGAAGAAACTTTTATTTCTTTTTATTTACAATATGCTTGCATCGCAAAAGACATTTCATTATAAGCAATGCCCATTACAAAAACATGACGACATCAACTGGAATTTTATGAATGTGACATTTTAAAATAAACGAAAGGACTTTTAATGAAAACACAAAGAGGGGTGAATTTTAAATTGATACGTCTAAGTAATTCTGTTTTCTTATTTTCAACCCCACGAAGAAATATTATGACAAAGAAAAGCCAAACAAAACAATATGCGTTTAGTGACTTCATTGAAACTTTACAATGTGTGGTTAAAATTCACATAAACTCAATTCAAAGTGAAAGGTTTTTAAACCTCTGTTCTTACTATAACTTTCACCTGTTACCAATTCTGTTGCAATCTGTGACTGAATAATTCTAGACAAAAATTTTTATTGATATGTTTTTATGCACAGAAATCTTCCATGTTATGTTCAAGGAACTTTTTTCTGTTTTAAGTGGTGAAACTATTTGGAAAAATAGTCGATCGAAAGAGTTTTACAAACATTTATGCGTGTTTTCAACATTTTAAGTGCTACTCCAATTTCTACGTTGAATTCCGTGAGTGCATGAAAGCTTCAGTGGATAATTGATATTTTGAAATGTAACATTTTCATCGACATAATCGCTTGCTCTAGCCTTCGTGCATTGATTTCTCGAAAATGTGACTATAAATACGAAAATTTATTCCGCATACGAGTGAGTCGTCGTCGTGAGATAAAATTAATCACGGTTCAATGGCGTTTTGCCCATGGGAAAATAGTAGATCAATACCATTTGTATATCCGTCTGTTCCTACAAAACCATTCGCTGACCAAAAACCAAAAATGAAAATTCGTGAAAAAAGAAGAGAAAAAATTTGCTGTTTGTGTTGAATGAAAATAAATCAATCGTCTATGTGCCAACTGTTTCAGACACAATTAATTAAAACCTTTCGTTTCTGATCTAAAAAAATATCAACGAATTGGTAACAGATTATAGTAGGAAGATTTGGAGCGAGAGTTATTCGTGGAAATTTTAATTCGTACCTGTTCTCTTATAAATAAAAAACCTTGAATACATACAAATGAAGGGAACTTCTCTCAGTCTTCTTCTCACTTGTTTGAGCGACTGATAATCCTGAAACATTCTAGTCCTTTCCAATGACGCTGTGCCATATGATTTTGTACTAAAACGTGACGCTTGCGCATTGAAACTAACTTCCAGAAACATGTTCGGATATATACAAACCAAGACTTATTATAATATTATTTTGATATAATACGCAGCCACATAAACTTCCATCACTATAGCACTTCAGCTTTAAAAAATGTGACAACATGGTTAGGGCGAAAATTGGAAGTTTTCGTCTGGATCTCTTGCAAATATGCTAATAAGTTTTATTCATTTTTATTCCTTCAACTTCTGCATACATTGTATGCCAAAAAATCTTACTCATAAATCATTACTTTTCGAAGTGCTTGTCTACTATTCTCATATTGAATAGCACGCTTTCAAAACTTTATTTCCTTTTATGAAGAAAAATGAATTCGCATAAGCGATCAACACGTTGCTGATCTTGACTTAGAGATATGGACGGCGACATCGTGATGACGTTAGCAATACGCTCTATACTTAGTGACTCAGTTCGACTTAATTAACCATTAAATCCGGGAAATTAATAGCAATTATCTCAAATTACCAGAAAAATTTCATATTTCCCAACTCGCCTGTTATCGAGATTGTCGCCCATATAAGGATCTGGCGTTTATCCAAAAAGATTAATACATAATTGCTTTTGAAATGAGAAGCATTACTCTTACGCTCTTGGTATCTTAGGCAAAGCAAAATAGATAGAATAAAAATGGTTAAAAGCCAAAAAAAATTAAAATAAATTCTTAAAACCATCTCGGTTAAGAGTTTCTCTTTCACACTCTCTCTCGAGTTTGTTTGATTTTTGGTTGAGACAAAGCAATTCATGTTAAACAATTTCTGTAGCGTTTCAATCCCCTCCTCTTGAAAGGATGATGTTGTGAACTTCCGAGAATCACAAAACTTTTCCGGACTCGAAAAAGGCATAGTTTACTCAAGCGATGGTTCATTTGAATTTTTCGTTTGAACATAAGAATTGCGGAAACAAAGCTATCAAATTAATTCTTCATAAATTTTTAATTTTCAGGTGATTAACATTCGTTCAACTAACTTTTTCTTTGAATTGTTGATGAAGTAATTATTGGTAGCGAGTTTTGAGAATTATTTTAATTATACATTTAGGCACTCATCAAAATTTTCAAATCGATAAAGTTTAATGAGCGACATCAGACATTTGTTATGAAATATTTATTTGCTATGTATGTTCAGTTATTTGATCGAAAGAACATGCAAAGAATGTTACTCAGTATTGGTTAGATACATCTGCGTGCTCACGTAGGTAGGTTTATTATATAATTTATTATACCACGCTACTAATCATTAAAATGAATTTTCAATCACCCACTTCAATTATTCAAATTCAAAAATAATTTTTTGAGAATCTTCAAACAACGTTTCACAACATAACTGACTAAATAACATGAAACAATTTTTACTTCCCTCGAAAGTATTTTATTCAATTTTTTGATACATTATGAGTATAATTTGCGAGACTTACAAATGTGATAAATATTTTTAATCTATTCATGATGGACATTGAGAAATAATGTTCTAGATGCTAACAATAGATAAATTTGACCACTTTTTACAAAACATTCTACAAATTCTTAGGTTTAACCAAAATGTTCAACTAAATGTTAGACGCTTTCTGAATATTGAACATTGAAAATCTTGGTAGATTCCTTCTCCACTGTAAATAACATGAAAGCGTCCCTCAATTGTTTTAATATTAAAACAATTTTATGTAAAGCATTCCTTCTCCACATTACTCAAATATGCACGAAATAAATTAAACTAGGTTTAACAGCAAGTCTCTGAAGCATACATTCGACCAACACATCATGTCTCTCATATGCAATAATACTAAACAATGTAGATTATAGTAAGTAGGTATGTGGAATACGATATTTGATAATCAAACTCCAATATGTGCTCTGATCATTAATATTTTCCATAACAAATAAGAATCATTTGCCAGTGAATTTAAAATATTTTCTTATTCTTCACAATACATAATATTTTATGCTTAGATTTTACAATCGCTTTGATATTTATGTAATATTAAATTATTTAGCAACAATGATAGAATGTTATCTGCTGCCTTACATAATCATGACATAAAGAAATTTTATTGTGATTAATTTTTACATTCATGAATGATTTATATTTAAATACATACCAACGGCTCTTGAATATTGTAAAGTATATTTAAAGTAATGGACATAACAACTGTCAAGATGTCAGCAAAAGTTTTACAACTTTATAGATATCTAGGACGAAATTAATATTCATGAACTTGTTAACATGTGGTGGTTGTGAAGGTTTATGATTAACAAACCATCAATATGTTGTGTTCAAAATAGTTTTCCTTTTGTTAACAAAGCTCATGATTTTCTTAGTTTACATCCATACTTGAATACCTGAGAAGAATTTAAAAATTTTGATTCTGATATTAAAGTTTTTCTTTTGTTAATTTAATAGTTGAAATTAAATATTTACAGTTTACTAAATCCTGCAGAATTATTTATTTAAGAATGTTAATTTCTGGATGTAATATTTTAAAATAAAATAGTTTACTATCTCGTTATTTATTTTATTTTATTTTATTTTACTTCCAGACGCAATTCATGGTTTCATTTTATTCCTCCCGGGCATAGCGAATAAATATAAATTTCGGAATTACTTAAAGATTAACGCTACCACTCATTCTATTCTTCTTGTTGTTGAAGCAAAATGAACGAGAAAAAGTTTTACAGTCCTTGGCAAATACAAAAATAAAAAAATAAAAAACCAAACAAAAAACTTTACTCGAATTCTTCAGCTCCATGATTTTGAGTACTCCAATATCATGAAAGAAAATAAAATAAAAGCTGGAAAATTTAAATTCATCTTCTTTGAAAAACAGTAACATGAACATTCAACTACTCACTTTCAAAATAATGAACACATTGAACATGGAAAAGGTGTGATTTCATGACTGACGTGAGCTCGAACAAGTTCATTGTAAGTTCAAACGACTTGGGAAATTCTTTAAAAATATTTAAATCACAACAATCTAATTGATTATTTAAAGAAGATATTTTCAGAAGTTTTATATGACGACATATTTGCATGTAAAACTTTTTTAATTGCCATTCGGGAAATGAGAATAAAATATATCGTTCATTTTTAGATATTTTATTGAATAAAAATACCAAACGGATTTTCGTGGTCATTTCTAGAAATATTAAAACATCGGAAACAAAAAAAGGGAATTATTTATCACCCAATGTGTACTGGCTCTCTATTTCCATCTAAATTCCAAGTGAGCGGTAGGCAATTTTGTTATAAGTTTATTTACTGTGAAAGGAAAACGAAGCAAGTCCCAATATTCAAGGAGAAAGTTATGCGTCATGAAAATCATAAACTAACAAACAGAGCAAAAAAATATTCATTTAGGTTATTAAATAATATTTTATTACGAACTTCCTCGTTCATACCTGATTGTAATTCAAAGCAGTTGACAAAAGTTTATGACTATTATGAGCTCATAATTTCTCATTCACTATACGAATTTCAATGCCTTGCGTTAAGCTAAGGTGCTGAGAGTTAAAAGGGGAAATGAAAGAATTTCTAATAAGTTAGTAAGCTTATCTATTTTACCCGTCTTAAAGTTTTGAAAAGTTAAATTTATTATTTAAAGAGCGAATAAGAAATGTACAGAACAAATACGCAAGATAGGCATAAACATAAACATAAGGAATTCAGCATAAGCTTTATGTTTTGCATTAATCTATGTATCATCTTGAAGTTTTCCTTAGAATGCAACGAATGCCTTCATCTTAGAGCATTAAAATGTTCTGTTAATGATAAGCTTTTGTATAAAGTATTATGATTTTCACTTTTATTTAAGAAATTTTTATCATCCTAAGGATCTCTCATCATATTTCTTATACTTAACGACGAGAAGTACATAGTAGATGATTTTTATTATTTTTTCTCAATTTCCTTTTGCTCCTTTTCTTTCTATAGTCGATGAGGCTGTTTAAAATTCTACTAGCATGATGGCAAAGTACACATAAATTTTACCAATAAAAAAGAATTCTCAGGAACGTTCTGTGAAAAGGGAAGGCAAAAGTTTTTAACTTTTATGAACAAGTTTTTGTATTTTTTCTTTAAATTCGAACGTGTCTGAATTTTTATTTTATTTTTTTATTTTGTTCATTTCGTTATTAGGGCGAGAAAAGTTGAGAATCACCGTTAATGTTTATTACTTTGCTATGTTATTTTTTTGTTCAACTCTTATTAAGCGGAGATGAAAATATTTGTTCATGAAATTTTGGAGTGTAGAGTGGAGTTTTATTGTTAAAAGCTTTGTTGTGGTCTTTAAATTGCTTTGTTTCTATTAAAACTGTTAGCTTAACTTCAATGATAAATGAGATAATCTTGCTTACCTCTTAAAAACATTCCGATTAATACTATTAGGGGAATGATGAACATAAATATACTTTACAATAATCGTGATGGAATGACAAAGTCTTGTAAGGAGCTGTTCATCAATTTATATTTATTTATACTTTCGCTATTTTTCCCCACTTTAACAAATTTTCAATATAATTTTCGTTGGAGAAACGTGTTGGAATGTTCTTTTCAAGGAAATTGGATTTGTTTTTTAAAAGATAACGAAAATGATGCCAAAACGTATTCTCAATTTGTTTAAATTTAAATTAATATTGTTTCAACTGAATTTATTAGCAAGAAAAACTGAAATAATTTTGGAATTCTTATTAAGGAGAGAAAATTTATTCAAGTTTTCTGCTTTTTTGGTTTTGTTGTGCTCTAAAACATTTCAGGAAGTTTAGGCAACCAAAATTCCTAAACAAAGTTTAATATACATGTGGGTGGTTTTGTGTGCCAAACTTATAAGGAAAAGTCTCACAAAACTTGTGTGATATGTTCTCATAATTTTCCTTAACATGAGTCATCTGATATTGAATAAATCTTTTCAAAGTAGTTTTAACTCAAACTTCCACATTCCATTAATGCATATCTAAATTCATAAACTTCTTTGCTATCTTCTTCCCTTTAATATGATCACATTTGGAATTTCAAGATGGCTAATAGTCATTAATAAAACTTCGATTCACATGATTTGTTTTTGCGCATTGAAGCTTGCCAAGCTTTTAATTTATTTTTTGTATTAAAAATTTAGCAGTCTGAAAATTAATGAATTGTGATTTTGGATGAGCGATTTTCGCGAAGCGTATCTTAGCATAGATCTCTTCCGTATCGTAAAATATGAATGTTTGAAACTTAACTGAGTATAAAAATTTATTGAGCAATTTCTTTCTTCTTTTTATTGTTACTTCCTGTTTTAGATATTGAACTTCAATAACACAAATCACTGAATACTGTTAACCAACATTCGGTAAATTCGTTATAAATTTTCATCCCAATTAATGCTAAATTCTGTTGAAGTCTTTTGATTCGGTGGATATTTCATTCTATCTAACGAAGCGTTGCGAAAATTTCGTAAATAATAATTGATAAAGTCTCCAATCGTAAATATTTCTATTTTCTGGAAATCAATTTATTTGCATTTGATTCTTAACTGTTGTTGACCGAACAACATATGCTGATGTTAATTGTGAATTTTAAATAATTTTCTGCAAATGTTCACATCAAGCCTCCAGGGATGATAGAATGCAGATCTCAATTTATTCAATGTTTAATGATGAGCAAAGCAAGTTTGACAATATTTCATTTATGGTTATGTATCTAGTAAAACCAAACATAAAATGAGAACAACATAATCTTTCAGCTCAAATTACTTTACAACTCTACAGCCTAAACCATTTAATTATTTATGCGAAAGTTATCTCTTATTAATCATATTGAATGAACGAAATTTTCAAGTGGGGGAAACAACTTTTAATGTAATATTTATCTACACTTCTTACTTATATAAATTCAGAAATTTTAAATCAATTTCTCTCAATAAAAACATTATTTTTGTCAGCTTTATTCAAATTTTGTTCATAAACTTTCGTGTTACTGTTCTTGATAATAAACTTTTGGATTGATTTCTATCAGCCTTTTTAAGGTTGTTTACTTTTCTCTCCTCTTTCTATCGAGCTTTAAATACTGAAAAGTTTATCTACATCAAGCCTGTGACAATGTTGTTTACGTCATGCTTAGTTGCTTGCTGAAACTTTTTTAATTTCGAACGATGCGACATTGAGAGATGAGCTTCCAGTTTCTTCTTTTGGTAAGTTTGTTGAAATTCATCTACATTTTTGGGAGAAATTTACATTCCTAAGCTTTCAACTTTAATCTATATGTAAATTTAAAGCTACTTTATATAATTTCAAGAGATAGAAAAAACATTGTCAACAGCAGTGGCACTTGACTAAGTTCAATGTTAATTCTAGCATTAAGTTAAATTATATGAATCTACTTTTTGTCATTGAGGGGATAAAAGTGTCAAACTTATTCTCATCCAATTGTTGCATTTGTTAAAAAATGTTTGTGATTTTTTATTTATTAAAATTTTTTATGAAATTTATTAGCAAAATAACTTGTGGAGATTTACAACACTTGTGATTATTATTAACTTTGATTTTCCACTTTAAAAAATAAAATTTCAAGAGATAAAATCTTCTTTTCATCTTGTCTCATTGCATGGAGAAATTTCCATTTTAATACAATGATCGACAAACACTTTTAAGTGACACTTGAGCAGACTTCGTCGAACGAAACATGCTAAATTTGATAAGAGCTTCAATTTTGCTCGATACAAGATTTTCATTCTTTGCCTATTATTCATTCAAGCACAATGTAACACTAGCAATACTTACATGTTTTATTCCAAATGTCCCAAAAAGGCCTCGTGAAGATACTCTTATCGTATTTGAAAAAACGAAGATAAAAAAATCGAATTTCCTCAATAAATAAAATTGGGTCGTTTGTTATACAAGATATTTAATAGAAAGAAATCCTTACGAGTGGAGATTTTGCATTTTAAGCTTACAGCATGCTCTGGGCTCAACGTCAATATTTGTCAAATATTCACCAAAGTAGTGGTGTGGAACGAAAATTTTCAGAGCTTTCGAATTGCCTTCTTTGTTTGAGGTTTTCAAATGAGAAATTTCAATATTTTTAGAAGTAATAAAAATAAAATTTATCTAAAGGATAATCACAATAATAAATTCTTGCTTTTGTATATTTTCTCTTTATTATTTATCGATGAATAAGAATCATCCATAAAATTAATTTCTTTATTGATTATAATTTGATTCTTCATCGTTTCGAATTGATGTAGCTTCAAAAGCTAATCGTTGTGCCAATTGTTCTTCTCCCAACCTTGCGTGCTCAGCTGCTATTTTTTCGAATAACGATAAATGCTTTTGTTTTGCGTAAGCTATAAAGTTAAAAATTGCGTGAAAGTTTCACTTTATCTGATAAAAATGTTTATAAACTTACCAACAGCTTCAGAATCTTTTGGAACTCCACCACCTTGCACGTAATTGGGATCAGAATTTCTCTCAGCTATTTTATTGTAAAGCTCTAAGTGTCGGTTTGTTGCCAAGTCAACAGCTTTAGTGTTTTGAGGCTGATGGGACAGTTGGGGATAAAATCCATTTTCATCGGCAGTGTATTCAACAGTTCTGACTTGATTTCTTGGATCAACATAACTGAAAGCACCACGAACTGTTCCAGCACCATCGCCTACTTCAGCATGTGTACCTTTGCAATGTAAATATATTAAATAAATATCATAAAACACTTTGCTCTTCAAATAATCATTACGATCTACATGTCCAGGGTATCTTCCTGCTTCGTATGAAAACTGGTATGGCCTTGGTGGATAAGTAGTTGTTGTTGTTGAGTCATCGACAATATGTGACACATCAGCAAATGCAAGACCAATAACAACGAATACGAACTACAGAATACATGAAATAAATATATTTAAATGTCAAAGATGTTTACAAGCGATTATTTCTTTTTTCTTAGAAACTTTAAAAGGTTTCTTTTTTCTTCTTAAAAGAATATCGACAAAATAATGTGAGTAGTCTTGGATATGAATGGAAATTCCGGTCGTTTTCCTCCAAATATGTTTGATATGATCAGAATAGAATTTGAAATGCTTAATGTTTCTATGGTTTCACTGATAGAGAAATCATTTCTGACATACATAAATCTGTACATTGTACACACAACCAACAAAGCAAAATAATGAGATCAGAAGGTTAATTATTTTGTATATTTAGACGCTCAATGAAACACATTATTTCTGATATGTTATTGAACTCAACTTTCTAATAGCAAAAATGTCATTAAAATAATTTAATTCATACAATTATTAGATTTTCTTACCAAAGCACTCTTCATGTTTAAAATCTTTTGATCAATAAAGTGAAATTAATGATTGAAATTATATAAGTTCACACTTTTGTTTTCAACGTTCAATATGTTCAACTTCTTTAAGCAAACTAAAGCTCTCAAACTCAGACATGAGTAAATATATATTTAAACTTATAGCAAATAATCACCACATGCACGAGATCAGAAAAAAACGAGTTATGCAAACGAATAGCTTGTCATGGACATGATAAAATTGATGATGATTCGACGTCATTTCTCAAAAGTCTCGTTTTGCTTCTCTTTCTACCTTCATTTGCTCTGTTTTATCCAAATGATGATAATGTTGTCTGGTCGCAACTTTAAACAAAATAAATAAATAATTCCATGAGTCATAACATTTCTTACGAAATCCTGCTAAACAAAATTATAATTTTAAATTCTCTTCAGAAGAAAAAAAAAAGCAAAAATCTCAATGGTTTTGTGCGTTTGCTTATCGTCTTAACAACATAAAAAAAGCAAAAGAATTAAAACGGCTTATCACCGTGTTTCGCTTGAACTCCGTCTATGAGGTGCAAATCGATTTAATTTGATAACAACCCCGTGAGCTTGTAACGCTTCAATAACTTTCTTCATTAAAATTCATTATTGATTTACGAAGATCTCTTTTCTTCTTTTCTCGGAGATTCTATTCTTCGATACAAAAGGGAAATCGCGAGGCACGAAAAATCAATGAGAAGACAAAACTGAGGGGTGAATGAAAAATTCTTGAGCTACTTCTTTCAGTCTTATTTGCATAAAGTAAATTACATTTTAATGCGCCTCCACTCGAGTATAAAATTATTTGATGAACCAGTCAATTCCCTTCATTTCCACTGAACTCGAAACAACACTCCCTAAAGTACTTTAAAGCGTGAAAAAATAGGAAAATTATGAAATAAGCTTCTCAGTCATTTACTTTTGTATGATGCAGAAATAATCATGTTTTGTCATTATACTCAATGTAGGAAAAAGTTGCACTTACAACTGTTAGATATGTCAAACAATATTAAAAAGTATCAGAAAATATTGCAAGTTGCAGCTGAGGTTACCTTTTCTGCGGGAGTTGCTAAGTTACAAAATTTTATTCTTGAATTCTCTTCTGCATGCTTCCCAACAAGCTTTCTCGTTACCGAAACTTTCACAAGAACATTTAAATTGCACAAAATGACAAATTTCATTCAGAAAGTTTCGCTTCCAATAATTTGTAAACATAAAAGCTTTGACGAACTTAAATAACATAATAAAGCAATGAACAAACAAGCTTAGTACGAAATCTTAATTTAATTCTGAATGTAAAAATAAGTCAAATTTCAGATTTTACTTCCTGAACAATCCATCAGTTAATTCTAGATCGGGTAATGCACGAATGAGTTCAACTCTTAACTATTTCAAATATGGTAAAATAAGATTTTTGTTCCTCTGACGTGCTTGCTTTAACTCTATTTATTGATCATATTTATTTTTGCGGAATGTTGTAAATAACGGATATAATATTTCATATTTTTCTTATCAAGAAATTCACGGAAGTTTGGTTAACATAACACTTAACAACAACAGAAAACCTTGAACAATGCTGTGTAATTAATTCTCATTTAATTTAACTCAACTTTAGAGTTTTCCAGACATATTGGTTTGATTTAAGATTGTAAACTTGCATAAAATATCAAAGAACGCAAAATGTTATTTCTTATCAGGATCGCATGCATAACTGAATAGTAACATGAAAACTTTTACTTTATTTATTCAAGTTGTGGAAATGTATCTAATCAAATTTTACAATTTACAAAAAGGAAGAATTTTCTTTGAAAATTTATTCTATTTGAAGTTCTTTCTAGGTCGAAATTAAAATTCCAAGTTGAACGTGTTTGCCATGCAATTGTTTTTCATCCGACTGTTTTACTGTTATCAATATAAGTACGTAACAAAAGAGCATTAAACGAAACAAATTTTCACCATATCAAATATTTAATGTTAGCAGGCATGGTATGAAGGGTGTGAACATTTTAAAATTCTACTTGCGTAATCATCCCAGCGTAAACTTAGACTCCAAATTACGCAAGAAAAATTTATTTCAGTCTTAAAAATCAAGAAGATTTTTCTTTTTACATCTTTCTTCCAAACTTCCTCTTCTTATAAGTCAAAGAAGGTTCGTACTTCATGTTCATAGTGCTTATGTTAGGGATGAAAAATTGTTTTGAGTTCCTGCTGACATGTAGCGACTTTACATAAATATTTACTCAAGAAATAATGCTTATTTGAGAAGCGTACTTAACGATGATATGATTTTTAAATTTTCCGAATATTTCTTGTTAGCAATTAGGTATTCATCTACTTAAATTAAGGAATTTCAATAATCGAGGAAAGCTGAAAAAATAAATTTGTGAAAGTCGAAAAGATTAAAATTGCTGATTCATCTTCACATTTCTGTCATTCAAATCTTAAAGTAAAACAAAAATTTATGAATAATTAAAACGTTACATGATAGATTTATTTACTTCTAAAAGTAATCAAAGTAATTGGAAGCTCATTCATTCTTCCATATAATCAAGAGAAACTTTGATGTGACTGTGATGATAAAATTTCTACTGCTTCTACCAGATATTTATCGGTTTTAAGCCTCTCAAAGCTAATGTTGAGAACTTACGCAGCTGTGATTTTTAAGAGGCATTTACGCATCCAATTAAGGATTAATTATTACTTCTTTTCTATTTGTTAAGCTATAAAAGCATTCCAGAAGCAATTAAGTTTGGGGTTTCGAATTTTATTAATTTTCTAATAGGAAATAGGAAACTGAATACAACACTTGAATCCTACCTTTGCTTCTTTACAAAATATTTTATTTGATTCTTGCGAATTTGAAGCTTTTCAACATCACCACAATCTATTCGCTTATTTAATAAAATCTATTAAATCTAACTCTTGAGAACTGTTCAACCTCATCTCGCAATATTTTGCTTACGATATTCAAGAACTATGAAAGGTAACTGAGCAACAACCATTAACAATGTAAAACGATTCCATGGGTTACCAAAATCGTAAAGGATGGAGAAAATAATTTTCCATGTCAGCATCTCATTTTTTAAAATGAAAGAAAGGAACACAAAACTCTTTTCAAGAGAGAATACAAAAAGTAGAGGTGAAGGTTAAAATACCATCAGCATTAGATGTGCGTTGTTCAGTTTAGTCTTCCTTCTGTCTTTTTACCATCTCGTTAAAAATCGTTCTACCTAGTTTCAAGCCTATTTAAACAAGATTTATAATCATTACAGAAAATTAATTAATTACAAAAACTTTTCGCTTAGTTCTTTACTTCTTCATAATATCAGATCAGGTGCGCATTTTCCTAGAGAAAATTGTATTAAAATTATAATTAATAAAAATGACAATTTTTCCGCCTCTTCATTGAAATGATTTCGGAAAGGGAAATTAATTTATCTCGCTTCAGGATCTGAAAGTTTAAATTTATACATGGAAAGTGAGTTTTTGATAATGGGTTTTCATGATATCAGATTAGAAATCTTTAGGAGAAAGGAAGGATATTAAAGGAAAAATCATGCGACATTAAACCTCTTTCAAGTTGATAAAATAATCATGACAGATAATGTTTTGTATGTTTATTCACTTCAATAATATATTAGGAACGATGTCAGAAGTCGCTCTCAATGTCATCAACACGATCAATCTAAATATTTCTACCATCAAAATAAATTAATAACATTGTTGTGCCTTCTTTTTCTCATTCACTCAACGAGATAATTTTCCTCTTAATTTACTAACGCTTGGGCAAATGAAGAAAAGGACCAGCGAATTCATGTTTAATTAAAATTAATTACTTATCTCATTAATCATTCACCCAGGGAAATCTTCAACTTGTTTCCTTCATCTAATTCTGCAATATTTAAACAAATGAGAACAAAAAAATGTCTGATTTAATAAAATGTTCTTTATTTTTTTGACTTTTATATCTAATAGGAATTTATGATTGGAGAAAAAATCATAAATTATTACTTGATTTTATATTTTCCTTCAACATTCCATGCTTAATGTTGTGCTAAGAAAACAGTTCATCATATATTTTTTACGATTTTGCGTGCTACTTTTTCTCATTATTTTTGTTTTCTTTTTAATAATTAAGTGTTTATGTTCACGTAGCCGGAAGTTATATATTTTGTTTTTCATTGACTTTTCAATGAACTTTTCTCTTATGATTGCTAGTGGTAGTTTACTTTTGTATTTATTTAAACAAACATTCACCTCATTCTTTTACTCAGAACTGAAAGTTTATTAATCGCATGTAAGATCTTCGTAATAAATAATAAATTAATTTAGAGATAAGACATTAATTTTCAAATAAAAAGGTTAAACATGTTACACATTTTTTAAAAATAAATTTGTCTTTGTCTACTCCTTTTCAATGTTAATGCTATGTGATCTAAACATAAAATGTTTGATGTAATGAGGGAAATCGCTCTTGCTTTGATATTTTTAACATCAAATATTCATAAAATTTGAATACGAATTTTCCGATGTAAGCGAGAAAATAATTTAATAATAGAAAATTTCTTTCCATTGAATTGAATGCTTTCGACTACTTCAGACTTTAAATGAATTTAGAGCAGTTTGCACTTGATAGAACGAATTGTCAAGGTATTTGGTGGAACTGCTTTCCAATAATTTTATTTAATGGAGTCGTTTGTGGTTTTGTTTCTTATGTTCATTTCTAAGAATAAATTAGCCACCTTAAATAAGTAATTAGGAGAGAAATTTATCTTATATACCTTAACACTTGCGGTTTTTTTTGGCTCAAAATGCTATCAACATAAGGAAAATTTTAAATTCCAATAGAAAGTGAAAGAAAATGAAAGATGAAGACAATAAGTTGAAGTGTCAAAAGTAAATAAAGACGTTGTAAAATACCAAAAATATCTCACCAAACAGTTTCGGATTTGACTGAAGTGTCACTACACATTTGTTGAGATTTCAACATTAAACATAGAAAGTTATGATAATGTGGCTTATAAAATTGCATCAAGATTTGGCACACTGGATGCACATACATTCAAGTATCATGATAATCTTCCTATTGCTGCTCTTTATGGTTCAACATGCAGCATGATTTCAATAAAATGAATCAATATTTGCTGAACTTGTTCTATTTAAGATAGTCACTTCTAGTTTGGATCCTCCCGAGTTGCTTTTACAAGGAAATATTAAAAATCAGAGCATGTACAAAAGTTAGGAAAATGTTGTGAAAAAACCAGTCAACGTTCTTTTCTTTTTTTATGTAAATATACACCAACAAGATTATAATTTAGCTTTGTTTATTTTCAAAGGCAGAAATTGAATTTAAAGCACACAAAAGGGGTGATGATTAGAAGTTTTGGCATGTTTTATGTAAATCATGTGTGCTGGTGTTGTCACGAAAGCCTTTCTAGAACTCCACTTGCAAGCTCAAAAACATTATTTTAATCCCTTTCATCTCTGTATTAATTTATGTTAAATGAATTCAGCGAGTTTTATTTCAATTCGAACCTTTTTTTATTGCCTTATTTTCACGATCCCAAAATACTTTATGAAAAAAGAAAGCATTTCATGTGATAAATAAAGTTCGAGCCAAAAATACTTTTCAACCTTTCTCTTATACATAATTACGAAGATAGAACATTAGAATATGTTTATGTTAAAAAAATGGATATTTCCATTAAGTACACTCGAATGTCAGTTTATTTATGTGGAAGCTACTCACTTTTCGAGAAAACAAGAATAAAATGAATGTGAAGTGTGGGTGAAGCAGTCGTAAAGTTTTTTTTTTGAAGAGACATATCATATCATATGTTGAGTCTTATATGTGTGTGTGTAATTATATGTTCAAACAGCAACATTGAATTTATGTAACTTTTACGATTGTAGCACTAACACTACAATTTCTTTCAAGGTATTGAAGGGATGGAATGTAGCAGAGTTGCGCATCTGTGGAAGAACATTGGCGTAACTTGAAACATAACTTCTGGGGTTGTTCACATACATATCGATTTCTTTTACTTCCGTTTATTTTCGTATAGAGAATTTGCTATAAACTCCGCTACTGTGTTCTAGGCTTTGCATTTGCCCTGTTTCACATCACTCTCTTCGCATCTAGTTTGTGAGATATTTTGTCAAAATTGTACCTCTACAAATAGTTAAAGAAGTTTTATCGAAAAATAAATTAAATTAACAAACTCTTCATGCAAAAACTTATTCTTTGCATTGTACAAATCAGATTTTCTTGTGTAGAAAGTGGAATTTCATTGAAAATATAAAAACAAATTGCTGGAAAATTAAAAATTTGTAATTGCTTATGCATTAACACAAACTCAAGAGTGTTCTTTCCATTAGATTTCAAACTGCATTATAATCTCGCATACTTTTGTCATTTAATTTTAATAGCTCTCGAGCTAATATTTGTTTAAAGGATGATTCTGAAGAGTTTTGTATGATTTGCGACGTGCACTCATTTGGAAATTCAAAAACTCAATTTCATATTTTCACAAAAGCTTAAAATTTCCACTCACAACTTGTCAGGAAAGTGCGAATAAAGGAAATAAATTTTCAAGCTGAATCATCAGTGAACTGTGAAAATATCTGTGAACAATTGCGGCATTGTAAAAATTGAATTTCAGTTGTTAATTCAGCGTGTATAATTTATTTTGTGGCAAAGAATCGTGTGCAAACCTTAAATTCATATTGATATTGATTCAATATTCGTTGTCCATTGAATATCTCCATTGTACTGTAAGAAAAGGTGAGTCTCTGAACTCTTCGCTTGATGAGCTAAAAATTCTTCAAAAAATAAATACAAAAAATTTCGAGACATAAACAAAAATAAAACTTCTTGATGATTCCTCCATGAAAAAAACATTTTCTTTGATATAGTTGTGTGCATAGATTGAGTGTAAATGTAATAGTGCGGTGCGTGAAGAAGAAGAAGAAAAAAGTTTTTTATTCACATTGAATAAGCGGGAAGAAAATGAGCAATTTTCTTCTTTACACACCTTTTTCTCTATAAAAACATTTTTATTTTATTTTTTGCTCAACATTCCCTTAAAGCGAGGGAAGTTTTTACCACTTCACATGTTGTACCTGTTCATAAAACTTTTTCATCTCATCTCCTTTTCCTAGAAACGAATTAAAGCGCGTGAGGGAAGATGTTTGAATTAACCAGAATCAACATAGCATGGCTGATTGTGAGCATCTTCACAGTTGTCCCAGCATTGTCGATACTATTGGAAGAGCTCTCACCAGGTAATGATTTTTTTACTTTTATTATATTTTTCTCCCCTTTCTTATATGTAAGTCTCGGATTTGATTGCGTTGCGATTTGTGTGCGATTGCAATCAATTCAAATCCGATCGAAGGAATCATTGTTCGATTCGTTGGCGTTTATAGTGAGTCTCATGGATGATGTCTCACTTGAGAATACCTTTAATGCTTCTCCTTTTTTTTTCTGTGATAGGAACATACACATAAATTCTTTTTATTTATGAGATTTTGTTTTGTTATTTCTTTTATTTCTTTTCTTCTGATGCTGCAAGACATTCTAAGCGCGCGTTCTAGCTAAATAAACATAAATTACAATAATAATTTATTTATACGCACATTTCCACAGTGTTAGCTGGGCAAAAAAAAAGTAGAAGGAAAAATACGATTAGAAGTTTAACAGATAAAAGATTCCACGCATCTCCACGAAGTAAAGAGAGAAGCATATTTAGGGGCTTATTTAACAGCATAAACAGAGAAAATTGCATGAAATAAAAACCGAATGAGAGGAACAATGCTGAAAGAAATGTCTTCATAAATAATTCTGCAGCCGAAACAGTCGAGAAAATAGCAAAAGATAGACAAGGAATGGAAGGAAGAATTGTTACTTGTTTGTAGTAGGGATTAAATATTTAATCAAGTCTCGGTGGAATTGTAACCGCGTTGAGTTATTTCAACGTCATTGATGCAAAAAGTTGTCTAAGCGAGAAGCATAAAAAGATTGACCAAAGCACTGTTTGGTTGAAATAAAGCGACCGATCTAATATACAACCCTCTTGGCCACAATAAAGTGGATTCATTAAAAATTCACGCCAGTTTAGCGCAGATACATTTTTAATGGAATTTCGTCTGTCAGAATTGCACAATTTTTCTTTACATTTCTTTCGCCCGCCCGTTGTGGCAATGATTTTTCTCGGGGCTGCGATTACTTTGTATTTATTAAGAGGATTCCTTCGAAATAAAATACATCCGTTTGATGCTCACTTCGTAAGATACTTTGTGAGTCATTAAATATTAATAATATCAGAAAATGATTTTTTTTTTCTTGTTCATTCTTTGAAAAAAATACGCGCAGAGGGATAAGGACGAAGCGTAATTCAACCACATTTTACGTTGATTACAAAGTAGACTGACTGAACATAAATGTCGGTTGAGGTGTTGTGTGATATGGGGAAGTTGTGGGTGGCGCATAAAATGGCAAAATCTCTACTCGTCAGAGTGAGCGAAAGATCCCCTTCATTTTACTTTTTTTTCGGAAAAACTTTTTCCTTTTTGTTCTTCTCTGCGGAAAAGCAAGTCGGGAAAGGTACTAGGATCGAAAATTTATGGAAATTGTTTGAATAAATAATGGATTTTACCACAGCTCCAGCTTGAGGACAAACGACTTTCTTTTTTTCCTTTTGATTAAACTTAACTTTTTCTTATTTAAGAATTCTTTCTTACTTTTTTGACTATCATGAAAGTTGAGTCTTAAGTGTTCATTCTGTTACTTTCAACAAACCATCTTTCACTCAACTGAACTTTAAAGAATCTTCTTAGATTTTAACATTAGTTGTGTTTTGCCTGCTCAACGAGTTCGAAGCTCATCCTTACCCAACACACACCTTAACCAAGGAAAGGAGAAATCGTTGTTTGTAGCATAAAAATGAGATTTGCATACATTTGTGTTATGGCATGGCAACATTATGAAACCAAGAAGAAGAAGAAATATCATCATGCACGTTTGAGGTTAATGCTTTTGCCATTTCTGCCGATGTAAGCTTTTTAACAGCAAATGATTTTTTTCATTTTGAATCCTTTATTTTTGCACAAGAATTACTTAAAAAGTCGACTATTCAGGAAAAAGTTTTTCCAACTTTTAAAACGTCGAAAAATGTTGTTTAAAACTTTACATAAATCTGAATGAAATTCTCCCTCTTATTTTGATATTATAAAGGAAGTAAAATTCCTCAAAGTAACAAGAGACAATCGACATTTTAAAGCCACAAAATGTATCGTGTGTTACGAAGTATAGCCACAATTTAGATACTAAGTTTGAGACGAGCATTGAATAGCAACAGAATGATGATTCTTCCATCATTTTAGCGATATAAAATATTCATCACAAAAGGATTAAACTACAAATAATGGAAATCTCGTGTAGTAGTGGCTTTACCTCAAAACCCGAATATATTTTCTACCGTACATTCAGTCTTTCCATCAAAGTAAAAATATAAACTCGACAGAAGCTTTTTCTTCTCTTAATCCTCAGTAAATAGAACGTCATATTGAACAACCGATGCAGATGATTCATTAACAATTGACATGAACATTATTTCTTTTTTTTGTATCTTTTGAAATTTAAACTTCAACAGCAAAAAAAACCAAAGTGCTTCTTTCAAAAAAGAAAATCTTATGCTATAAAGAAGCTAGCCAAAATATAAAAAGAAACAATTGAAACTATTTTCTTCTAAGGATTTTCCATTCCATTAAACGTGCTTTCAAAACTATTTCAATTCCTTTTCTTTCTCTCTTTGACAAAAAAAAATCTTTTCTCCATTTCCACAAGAATTTTGGCAAACATTTTCGTTCTCAATGTGTTTGAAAAAATAAAGAAAAAGTTTAAAAATTCTTTCATTTCTTTCTTTATTTTTTGTTTGGTGAAAATAAAGGAAAATATTGAGGGAAATAAATGTAGCACCAAAGAAAATGTGTTGAAATAAAAGGCATATACACGAACTTCTTGTATGATCTAAGAAAAACATATTGAATGAATCATAATATCTCAATTTTGATCGCTTTGGAGTGTATGTATTGTTATTAGCATTTTTATGTTGTTGTTGATAGGGGAATGAACAAGAACAAGAATCTTGTCAGGATATTAAGTTTTGAGCTATTAGTTTTCCTCCTTATTCGAGGAAACGCTTTTAGCGCAAGGGAAGAAGAAATCATTAGACGAGAGATAAAGTTATTTAAATCCATTACTGAAACATGACGATAAACTACCGATTTCCTTGTAATATTTTTCATTTCAAACTTTTTTCATTCACTTGCGATTTGCGAGGACACATCAGTCGCTAGGCCGTAAAAATTTATGAGATTTTACGAAAAGCAAGATTTCTTTTTGTGATTTTAAATGAAGAAAATAGAATGAGGGTGAACTTTTGTTAAGAAGTACACAGTACACACTTGATGGCCATTATACATTTTCATAATGCTCTAATGTCGCAATCTTGAAGAAAAGCCCTCAAAATTTCATATTTTTTATCGAAGAAAAGAAAGTCGTCGGAAACGGTAGTAAAGTTGATAACTGCAGATGGCACAATTTCGTCTCCCCCGTGAAAAGCTGTGCTTGCTTTCCTAAAAACTCACAAATGAACTTTTCATATTTTGTTTTCGTCTTCTTCTTTCAATAATAAAGAAAATGTTTCTTCTTTTTTTCTGTCTTTCCTTGCATGTTGCGACTTCAAAATTCCTTTATTTATTTGTTCTCCCTTGAGAGCTAAATTAAAGTGAAAAAAAATTGCGGAGAATAAAAACTTTACACGGTAATAACAGTCACCTGTTACCCAACAGAATCGTCGTACGAAACCAACAATTTCGGACATTTCATTTAAAAACACGATAACATTTTCAACGTCTTCTCATTCCTTTACTCTCTTCCTTTATTAAAGGTGCAGTAAATCATTAAAATCTACCCGAGAATTTAAATAAAAATGATATTATTTGCGCAGGGGTTTCATAATAACTTAAGCTTAGAATGATGTATGTTTTCCGACACATATTTCAGCCTTTAACAGCCGCCCCAAACATAACGTAAAATGAACAAATGTACGTACGCATCTATTCAAACATTTTCATAAGGTCAAGTTTTAATTCTTACGAGTCGTAAGCACGTGTAAAAATGTTCAAATGATAAACTAATTGAAAGTTCTTCTCTCTGACCTGGAGTAGTCACCACAACTCGAATAAAATATATTTTTCCGGCATTAAATATCCTGATAATATGCAACTCATTCCTATTTCTAGATGTTCACAAACAAATGGGGTAATTGGTTTCAAACATGTTTTAATATTACAATCGCTATTATCCCTATGACATTAACCTTCGGCGGTTTTCTGTGCAAATGAATGTCGGCCGATGTGGATGGGATGTATAATTTTTTCGGTTGGGCACTGTAGAATGTTTTTGATGGAAACGTTCAGGGTTGGCAAGGCATTTTGCGTTTTTAGGCTTTTCTTTTTTCTTATTCTAAATATCAAACCTTTGAAAGCTTTCCCTTTTGAGCTCCGAGAGTTTACATGCAAAGTGTTAATCAATACCGGATTTTTTGTATGCAAAGCGCGCGCCTTGAAGAAAAAAAAGGGCACAACAAAAATCATCTGCAGCTAATGTTTCTACACATAAGAAATTGGTTTTTGGGGCGAAATTAATTAAGACATTTCGAGGCTAACACAGTACAACAAAAGAGACGAAGAAAAAAAAAATCTTTTTCGAAACATGTGTTGAAAGTGAAGGAAGAAAAAAGATGAAAACAAAATTATAACGAATTAAGAGATTATGTGTTTGTTGCTGCCGCTTGTTTAATAATGCTACATGTAGGTTTCATAAATACTGAAATTGTTTGAATGTGTTGAAGTTCTCTCTCAACTCCAGTGTAGTCCATCAGCGTATTCCGTTTGAGAAAGACAGAAAGTCATAATACAAACAAAATGCCGACTCAATCTAGTACGATTCCCAGTGTTTATGTACAGAAATATTTTTCCAACTCTCACACAACATATGATTTTTCTCTGTACTAAGTACAAGCTGTGAACACGATGAAATGTATCTGAAGAAGAAAAAAAATTGAGAAAACAGTTCGAGACGGTAAAAGTGTTAGTTGTGCTTTTAGAATTGTTGCGACTAGACGGGAAGTTTTTATGCTCTTAAGAATAACTTTCCTCGGTTAGGAATAATATTATTTTAATGTAAAATCCCTCAAACTTGGATTACAATTTTTCTTGTGGATTACAAATAAAAAAGTTATTCTATTGAATTTAGAAGAAGTGTTATCAAAAACAAAAATAAAAAGAATGGAAGATTGGAAAAATTAAACTTTATTTCAACATAAATTATTCGACTGTGAAAGAACTCAAAGAAAATAAAAAAGAAGAGTAAAGACAAAGTAAAATTGAAAGACAAGCAAATATCTACATCTTAAAATTTTAGTGTGAATAAGAGCTAAAAGGCGCTTGAATAATAATGTCGGAAACATAAATGGAGGATGAAATTTCTAAATAAAATCGTTTTTACTCAAAGATGTTTCATATTCTATAAATAAAAATTTTCTTGGAAAAAGTTAAAAGAAAAGCGAATACTGACAGTTAAGAATTTTCTCATGAAACGTGTTTAAAATTTGCATTTAATTTGTATCAGATTATTCGATAGTGAAGTAAAAGTTACAAGTGAAACAGAATTCAAAGTTTCATAATCACTTTGCAATAAATTCTTCCATAGCCGCTGTGTTTTTATTTCTTCTAAATTCAGTTTTCTCTTGTTAAAAAAACTCTTTCGTTCATTTCGCATAAAGAGTTCAACATTCTTCAAAACCAGTTTTTGTTCCAAGCACTTTTTTTTTCTACCAGCAATGAATTGTAACAGAAACGAAAAAAAAAGTTATTGTGGTTGTGTTGATGTATGTTGTTAAAAAGCCATATTGGATTGAAAGAGAAAAAAAAAGGGAACCTAGAGTTTGACCAACACTTTGAGAATAAAGTAGACGAGAGAGAAGAAAAAAAAGTTAATAAATATCTCGTTGAAGAAAGAAAAAAGAAACGAAGGAAATCAGTTCTGTAGCAGAGTTCTGAATACACATATTTTCAGGCTTAAATTTCACATCCCATTGAGATAATATTGATTTGACACCATATGTTTGACTCTTTTTTTTATACTTCCCGCTATTTTCGGTGCAGAAGTTATTACATTTTTGTGTCAGCTAGGAAATCAAGAGCAAGCACTCGGTACAACGAGATTGATGTTGCCGTCAATGAGAAAATAATATCGAGAAATGTTAATAATAATTGAATAAGAAAACATAATAAAATTCTGTGTTCAGAGTGAATATTATCGAATTAGGCAGTGGATAAAAATAAAAAGAACTAAGAAAGAGGAATACGAAAAAAAAATACATATAAAAGTAATAAAATCAAGGAAATAAGAAATGATGAAGCAGATGATGAATAAGTTCAAAATGTCTTATTTACCGAGTGTCAGTGTGTTATTCTCTTTATTCCTTTTGGATACAATCGTTCTTGCCGATTACGAGAATACATGGAATAGTTATTTCGAGCAGCCTTGTTGCAATACAAACGGACCACATCACTTTAGACATCACAAAGGTATACATTTCTCCATTTGGATTTATTCAAGACGTTTTTGAAAGCCCAACTCCTACCTTTATTTTAGCCATCTTGACTTAATTAATATTCTTCTTTAACAAAGGCAAAATAGTCATTTGCATACAGATTACTACTCGTTCTCTCAATCTTCCTTCGCTTTCCCTCTATCATCTTTCCTTTATCTGGTGTTATGAGATTTTTAACAAAAGATCTAATTTAATGGGATTTAAAAAGTGGGAAGAGAATACGACACAGCGAGAGAGATGAAAAATAAAATAAGCTATAAACTTTCATTCCACCGTTTGCTTAACTCGATGTTACTGCTTGTGAAAATGGAATCAAAGGAAAATCAACGAAAAATTATTATGCGGATCTAGCGGATTTTATTATTCAATTTCGAGATCTTCTTTCTGTTCTGAAACAATAAAACGAATCTGCCTTTTGTATAAATATTTCACAATGCGATGACAATTCATTTAATGTTGGCACATGAAATTTATTTACATTTTGAAGCCTAAATAAATTATTTACATCACAATCTTGTTGCTATTTTGATTATTTAAAGTTCTCTGGAAAACTATTCTGTTACTAATTAACGATTTATTTTGTATGTAATTATGTGTTGCTCTCACTGTCGTTTTGAATCAACTTTATCAGGATTCTGGCATTCATCCAGTAACATAATTTCTTTAATAAACGTACAAACGTATCACTGTTGCGAAAGAGTATGAAAAATGAACTGAAACTTTATGAAACTGTCCAGAGAAGTGCAGTGAGATGAAAAAAGAAAATATGTTGATTCCAATTAAGTAGGAAGAAATAAAAATATCAGAAACAGAAGCGATCAAAGAGTTTGTATTTGAGTCGACAGAACGTTTTTCTTTCTGGCATTTTTCACTCGGTTTTTTGAGTTGCAGAATATCTCGCTTTTATGTTCTTTTTAGGTTGGAATTTTCGGTAGAAAAACTCTGCCAAAACCACACACATAAGAAAATGAAAATTGAAATTCTTCAAACCGAGAGCGAGTAGATTTTAAGAGAAATTATTCAAATGAGGATTGCGGAGTTGAATTTTGATTATATTTGGTTTTGCCTGCTGAATCCATTCCATATATACGATTAAATGAGAGCTAATTATAATCTTAAGTCTGGTGAAGCAGATGAAAATTTTTATCAATGATATTTTTCCGAAAAGTTTTCCACTCTTCTTACAAGCAGCTTGAAGCTTCATTTGATCTCGAGGGAGGAAAAATAGGATATAAATCAAAAATGTTAGGGACTCGACCTTGGAAGCTTCGTGCACACATGCCAAGGCATCACTTTCTTCCATTCATCATGCGATCTGATTTCGTCCTTAATTAGATTAGCAGAAATTATGTGATCTCAGGGAGAAATGTAAATTTGAGACATGCGGAAAAATTGTCATGTAAATTTATTTTTTCTCTGCTTCTTCTTTCCTCAAGCGATGCTCCATTGAATATTAAACAGACGAGTAGACTATGAAAGCTCTGTAGAGTGTAATGAATCATTTAGCTGGAATTGTAAAGAAAAAAAAATCAGTTTTTCTTTATTTCCTTCTACACTGATTGCACTGTCGAATTGGAAGTTTCCGCCAATGTTAACTTACAAAAAGGTGCTTTTAACACTTCGTTCTTCTCTTCTCTCGGTAATTAAATAATTTCTGTTAAGCATTAATGTTCCATGGCGTACGTAAATCGTTCATTATTCTTAACTTAAACACAACTCGAGAACTTTTTTTTAAGGAAATATAGCAATTTATGAGTTTAAAGCATATTATTACATAAAATATGCTCTATAAGATTATGTGATTTATTTAATTGTCCTAAAATAACTAATATCATTGAATGAATCAAAAAGACGAAAAAGTAGAAAGAAAACAGAACTTATAAAGGTTATAATTATTGAATAGCAATTTGGTCGATAATCGCTTGTGGAAATGCTAAATAACAACCTTTTTAGGGGATTTTCATCGAAAAAGTAAAAACAAAAACAAGAGAAACATTCATCAGAAACGCAAGGAAAATTCAGTAATGAATTGTGGGGTGAATTCGTACGTTATCAAACCTCTAAGCAGCAACGAAAAGTTAACATAAATTATCTTTCATTAATGAAATTAAACATTATGCAATAAAAGAGAACGGAAACATTGCGTGCATCTATTTTGGGTTTGGAATTGGTGCTTTCATGAACTCCAAAAGAATTAATGGAGTTCTTCAACCTCTCGGTTTACGTCATTATAATAACTTTCATAGAATGATGAATGTTAGTTTATTGGAAAGCAAACTAAAAGTTTAGAAACAATTCTTGCGTGAGAGACAATGTGATAGTTATCTAACAGGTTTGGGGCTCAAAAGAAACTCACGAACAACATAAGGAATGAAAGCACGTTGTATTGATTATGAGTTAATAATAATCTGAAGAATAACATCTTATTAAATTGAGTTGAAAAGGGAATCAAATCAAAGAATATATAACTTCAAATTACTTTTTCGATTATTAGTTTCCATAACATTAACGTTTAAAAACAATAAATTATTGCGTCTGCAAAATGAAGCCAAATTTTTTAGTATCCTGATTGATTTGATGAATTTATTTCTTTCCATTTCTTTCTGTTTTTTTTGCCCTCCCTTCCTTCAAATCGATGAGCTAAAATGTGGAGATTTATATGGAGGAAACAGCTTCATTAAACAATATATTTTTATTCGAAAAGTCAGCCCCATGTGTTTCATTTTCATGTTAGAAAATAAAAAAAAAGAAGTAAGCGAGAGAATGAAATAAGAAGATTGGTGAACAGCTAAATGGTTACGATCTTAATATCAATATTTTTATGTTTTACGACTGACAATTTTTTCATTTCAAATAATTTGATTGTTATACGGTAGGCAGTGTAGGGAGAAAAGTAAAATAAATAGGAATTCGATGATTCAACTACGTGTACACGATGAAATTGTAATGAAACGAATTGTATATCAAATATAATAAAAATTTGCTTTATTGCTTTGCAAATGACAGAAATTATGTCGAAAAATAAACAATTTTTATGACTTGTCGTAGATACTTTCTTTCACGAAACATTTCTTTTAAGTCGTGTTGTTTATATTTACGTGAAAGCATTTGCGAATAACTAATGTATTCGAAGACATTAAAAGCATTTTCCAGTTACTTTTCCACAGTAATTGATTGATGTTTCATCGATTATTGTATTGAGCGAGGAAAACAATTTTATGATTGAAAAGTTTACGGTATCCATTTTTATCGTCCAGACAATTCCCCGAGTGCGCCATTAAAATAACATTGGGAGTGGGGAAAAGAGGGAATAATTTTGTAGCGTCGAAGTAAAAGAATTTAGAATCTAAATTCCAGAGAAATTTTCGTATTTAGTCTTGCTTCAACAATTCCACAATGGAATGTCTTAGGTTCAGTTTGAAAAGTCATTACATGATTATATTTTCTCATTACTATTGACTCAAGAAAAAAATCGAACAAGAGCTATCAGTCCCGTCAAAACAAAGAAAAAAGAAGGAAAGAAAGGGAAAATCATCTTAAGAAGAATCGAACAAGAAAAGATTTATAGACTTTTACTCCTTACATTTCAAGGATTATTTGGAAAAGTTTTTGCATTCAATTTCACGTGTGTTATGTCTTTTTCATTCCTCTTGTGTGCCAAGAGATTCTCAAGGGAAATTAAATTTATTTTTCTTATTTTCCGTTTGGTTCTTTTTCAATGTGTCGACGATATTTTACAGTTTTGTAGATTGTTGTAGTTTTCTTGCTTTTCTTGCTTCAAAATTGAATTGTGTTTCAATGAAAATTCCAGTAAAAATGTTACCTTCCTTTGAGTCTTTTTGCATTAATCTTGATACAAACACAACATAAAAACGTTACCAACCATCTTCGCTTTTTTTTCCTTCTCCCAAATGGAAAAATGTTTCTATATCGCTTTTGCTGAAAACAAATATTACCTGAAACAACAAATAGTAATTCTCAACAGATTTCGAAATTGGAAAAGTTCTAATAAAATTAGTAGTAATCATTTTTTTTCTTCTCCCTCTTTACTTAAATAATATGAAGAAACAAGAATGAAAGAAACGAAGCACAGCCAATTCGCATACTCACATTATATCGTCGTTTTATGTGGAAAAATGGAAAGAGGCAACCTTCTCTATTATCATTACCATCACTATTGATTTTTCGTTTGTTCCCGTGCCGACGATTTCCTTTTCTCTCTTCTTTATCTGCCTGTAGCCTACTGTGTGTGCGGAGTATGTTTCATTGTTGCATATTCTTGTGGAAAATAATTTTTCTTTCTTCCATTCTTACCTCACTCGTCTTTTTTTCCTTTTTTTTTTCTCCTGGATAAGTCAAAAGAGGAGTGCTGTTGAGAAATTGATATGTTTGAAACACGTAATGTAATGGGATAAAATAAATGTATAACAATGAGAAATAATATTTTATTCACACCGTGACACACACTTATAGACTAAACAAAAATAAAGATATTAATTTATCGAATTCAGGTGTGTGTGAATCGAGTCCCCTAACTTAAGAAGCAAAAAAGAAGAAATTGATTCGATGAATTTCAATGTTTGTGATGATAAAGCAAGTATGATGGTAGTAAGTGTGACGGTGTGGGAGTGAAGAGTATTAGAGAATCATAAAACATGCACAAAACGTTTCCCAATTTCATGCATCATGAAAGCACTCTTTATTGATTTGATGTGGCGAAAAAACTCTACTGCTAAACGCTAATATTTGCGCTTGGGTTTTCGGATTTTTGCCTCGCCACTCTACTGTGGCTGCTCAGCTTTTCTCAACCCCACACCACACCACACCCAATGGGAGTATACAAAAACCTTAACCATAAAATAAATGAAGCATATTGGGAGAAAAAATAAAATAAACGAAGTGAGAGAGGAGGAAAAGCCAAAATATCGTACAAGGGTGAAGGATCGATTTCATTTAATCAAATATTTATTTATTTGCTTGAACCTCGAACGCTGTCGAATGAAATGAAAACAAATAAAATCTCTTCTGTTCTTTCGGTCTGATTCTTATCGGGTTTATTATTTAATGCTCGCAAGTTATCCAAGGAAATCATTAGGAAGCAAATATTCACTGTGAAATTCAGAAAACAAAAGAGATGGAAAGAAAAAAAAAGTTGCTCAACATGAAAATCCTTGTTTCGCATTCATGTGATGTCGCTTTGCAGTCTTTTTACAGCTTATGACGAGAGACGAAACTTTTTCCTCTAAAACTTTATTTTTTTCTTCTTATCTCGACGGTTGCTGAAGAGCAGAATTCTTCAACACAAGTTTGAAGTTTCTAAAGAAAAACAATAAAGTTTATGTATGACAAATATGCAAAGTAAAACACCTACTTAGAGTTAATGTATGAAGCATAAAGAATTTTAAATGTTCAGTACTCAAAGAGATGCAAAGCAATTTTTAGAAGCGTCATGTTGCTGTTCTTTTACTTTTTATTTCATGTTTTATTTTTATGGACAAATTAAGTTTCTAATTCTCATTTCTTCTTTTCCTTCCAGATCATGTAAGAGAGTTCACATGTGGAAAGTTATACTACCGCACATTCCACTTGGATGAAGAACGAGATTCGCTTTACGTTGGTGCTATGTAAGTTGAAACTCATTCTGTTTCTTTTTTATATATAATTAACAAACAGCATGAAGCAGAAATTATTCCAAACTAAAGCACTTAAATTAGTGCACATTTTCATTACATTAAAATATCATCTGCTTTATCGTTTAATTAATCTTTAAATTCATAATATTAATCATCCTTTTCTCATTTCAAATGCTTCATTAATAGCGTATGAAACTGATTAGCTTCTTCACAATATTAAAAAGGGCTTTTGAATAATTTTCAAGTTTCAAGTTTCTTCCCTCGCAGATAGAAAACCACCATAAGTCCCAAGAGACATTCAATTAGAATTCCCTAAAGAACTCTTCAAAGTCTTGCCTTCGAAATTAATAACGATAACAATAATAATAATAATTACAAAAGGGGACATATTTGAATCAGCAGTGAAGGAATATAACTTTAAATGCTTAAATTACTGAAAATCTTTCCTAGAAATGAGACTCTCAAGTCTTATCCCTGATTAAAAAAGGGAAAACCAAAAATTAAAATGAATTTTAAGTGAACCAATCATGACAAATTCTTCATTTCAAGCACTGAAAATAGAAATTGATTTTTCCTTCTACAATTTCCAAAGTGAAAACTTCTCAGACTATTAACACAATGGAATAAAAGTTTACGACATAAACGTAGATAAGCTTAAAGTTCTTTCCTATTAGATCATATAACATGCACTTTGGCTTATCTTACACTTAAGTTGTTAAGCTAGAAATAGTAGACACTTGGAAATACTTTCAAATCTTAATGCATTTAACAGTCCAATGTACTTTAGACATAAATAATCCTTCTTCAAGGATGCCAATTACAGCGTAACCGCTTTTCAGTTATCTCATTTGCCAATCCAATTTTTCCACATGAAGTAAAAAATTATTTCCGCTAGAAACTTTATGGCAAAGTACTCGTGGTAATGCAGGCTCGCTCACTTTGTGCATCCACTTTGTGAGAGACAATAATGATAAATTTTGTACACATGAGTGTATCCTCAGAAAAGCATAAAATAAGTAGGTCAAATCTAGTGTATGGAAATAGCTCTGCACACACGGGGTGAACCTTATCTACTCTCCAATCTGTTGTGCACATGAATAAACATGAAAACAATTTTTTGGTCTCATAATGCGAATGTTTGTACGAGCATGTGCGATAATTTTTACATAGTATTAATAGCTAATATATTTTAATTTATTCATGCACATAATAAATCTCTTTTAAGCGATAAAGCATTAAAAATAATTTTACGATATCAATCTGCTCGTAAATAATTGCTAAACGTTACCATTTCATTTCACGATATTTTATTTGACAAAAACTTAATCGTGATTGAATGTGTTTTTAGTTCACTTGTGAAATTGTGAGATAATGCAGTTATTTGATTTTATTTTAATGTTTCCGTAAACATAATTAAATGTTTGTTTGATTGAAAGTTTCGTTGAGTCTTTCAAAAAGTCCTTAATTGCAAGTCTAAACGTTTTTCATTTTACTTTCTCTTTGCGATGAAATTAGTAGAATGATGACAAATTAATCATGTTTAAGCTTTACTAAAACATTTACTTCTAAATCGATATTGCAACATAAATTTTTTAGTGTCTACAAATTTTAATTCTGTCATTTTCTTTCATTTTTCTTTTCAGGGATAGAGTGTATAAATTAAATCTTAAAAACATTACGTTGACTGGATGTGAGGTAAGCTAGAACAACACATTTTTATGGCATTTGTTAGACTCTCTAAACTAAAGAATTCTAATGGAAATAACATGAAAAATGATCTGAAAATATCAAAGAAATAGCAGTGCGCGAAATGATGTTGAAAATCAATATTTTCCTTCGCGTCTTTCTTTATGTTACAAAAATTACGATAACTTTTTACTCTATAAAGAGAGTGCCATAAAGTTAACCGTAAATATAGAATATCATTAATTTTATGCAACACATGTCGGTATTTTTGCCTTTTCCGTCTTCCCTTTCCCTCCTTTAACTTTAAAGAGTATCATTTGATTTCACGTTTTTTTGTTATTCCTTTATAATCGCTACTGTTGTCGGGAACAACGAACGAAAGAGAAAAACCACAATGCTAGTAAATCTTATTTATTTTCCGACACATCATAAATAATCACTTTGAAATGAATGGAGAATTTTTCATATCTTGATTGAGGCAGAAATGAGGTCTTTACCAAAAAAAAAAAGAAGTAAGGAAAAAGAAGAAAACCAACCCCAACATCATTCTTCACTTCTTCACAAAAAGAGAAAGAAATAATACGTACACACATACCTGATGTTGTAAATCATCTGAGTGGGATTTTTCCACCACGTTCTTCATGTAGGAAGCAGATAACTCTTCCCTCCTCTATCTCGTTTTTCGTGATAAACGCGTTGGTTTTACTCGCCTTTTGCTTCTTCCGACTTCCTGTTTTTGTCTGACTTGGGTAATTATCAAAGCAATAAATAAAATATCAGTGCCATAACAGACGACAACTTCTCTGCCATGTAATTAAATATTAGCAAGTGTCAGCAGAAATATTCTTTACATTTAATCGTTGTGAGTTTGGTGGCGGAAGGCAAAGTGTGTTAAAAGCTTCTGTAGGAAGGAAACAAAAAAGATTTATCCTGCTGTTGAGAGTTATGTTAGTGCTAAGTTGAAAGCAGAAGGCAACATAGAAATAAAAGTAGAAACAAAAAACAACTTAATGAATTATTTGCGGTACAATGTGAAGGTTTAAATTAAAGAATCCTTTTTTGTGGGTGCTAGAAGAGCTCATATGTACAAACACGCGCTGTACATCTCAATGGACCACGATCCCAAAAGAAGTTTTCGTTTTCGTTTTGTGGCTTCTCGATACGCTTTAAGCAGATTCTTTTAACAAACATGTTTAGGATTTTTGGTTGAGAAAAACCAATCTGAATGGTTCAATACAAGTGAAGCATGGCCTTGGCTTTAAATTGACTCTGTTAATACATTTAAAGAATTCACAACTTAACCCCCTTGTCATTTAAAATGAAATAAAAAAAAGGAAAGCTAAGAATGGTGTTCGTTACCAAAACGTTTGCACAACTTTAATGATTTCTAAGCTGATGTAATCCTGTTTAGTCTAACAAACACGCGTCTACAATGTCTAACTAATGTACGTTTGAAATATCGTAATGAAACATCAAACAAGCATTAAATCTCGTTATTAAATATATGATGTACATTATAATGCAAAATATTATTACGACATCATAAAAAAGTTTTATAGCAAGGCCCAATGTGCACATTTTGAGTCATGTTGTTTGTTTTCTCTTTCTCGCTTTAAAAAATCTAAAAACAAAAATTCTCATTAAATTTTGAAGATGAATGGATCAGTGAACACATGAATGTTACTTTCACCCCTCTCCGCGATTTTTACAACAAGTGCTATGGAAATCAGTGAAATTTATCGAGAGAAGGAAACGAACGGGAGGGCAAACAGATAAATAAATGTGTAAGGGGTTGATTCCTTCATCTCGGCCCGTATTTTAGGCAATTTATATACTGAATTCAGAATGTTTGGCAGGTATGACTGCTCTAATAATTCTGACTTCATTTTGTATTGTAGCGAAAAGGTCGTAAATTAACATTGAACTGGGGTTGGTTACGCTGGGGCGCAATATATTGCCACGAGAAATATATAAACCTGTATATGTACTCTTTGCCCATCTACCCTTATAAACTTCTTATTTTATGTTCCTTTTTTTATTAAATTTAATTCCTTTGGGAAACATTAAAACGGAAAAAAGAGAGTACTCAATAGATAGAAATGTAAAATATTTATCAAGCGAATCGTTTACATGCTCTATTCTCTGTGTACGATTTTAAATGCCAACAAGCGTGAGGGTTTATCCATTCATCGATCCCTTTCATTCTTCTTTTTTTTTCAATCAGTCACATTCATTTTCCATTTAATGTTTTTTTGATGATAACAAAATAAGTGAAAAGATTAAAAAATATTTTGTGATAATTTGTTGATGTTTATTATGAAGTGAGGGGGCAGACGGGTGCTTAATTCATTTTCCGATAATCAATTCGAGCTGGAAAATTAATTATCAAAGCTTGAATGCCGGAAGATTATCAAAGTACTAAGTATGCTTTTAAAATCACTCAATTAAGACGTTTCTAGACCAGAAGAATAACGGAAGTGTCAGGATGTAAATGAAAACCATATTTTTAGTAAAATTTATTTGGCATGGCAAGAAAACTATTAATTTCCTTCTTCTACTTCTTCTTGTCGAATTGTCTGGCAAGATAAGTAGAGAGGAAAAAGTTACTGATGTGTGTGACACATGAAATGGTTGAGAGAATTTAGTATTTCACCTTTTTTGAGGGTAGATAGGGATTTAAGAACAAACCTAGTCTGAGATTTTATGAAAATAACTTGACTTCAATGTTTTCAAATTCTATTTAACAATGTCGGTGGTGAATGCAAATACAACAATGTTCTTAATAATCCATTCTCTTTTTGCTGTGTTCTTCAAAAAGGCTTCAGCCCGTCATTTATTCTCAAAGAAAGCCCTCATCAAAGCTTTTTTTTCTCCTCAAGTGCGGTTTAATTTGTGTAGCGTAAAATACTATCTTATCCGCTTGAAGAGAGGCAGAAAAGCAAAGAAATATAAACGTCATGGCGTTTGAATTAAAGCGTTTCAAAAATCTTTATTTACATCGTTTTAAACCAAGCTTTTGGCTCGTAATCTTATGATAAGTTAAAGCGATGCTAAACAACGATAGGAATGAGACGCTAAAAAGTTGACAAAAAATAAAGAAAGCAGAACAAGTTATAAGCGATTTCGGGTAAAAGTCATGCTGTGAAATATTTCCGGTTTAAACGTTATTTAAAATCATTTTCCGGAAGGAGCAAAAAAAATCAAATGCTGAAAATATTATCGTGATTTTGTTCGAGAGTATGAGAAGGAAAAGCAGCAAAAAAGGATTTCCGAATTGCTACTTCTGTACATGACAGCTTTTGGTTTGTTCAAAGAATTATTTGATTTGACTTGAATATTTCTTTAAAAGTGCAATCAAAATTTGATTTAGGAAAACTCAAAGAGTTGACAATTTCATGAAGCTTTTAAAAGGAATATAAAATTTAAGCATTTTTATATTATGAGATTCTAAGCATGTAAGACATTCTTAAATTTCATTTTTTCTTTTTAATTTTAATTTAAATAAACGCGAAGATGAAATATTCAATTATGTTTTGATTGCTTCTTATGCATTCAAAGAGCGTAGAAGTCTCGTATAAAAGTTAAGAGTACAAATTTCAATTAAGCTCTCATTTTAAATTGTTTACGCGCTAATGATAGCAGGAAAAGATCCTCTTTATATAGAGTGAGTGCTGGAAATAAATTGATTTAGTCTTGTAAGAATAAAATAATCTATTTTCTCGCCGTTAGCTTGCTTTTATTTCTTGTCTCGACATTTCAATGCAAGTAATTAGAATTCTTATTGCAGTGGGGGAAAGCAAAGCAAAAAAGGAAATAAAAAACCTGCAAAGACAATCTTTCTCTTCCTTCATTCTGTGCATTTCGATTATTCTGACATCTCGATCTTTCTCCTAACATTTCACCCAGCAGAGAATAGAAAGAAATTAAAATTTTAATTAGATTTTCATTCTTTTTTTTTCATGCTCATTGGGTGATTTTCCTCGCCTTGTAGATGAGTGATTTTTTCCAATGGAAGTGAATCAAAGACTAATCAAAGTCTACGTTCCCTCAGCAAGAAATTTAATTATGAAAACAAATGAATGAAATTAAAATGCGAAAATGAGATGATGCTTCACGTTTGATGCTGTTTCAGACATTTTCGTTGAAATAGTAAAATAATTTAATGCACACAATCAATGAATAAATTGCATATCATTATAAAAGTAAATCGATAATGGATGCAGTGAAATTGAATCTTGCATTCGTTATGAAATGTTAATTGTCTCTATAAAATAATTCACAATTAAAATTGCAAAAATTATTTCAAAATGTTTTAATTTTTATCATTGCAGAAAGATCACATACTGCTAGATCCAACAGGAAGCGATATTAGTAATTGTTTATCTAAAGGAAAGAGTCAGGTTTGTGTTTATCAATTATTTAAACAAGATATGTATCAAGACGTGGTGATAAAACAGGGAAATTAATTTAACAACACACCCAACAACATACCTTGACAACTTAAAATATTAATTTGAATTTTCAACTTTCTTTTTTTGTTTCTCTTTTTCAACCCTAAAGCTTTTCGACTGTAGGAATCACATAAGGGTAGTACAATCAATGGACAATGGCAACCGTCTGTATATTTGCGGCACAAACGCTCACAATCCCAAGGATTATGTAATTTATGTAAGTTTCACTTTTTTATCTTTTTCTTTCCCTCTTTTCCCTGTAATAGAAATCATGGAATAAAACAAAGGAAATATCCCTTTTGCTTAAAGTCCCCAAAGATCTTTTTTAATAAAAACATTCGCTTCTTTAACTTTGCACAATCTCCTTCTTGTCTTAAGTCGTAATTAATCAAAATTATGAGAAATAAGGAGAAGTGCCAGAGAGGGTATAAAATTAGCTGCAGTTTTGTAATTATAAGCGATTAAAGTGAAAAATGGAAAACTTTTTTATTTTTATTTTATATTTTTTGCTTTACCATCGTTCGCTTTTTTTCCCTTCTTGTTCCCTTCACTAATTATAAAAGTTTGCACAAAATTAAAAAATTTGTGACCGCACTACCAAGTCTTGGGGACAGATGCGATGAAATATTGTGAGAACAGGGAAAATTTATGGCACAAGCTGTGTGCTTAGAAGAAAAAGTGAATTGAACAGTGAAAGTTACAAAATTGACATACTAAATCCCTTCTTTTATTTTCAGGCAAATCTCACGCACTTACCAAGATCTGAATTTGTTCCTGGCATTGGCTTGGGAGTTGGAAAATGTCCATATGATCCAATAGATAACTCGACAGCAATTTATGTTGAGCAAGGAAATCCTGGAGGATTTCCTGCTTTGGTAAGAGATGAAAATACATAAAACTTTTTACAACCGCTCAAGTGCTTGCTTATCTCCATCTTACATGCAATAGATATGAATAACATTACAATTTTTTCCCATCAAATTATGGCTGGTAGAAAGTTTCTCTTAAATAACTTTTCTCGTCGATTTAAATTTGCGATAGCTTCAATCTGGACATATTCAAAGTCAATTTTCCTTGCATTCAAAGCTCAACGTCTCATGTGATTTTTTGCTCTTACATTTCTTTTTTGTTGTCATCCACAACAATGTCTTGAAAAACTACAATGAACACTTGCATTAGAGAAGAAAGGAAAGCTTATTGCTTATTGCTTGAGATGCAATTTTTATGGAAGGAATTTTCAGGTTGAATAAACATCACTGCAAGAATGTTGAGAGAGCTTTTCAATAAATAAATAATAAAATTATGGTATAAACGAAGAGCGACAATTGTGATAAGTGTTTTCTAAGTCTTGTTCATCCAAATTGAATTTTATTCTTCACAATTTTACTTCGATCGAATCTATTGGGAGATGAAAGGAAAAGAAAAAGAAGTTGTGGCGGAATATCGCCACAATAAAAGCGAAAAACGAGAAATTGAAAATAAAAATTCAATCAATATCAAATACTTTCCCTTCACCGAATTTTCATTTGTTTTATGCTTTTTCATCGCAGCGAAAGCTTTCATCTCTATCACTTTTTTTCTTTCGCTCTTCGAAAATAAGCAGAATCAAACGTTGAGAACGACGACAAAGCGACAAGAGAAAGGAAAACAAATTTCATGGCATTTTCTTGGCTTTACTTCTTAAGAAAAATTGTTTTGTTTATGAGTTTGCAATACCTAAAACTTCTCTTCTCTTGCGTTTGCCTTTTTGCTCTGTTTTTATATTGAAAAATAATGTCTTTTGTATAGAATAAGCTAGCACAGAGATGTAAAATATATTTATATTGGATTTTCATTTTTTCCCTTCTTTTCTTCCCGCATTTATTTCTGTTTAACAGTATTCAGGTACAAATGCTGAATTCACAAAAGCTGATACCGTGATATTCCGCTCAGATATTTACAATTTAACATCGGGACGTAAGGAGCACAACTTTAAGAGAACTTTAAAATATGACTCGAAATGGCTTGACAGTAAGTAGAGCAAAAAATAAATTTTTGTTATTCTTTCATTTTTGACGCGAAGATTGATTGTTGAATTGATTTTCGTTTTTTGGAAAAAGATTCCTCGATATGTGTAGGATTTTCTTTTCAATATAGAAAAGAGACAGATGAATGAAAACCAGGGTTTTGTTCCGTGGAATGTGTTCCGTTTTCTGTTGCGGGTCTTTTTCTTTGTTCCGCTCAGAGTTTTCAATTCCCATTCTGTTCCGGAACAAAAAAATGTCACGGAACAAAGTCTGCGGAAAACTTTAAAATTTTCAAGGCTATAGAATTTCAACAACTTTAATATTGATGTGAAGGAATGAAAATTGATGATTCACATTTAAACAAAAAATAGATAAATCACAATTATATTTACTGGAAAAGTGTAAAATGAAACTTTTTTCTGTTTATTTGTCAAACATAAACAAGACAAAAAAAATTCTCCATTTCATTAAACCCATCGATATTGAGCATAACCTTCGTATTTTTTTTTGGTATTTTGTTTTGTAAACAAATTAAAGAACACAATGAAAAACGATTGAGTTTTATTCAATTCTTTCTCGTCCTTTATCTTCTTGTAGAACCGAATTTTGTGGGAGCTTTTGATATCGACAAATATGTCTACTTTTTCTTCCGTGAAACATCTGTCGAATACATCAACTGTGGTAAAGCGGTTTATTCACGTGTTGCGCGTGTCTGTAAGAAGGACACCGGCGGCAAAAATATTCTCAGTCAAAATTGGGTCACGTATTTGAAAGCTCGCTTGAATTGCAGCATTTCTGGCGAGTTTCCATTCTACTTCAATGAGATTCAATCAGTTTACCAAATTCCAACTGACAAAACCAAATTCTATGCAACATTCACTACAAGCACAAATGGACTCGTGGGATCGGCTGTTTGCAGCTTTGACATTGGAGAGATTCATTCTGCATTTGATGGTGAGTTTAAAGATTTTTTCATGAATAAAAATTATGCTTGAATTCCCTCGTACTTGCTTTCAAAGACCTTGAAGATTTCCTTAAATTTCTTAGCCTCGATACTTAAACTAACTTAGCAAATAAGAAAGTAGAAAAAGCTTTTCCGTGCTTTTAGCGATTCACAAGGGCAAATCAGCTTTTCATTTGAATATTAAAACATTTCATTTGCATGCTGATGAACATGCAACTTGGTATTGTTGATTTTCTTTTTTATAAACATATCATGCAGCTCGTCGTCGCTTAAATAATTATAAAAATGAACAAAGATGAGCTCATGTTTCATTCCGTTCATTGCAGTTTTTGTGAATAATTTATTCAAATAAGCAGCTTTTGAATTTTTTGACTACTTGAAGGTATTCATGTTTTGTCGTTGTCAAAAAGGTAACAGACAAATATGGAAAATATTATTTCACAACATAAAACCTGAAGGCGGTAACTTCATCAACTAACGTGCCATGATTTTCATGAAATAATTTTATGAAAATTGAGAATTTCTGCAAAAGCAAAAATAATCTATTGTGGAAGTTTCTCTTAGTAAATTAATTCTGTCGTTTCTTTCCATCAATTTCAATGTTCTTCTGAGGAGCTTTTGAAAATATTCTCGAAAGTATTGACAGCTTTTTCAATTAAAAATGAAAAGAGAAACATCACTTGTGAATGTCATGACAAAAAGTACGAGCGGAAGTGAAAAGAGAGGAAAACTAGAGTTTTTTTTCCTATTGATGTTTTATGGTTCTTTTATGTGCTTCATGTTTTCTTTGCAGGAAAGTTTAAAGAACAAGCAACGTCTAATTCTGCTTGGCTTCCAGTGTTGAACTCAAAAGTCCCTGAGCCTCGCCCAGGAACATGTGTTAATGACACAGCAAGCCTTCCCGACTCAGTTCTCAACTTCATTCGTTCACATCCATTGATGGACAAGGCTGTTAATCACGAACATAACAACCCAGTCTTCTATAAACGCGATCTGGTCTTCACAAAGCTGGTCGTTGACAAGTAAGTTTTAAATTAGTTTCTGAATTATTGAAATCTTTGAAAAAGTTTCATACAAATATTTGATGATGCACAATTGTTAAAACTTTGAACAGAAGTTTGAATCACTCAGAGTTTCAAACTTACTTCAATTAAATGTTAATTTGTACATGAAAAAGTTTTGAAAATAAGAAGTGAAGTGAACATTGAAAATCCATTTACGTCAATGAATTAAAAGGAATTTCGTTTGTTTATTTTATAATTTATTCATGTTTTCGTTAAGCAGAAACTTTGTAACGATACTTTCTCTAAACATGCTATTAAGAATGTGAGATTATTTCATTCAAATGCCTCGACAATCGATTATTCTCACAGGAAATTATTTAAATTTTCAAAACATATCGTCACCCATTTACTTTCTATGTTATAAAATGAACGAAAATCAATTTGTTCACAAGTGCTTAGACTTTTTCCTTGAGACCTGATTCTTGGAAGATTGTTGGACGAATTGTTAAAATAGATCAAATTTCGTTGCGCGGAACAACATATCGCATTGTTGAAGGTGTAATATCCACAACCATCCTTGAATTTTTACTTTTACATTAAAAAGGCTCACTTACCTGGCTTCCTTCCGAGAATTGTTTAGCGCTTTACGAATCCTGGATCTCTACGTCAGTTACACAACATGTCAAACCTTTATTAAATATATTTTTACCCTCAACTTTTCACCATTCACATAACTTTTAAAATATTCCCTCACAAAGCAGAATGTTTAAGCATTTTTTTCTTCTCTATTTTTCTCGAAAATTAATTTACCTTTATGCTAATAGCTGTGACTAATGTGAGTCATTACCGGAAAAAAATATCATAAAAATATCACAAATTACTGTAAAATTGTACAGCGTTGAAAATAATTTTTAAAAAATAAAGAAAAAGAGTTATTAAAACTTACATTCAAGCATGTTGATAGCAATACTTCCCCCTTCTCATGACTAAGTTTTTATAGCATAGCATGAAGAATTAAATAAATAAATATAAAAAACTGCTGATTTCTTTCACAACTGGTTAATATTTTTAGACATGAAGTCATTTTCTTTCGTTGTTTCGAAGTCATTGTCAAAACTTTTTTAAAGTTCTTTCATTATTTGAAAAGACTCAAACAGAAAAACACTCGGACTTAAATTTATTAGTTTTAAAAAAAACAGATTTTTTTTTGGGTTTCCATTGGTAAAAGAAGCAAAATAAAAATTAAATATTCTCATGCGATATTTTTGGTGGTTTTTATGTGCATACATTTATCACAAAAGCTTCCTATTTGAGCAATCAAAAGCTGTTTCTATTTTCTCTGCAAGCCACCATTATACTTCCCTTGAAATGGTTTTAATAATTGAGTTTTCACAATTGTTATTTATAGTCTCACCGCTTTCATACTGCGTTCATTCATTTCGCTTTTATTTCATATCGTAACAATCTCATAAAGCATAAAAAAATAAAGGAAGAACAAATATTCTGCTAAAATTCACACTCGACCATAAAAGTACCCAACTAATTCTCTGAAAAATGTATGAGGATATAAGAGCCAAAATAGAGTCGAAATATTTTCCGTATTGACGCTTTTGCTGCTTTTCAATCTAAAACTCTTCATCGGTTAACATTGTAGAAAAAAACTTTTTAAATTATAATATTTTGAACTGAAAGCACATCAGAAATAAGACGAGGATTAAACTTATAGTTCACATCATAAGCACTAAGCCATCGAGTTTATTATTAAAAATACTTGATCCTTAAATCATATGCAGCATATGTGCTTATCTGCGCAAAGCAAAGCTAAAGATGTGATGAAATTTTAATTTTGAACGAGAGAGAAGACCTCTTCAAATGTTAAGCAGATGAAGATAATTATTTCAACGATTCTTGTGTGTACAATTAAAATCCGTCTGTCATGAGTTTGAAATGTTTATTAAAATATTTCACTGATATTTAATTTGTTTCATAATATTTATTAAGAGATGATTTTGAATTTTAATATGAGTATGAAGATATGTAAGCTTCAAGCTACAAAATGATTTTGATGGAATGACATTCTAACATGCATTAAAGCTAAAGCTTATCCTTGCAAACTGATTGATTGACGCTTTGAGCTTTAAAATTTCCGCCACGATTTCCATAAACATTAAAAGTGATTTTGTTGTTTCTTGTTATAGCAGTTTTTACGCGATTCTTTACATCACGCTAGTAGTAAACCTATAACCCCCACAAACGCAATAAAGCGAAAATTAAAATTCGAAACAAAAACCAAAAACAATAAAAAGAAGGAAAATACCTTCCTTCGTTGAACTTAGTAGTCAAGAGGGTCGAAAGTTTTTAATATCTTTTCATTCTTTCTTTCTTCATTCTACTTAACTTTTTCTCTTTTTTTTCTGTTAGAGCCTCAAAAAGTAATTACAGAAATAATTTGGGATTTTTACCGTTTTTTTTCGTTCTTCTTTGGCACGACCTTTAGAGGGATCCGTACACTTTGTGTAATTTGTTTTTTATTACATGCTGAAGCCTTTTCAACCTCAAGTTCTCATTAAGATAACCTAAATATTGGTTTTATGTCTGCTAACTCTCGTGACGTTCTTTTTCAAGTGGAATGCTTTCGAAGTGTTCTCTTTTTTTATTCTTACCTTTGGCTTAAATTTAGAGCAAAACCAGGACACAAGTTTAGAACAAAAGTTTAGATAAATTCATTTCAAGATGAGACGATATTTGCCAAAACATCCCCAACAGTCCCAAAATATAATGAAGAAATAAATGTTAAAGCTGAATAGTTGATTTCGTTCTTTTTCTTCCTTTTTGGGTCTCTTCAACAATAATCGTTACTTCAAAGAAAAAACTCATAGATAGTTTTATTTCTGGGTTGAAATTATTTAATTTCCTGAAAGTTTCCTATTGAAAGATGGAAATGAAAAATGCTGTTGATGATATTTTTCTGATAACGTTCTTTGGACAGAAATACTGAAGAATTTTTTAATAAAATGATTTTCTGTGATATATTTAGTGTTAACCGTCATTTCGTTCCGTTTTCATTGATAGTTGAATAACGAATGAAATGTCGTAAGCATCACTATCTACATGATTGAATTTTCACGCTTTTCTATCTTCTTTTTCCATTTTTTCTCTTTCAGAATTTACATAAAAATATTGAATCAGGAATATAAAGTTTTCTACATCGGCACTAACACCGGACGCATCTACAAAATTGTGCAATTTATTCAAAATGGTGAATCGAAATCTACATTACTCGATATTTTCGAAGTCGCACAAAACGAAGCAATTCAGGTGATGCAAATCAGCCAAAAGCGTAAATCACTTTACGTATCCACCGATCATCGTATCAAACAAATTGATTTAGCGATGTGTAGTCGTCGTTATGATAGTTGCTTCAGATGTGTCAAAGATCCATATTGTGGTTGGGATGAGAGCACCAGCTCATGTAAACCATACGAATTGGGATTGTTACAGGTGAGTTTAATAGCCGCGTGCAAAATGTCGGAAATGAACAAAACAACACACATAACATTCGCTTCAATTTAACATCTCTTACAAAACTTTCCCTTACAATTCTCGAAGCTTTACAGTCTTTTAGGGCATGTTGGATCACAACAGAGCGAACATACGAGAGAAAATATTAATTAGAAAATTTTTCCTTCTCACGTACAAGTCATTAGTTAATTTTATGTGCTGGCACACGGGAGTTTACCTTCAAATCATAGAAATTTTTCCCTCTTTCTCTCTCTCCATATAGATCTCTTTCCCTTCAATCTAGTCCCGTATAAAATTACCCGACAACATAGAGCGAAACGATGAACAAATGAGGGCTTTTTAGGAATTTAATTAAAAAGTTTGCTACTCGTACCTTCCTCCCTTATCAATCGTTCATCTTTTTCCGGCTGAGAATTTAACTAACAAGTGTTGACTGTTGACTGTTGAGTTGAGAGAAGCAACATGCTTGTTTACAAAAGAATCATTTACATAGACAGATTATTAAATGCTTGTCTTGTTTTGTCTTTCTCGTGATGATGACGCCCTTATGAACTATGTAAGGGTAAAAAAAAATAGATAAAGCTTCTTAAAATTTTGTCACGAACGAATTGACAAATAAATTTGACAAATGAAGTTGGAAGTTTTGCTTGTATTTTCTTTTCAAATATCTACATATTTTTAAGAACAAAAATAATAAATTACAACCATCATACTTTACGCTTACTATCGAGTGTTACATGAAAGATTTTCTTTCTTTCTTCTCTCTTAAATCCTTGAGAAGAAAATATTTTTTTCTGCTACTATCAGATGTGTTTGTCGATGTAACATCGTAATTTATTGGCTTTCTATTTAATAATATATTCTTTCTCTTTGTATCTCTTTTCTTTTTTTCATTGCACGCTCACTCGAATGTGCCATAATAGGATGTTGGAAACGATACGAATGATATATGTGATACAAGTGTTCAGAAAAAGAAAATTGTCGTCACTTACGGACAAAGTGTACACTTGGGATGCTTTGTTAAAATTCCAGAAGTTCTGAAAGATCAACAAGTATCATGGTATCATTACTCGAAGGATAAAGGACGGTAAGTGGTCCAGCGGAACATTCTTTCAAATTTCTTTTTGTCTTCCTTTTTTTTCATTCTTTTGCCTACCCCCGCTATTATTACGCTTTTAGAACTCATAATTTATGCCTCATTGGGGAATCAAATGGAAAAAGTTTTGTGTCGCTTACAATTTTAATTGATTAATAAATCTTTTGTCCTTTCTCTCCATTTCACGAAACATTCCTTTTTGTGTCTGCCGTTTCGCGTCGACGACCAACAGCTATGAAGTGAAATATAGTCCGATGAAATATATCGATACAACTGAACGTGGTCTCGTGGTGGTTTCTGTCAATGAAGGCGATGCTGGACGTTATGATTGCCATTTGGGTGGCTCGTTATTGTGCAGTTACAGCATCACAGTTGATGCTCATAGGTGAGAGATTGAAAATAGCTTTCGATGATGATAAATGTTTAGTTCACTATCAATTCCCGCAACATTTTGTGTTGTTTCCTTGGAGAAGCTTAAATAGATATATCTGTGCATCACACACATACGTGCTTTAAGGCTCTCCATCCATATTTAAGCTGCTCCCTTAAATCCCAGCAGAATTGAAAAAAAATTGCAATAAAAATAATTGGATTTCTTTCCGCACACCAGATGTACGCCACCGAACAAAGGCAATGACTATCAGAAAATTTACTCCGACTGGTGTCACGAGTTTGAGAAATACAAATCGGCTATGAAGACGTGGGAGAAAAAGCAGGCAGTAAGTATTATTGGAAGAAGAAAATAATTTTTTTATTTAGCTAAATTCCTTTGACAATTTTTATGAGTTGCGTCAAACATATGAGAGTAAACAAATATATTTCTTAATTTGAAGTTACGTTTAAGAAAAGTGATGTTTAACATTTATTCAAATTTAATTTCAAACCTCATTGTTGTCACTTTAAATTATCGAAAGTTGAACAATCTGAAATTTTATTTCTCAACATACATTTATCGACTCGAACATAAAGTTCATGTGTCGAAAAATGAAACACGAGAAGTCTCAATCTGTTAACTTCATTTGCAGAAAATAATCTGAGTCGAGCGAAAAGAAGAAAAAGAAATCATTTCGATTCATTGATTTATTTTTTCGGTTTCTTTCTCAAGTTTCCAACAATTTTTCGTCTTTTCCTTTTTGTCATAAATGTTTTATTACGTCGCTGTTAAAACTCGATGCCCATAAACAATCTCTTAAAGCATATAACAGCCAAAGCCACACACAATAAATTTATTGATAGCGACATTGTTGTATTTATTTGATTTGCAGTCATAAGAAATGACTAATAATGGATTTATTTTTCCTCCTTATTTCCTTGTTTGCTGCTGTTGATGTCTTGTATAAGGAGTCGACTAAATGTATTCTTAAATAGGAATAACATTATTTCCATTGTTATATTATTGAAAAGGATAAATCTCTGTTCTCTCTGGTTTTAGTCGCCAGTGACGACGAGTAAAGAAAAAATACATGAGATGGATCCACCCTCTAATCTGTTTATATCTCCCATTGACTGTCATTTGAAATCCATTAAAGATGCCCTGCGGACATTCGAGGATTTCTTTCTCTTCTTTTTTTTGGGCCGTTTGTAGCTTTTCATGTTCATCATTAATCAGCCAGCAAATTAATGAAAGAATTGGGAGTAAAGTTGAAAATGAGATTTCAATGAAAAGGCTTTTGCATTTATTTGAAATGCTACACTTAAACAACTATATTCGCTTATTGATTGTATTCAAACTCTTTGAGGTTTAAATATTTTTTTCCGTTCGCATGTTTACCGTCTGATGCTTTATTGGACATCTGTGCGGTGTTGAGTACATACTGCGTTTTTCTTTTATGCTGACCCTTTTTCATAAGAGTGGTTTGAAGAGAATTTACTGCCATTCCTTTATGTTGTTCGCTTAAATTAACATCAACACACCAGAAACAGCAAATGCTCTCGGTCAGCCGCCAAACAATTCTCATTATGGTTAGTGTGGTCGTGCAAATGAATTTCATTGTTCAATCGGTTACAAAAGCAATATCAACAACAATTGGATATTAAAAAAATATTATAACGACGAGTTTTAAAAATGCAAAACAATTTCAAACGAGCATAAAAATAAATCAAATGCGAATTTTTGAATTGCATTATATTATGTCGGTGAAAATGGTTGAATTCATAATTATTACAGACTATGACTGGAGAATTTAATCCTCGTACTTACATAACCAATTAAATAAATACGCAAACAAAAAGTAACAATGATCCTTTCATACAATGACTGAACATGAGAAATTTGAGAGCTTTTCAGTTGATATCACAAACCCTTTAGCAGTTCTCGATTGCAGTTTATATGCTGCTGACGGACTTTCATTTCGTAACTATTTCAGAAAAACAAACTTTAAGGTTAAAGAAATATTTATTCAAGCTGCGGTCATAACTCATTTTATATGTTTATGTGAAAATTGATTCGCATTCATGCAGCATAAAAAATTATTCTACTCATTCAATTTTTTTTTATTTTATATTTTGTGGTTGCGGCAATAATTTCCGTTGAATTCATGCCGCGATTAAATATTTAATATTCCTGTTAGCCTTGCTATTAGCAACCGCTGATTTCCATGAACATTTTGCCCTGTTTTCTCATGACGTTAACTAACTTTTGTTCTTTTACTTGTTTTTCAGCAATGCTCGGCGAAACAAAACTTTAGCAATCAGCATCCTAATGAAGTATTCAGCAGAAGCTCCAACAATAATGTCTGATAAGGTAAGAAAGATTAACAAAGGTTCATGTTATTTGTGCAGAGAATGAAATTGATGATTGTTGCGGAAAAAAGAATATTAATTTAATTTTTATTCTCTTCCTTTTTTTATCCCAGGCTAAATCAACATCTCGAGCTTTCAACAATCTCTTCTCAGACGAAAAAAAGAACTGAATCAACCAATATTTTTAAAAATTAGAAGTTTAGCTATTCGAAATGGGGGATAAAACAGAATAAAAAGAAGAGGAAAATAAATTCGCGATATTTTATTCGAAGATGAAAGTTTATTTTTGTAAAATTGAAGTAAATAGTGAACATTGATTTATCATCTTATGGTTTCCTGAATATGAATTTCTTTTTGAACTTTCATCCAAATCTTTTTGTAAAAAAGGAAAACTCGCCAACCATGTGAAAGACTATCCATCATATTTATAATATAAATCAATCAATCTGGTTTAAGACTATAATAAATAAATAAATAAATAAAATAAATAATAATGCTTGAATGCTTTGCAAAGTGATAGCGAAAGAAAGATTTATTCTAAGTAGAAAGAAAATGTGAAAGAATGAATGAAAAGATTTTTCTTTTCCTTTGGGAAATTGATTCTTACCAACTCAAAATCTCATAAACTACAGATAAACACACAGACAAAAAAAGATATAAAAGTGAACAGTTATTGGTTGTAGATACTTATTCTACTTTGTCATTCGAAGCTGGTGTTATGCGTGTATAATAGAAAGCTTAGATTAGAGCAACTCAATGTTTTCCCAATTGCAATAAATAAAAAAGAAAGAAAGAAAGAAAAATAAAAATGAAGATAAATGAATCGCTCATTTGTCAAAAGCAATCTTTGCCAGCGAACCTCAAAACTCAGAATATTTTTAAAAATCCCTTTAACCCCATCGTAGACATTACTGCTATTGAAATTTTGCCAACTAACTAAGTATGTAGTACGAGTTCATCATCATGAACGAAGCAAAACAGAAGAACATTTGTAAAATTTCAGAAGAAAAACAAAAAATAATCGAGCTTTTCAGAGTAAAATGTTATATTCATGATAAATTACCGAGGAGGAAAACTTTTTTGGAGGGCTTTTCCTTTATCGAACTTGTCCATTCGCTTTTCTATTGATTTTGCCTTTCTTCATTTTTCGTTCTCCATGTACATAAATGGCATTTGCGCGAAGGAATTTTATTTCACTTGAACAAATGGAAATGGCTAAGCAAAAGGAATTAAGAAAATAAAATAAAATAAAATTGTAACAAAACACAAGGAAAGGGAATGTAAAGCAGAGTTAGAAATTTTATCGTTAATATGTATTACCTAGGCTTAAACTTGAAGATTTTATGCTTAATGACAAGAAACAGCAACAGAAAAGAAATGAAAAATTAATTAAACGTAGATATTGGATGAAGGTAGAAAAGTTTAGAACACTAAGCAATATTTCCAGAATTTTAAAATAAAACCCTCAGATACTTAATTAAACTTTTTGTATTTAATTAAATAGTTTTAGTTCATTAGATATTTTTTTTGTTTAAGATTGCATTAAGTTTTTTTCCCTTTTGGATGTTTCTCAAACTTTCTTCTTGCAAACATTTTTTTGTCTTTCCATGTTTTGGGTTTGAAAGTTTTTCTTTATCTGCTTTTACGTCTTCATTTAATTTTTCATTTAAAATAATTTGATCAAGTTTGACATTTGTTTCTGCCTGAGGTAAATCTGTGATAAATTCAATGGAAAGAAAAAAAATAAATAACTTGATTGTACATTGAAATTTGAGCGTGAATGGAGACAGTTCCGTAATTATTCAACAATATTCTGTTGAACATTGTTTCTGTTTCTAACCCAATAATTTTGAGCTTTAAATCTTTGGGAAATTCGTTCCGACTTTCTCGGTTCAAATAGAATTATATGTATCTAAGTGAAAACAAAATAAACTGCTGAAAATCCTTTTTCTCTCAACTTTAACATTTTATGAACATTATCAAAAGTTATTCAATGATTTTTCTCCTACAAATTTCAACGCCAATGCAAAGATTTGTATTGTGTGCAACTCTCTGCTACTTAGAAATGCAACATAAGATTGTGAAAACTTCAATGACAAAACATAAATTTTATTTTTCTTCATAAGGAATGGAAAACTTTTAGCAATAAATACTTAAAATAACCATTTTCTCAATAAACTCAATTTTCCTGAATTGGGAAGGGAGAAAAACGATTCAAAGAAAAACTGAAACAAATAGATAACATTACTCATACAAGAACGTTATTCAAGATAGCATAAATTTCTATTTCATAAGTGAAATCGTATATTTTCAAAGACTCATGATAAAATTAAAGAGAGAGAAGGAGAGAAGAGGTAAAGAAGAAAAACTTTAAAGTTCCATGCAGATTCTGTAGACTCGAGAGTGAATATCTAAGTTTAAATTAAGAATCATAAGATCACATATAAACACTCATCCATGTCTTCAATATCATTGTGAACAATTGTTAAGGACATGACTAATAAATAAGTATAATTCACACAAAATTAGTATTAAAATGAAGTAGAAGTAAGAAACTTTTTTTTTATTGTAAGATTTCTGTGGTCACGAACCAATTATAAGAAATAAAATTGAAATAATTTTTATCAAAATATTAAAAACGATACTTTTACTCCATTCAGTCCATTCGCTTTCAATATTTTAAAAGAATTTAAGATACAAAAGGAAAATTTCATCCCTTTTGACTCGAAAAGTTTGCTTTCATTCGTTCCAGTCATCTTTATAAGAATAAAACGACAAGATTTATTTACTTTAAAAATATTCTTTTGCTTTATGACTTGTCTCTAAAGTCAACTTGAATTTACCCGAAAAAAATGTTTACTCAAACAACTTTTCCTTTTTTCTTGCCGTCATCCTTTTTTTCCACCCTTGAAACTTGATTTCAAAATGTGTTTTTTCTTTTCTTTCGAGGACCTCGAGGCTAAACATTTTTATGGTGATATTACACAAGTTACAACATGAAAATACTTGTTAGTCGATGGACCTTTAAAGAAAAACCGAAAATTGTGTCAACTGAACCTTTACAGATTCTTTTTTCATTTATTTTCAATTATTAAGCATGTTTGCCAATGCGAAGGATGCGCTGGATGGATCACATCATACAACGATGTTTTATCACTCCTACTTTATGACCTTTTAACGAGATTTCCGAATTTTAGATTCCTTTGAAAAGAATTTTTCATGATTTGCGCCTTCTTTACGAGGCTCAAAATCATAAAAATTTGTGACTAAACATTTTTTTTACGTCCACATCACAGAATATTTATTCAATATTTACTTATTTTCATAGAGTGAGGGTATGTAAGTTCCGTTCAGTTATAAAAAGCCTGTCGATTTATGTGGCGCTTTTATTCTGATAATCATTTCAATATCTCATGGTGTGAAATACAAGCCACGGTCTGGAGGCATAACAGTTCATAAAAGAACATTGTGCTACATTGATTAGTCATACAAAAGATGTTTTTTTTCTTTTCGATTCTCGTATTTTGATAGACGACGATGATCAATAAGGGTCAAAGTTTTTTTTTCTTTTTCTCCTTCTCCCTAGGTTATACATGATTTTCATGACACATTTAGGACATGACTTTCAAAAACAGACTTTCTGTTATATCACACATTGGAGGAATAAATTCACTTAATATATCTTTTTATCTTGACCGTTTCTCCTCTCGTATTAGTTTGATCAGGAGAAGGAATATGAGGGGTGGAGATGCGAAAACTTTTCTTCTCCTTCTTTTCATTGAACACTCAAACATAGTTTGTGGTAATCCCCCATCGTTTGTACATACAACATACCGAATAAATCGAATATAATAGAGAGATTTACCCAATTTGTAAGCTCAAAAGAAATTGAAATGAAATAAGTTTTTCTTTCTGTTCATCTGGTGATGGAACTGCTGCTGTGAAATGATGCTGATCAATGAACTGCCTAACTGAATTGACGTGTTAATTCTGTAGAAAGGAACACACACTTTGTGTCTTTTCATTTCATTTCACTGAAGCTGTCTTCTTATCTCACGTTTTTCACTGCAATACTGATTCGGTTTGTTTCTTTTTCATTGTGAAATCTCATCTTAAGTTAAACTGAGAAGTTAATTTGTATCGTCATTGTATGAAATCACGGATTCAATAACTTTCTTTATGAACGAGAAAAGAAAGCGTTTTTGTTTAATCTTTAAAGATCCGAGGATTGTGTGTTTAGAGTGTTGAAGCCACAAGAGTTAAACATTAGAACGGAAGGGAAGTGGAAGCAAGAAGCACACAGTTTAGAGAACGAATAAAGGAAAAGTCATGCTGTGTGTTGAATCCGGTTCGTAGGGATAAATCGAAATGAAAAACCATTTTTACCGGAAACATTAAAGGTGTTTCTTTTTTTTCGAAAGAATATTACTGAAGCACACAACAAACGTGATTTGGTAAAAGAAAAGTTCATTTCCAATATCATTTTTGAATTGATTTTTGGCACACGATGTTTGTAAAGTTTTTGAATTTCTCGCATTCAAAGTTTGTGCGCAACCACGTCGAGCTTTTCATATCCAAAATGTTCACGATTGAATGAAGTCGCAAATGATAATTGATTTCAGATTACATACGAGTGATAAAGCTTCGACAATCGACATCGAATGAAGTGCAAATTACTGTCGTATTCATAGCTGATTTCAGTATAATTTGGCTTCGGTTTTACTTTATAAAGATATTGAACATCGAAGATTTTAATGATATAACGCTTCCACAACGTTCATGAATTATATTTTCTTCATCTTATGTTTTCCTTGAAGATAAATAAATAAAAGAGGAAGAAGAATTTCTTTAGAAATTGCACATAATATTCCGATGCAACACTAATTGACAATGACGCTACGTGACAATTTTCTATTAAATTGCATTCCATCTAAATGACACTTCCTGAAATTTACTATGAACAACGATCAGAAGGAATGAAAAGAATGTTTTCTTAAGAATATAGAGAAAATTATCTCATTCCTTCAACATGAAGATACCTTTCATCGTCACTTTGAAGGCAAAATTTTTAATTAGATTTTTTTTTCGCCTTTCATCTTTGTAATATTTTCTTCCATCTCATAATGATGAAAAATATGGTCATGGAAGTTTATGGAGAATCCTCCCTCTTCTCTCGTTCTCTTCATCGCTAATACCTTCGTTACTGCCACGATGAAACATTGCGACGATGGGTAATCATCAAAGCCGAATAAATTCAATTATCACACACAAAGGGAAAATTAACATTTTAAAAGTACACTCACGTCTATGAGCTTCACTCTATTTTAGATGAATTATTTGCGTGCAGCTCACAACAAATTTTTCCTTCCTCGTTGAGAATTTATGTAAGTAAATTGATTTTTAAGATATTTTTCGTTATGTTCATAGCGAAGAATTACAAAATTTTCTTTGATGCCCTGAGGATACTTTTCGCTCTACGACATTGTGATTTTCAAAGCATCTTTCTGATCGTTATTGTGGTGAACGAGACAGTGATGAGAAAGGAACTTACATTAATTTCCTGTATTTACAACCTTAATTATTGTCGTGGGTGAGAAGAAGAGAAACGATCCTGAAACACAACATCTTTTAATTTTCCAATTGTTGAGCAACGAACGCGGGGAAAAAAACTTCCTCCATTAATTTTAATTGTCCTTGAAGCAATAATTTGCGACACCAACAAACATAATGAGACATCCCCGGCATTATCAAGAGAGTTGGTTTCTTTGTTTGCTTCAGTTAGAGATGCCAGATCGTTTGTGTATAATTTTTTCAGACGTCATCTGATGTAAACGGGTAATGTAATCACACATAACAGACGCATAAACCCATGAACATGACGATGGTGTTTTCGCACAAAAGCACAATAAAAAAAATTGGAAGAGTACGAATGTATAGAAACATATTCAGAGGCGTGAAAATAGAAATTACAAATACGAATATTTATCATGAGGAGATGAACAACTGCAATCAATTTTGCCCTCAAAATGATATGACAGAAATTATTGCTTTCCTTGTCGTTGGATATGAAAAAGGCGAGACATTTGCACAGTAAAATGACTACGATTTTAATTAAAATTCTTGTTGAATCTTTCGCGTTCAGCATTTAAACAAAACGACTAACGACGAGAGTGAAATAAAAATTAAACAATTGTCGACTGTATTATGTCGAATAATTTAAAAGAAAAAGTTTATCTTTGTTTGTTATCTGCGACCGGGGGAAAGCGATGACAAGTAAAGTTCAACACAAAACGCCATTAGATGAATTAACACTTTAGAAGTAACTTCAAAGCTTCGTCGTTATGTTCCCTAAAGACTTTAATTGCTATTTCCTTTAAATCTATATTTGCCTCTGTCGTTGATAGATATGAGAAAAAAAAGTTCTTTAATTAAAATTTAAATATTTAGACTGATGAAGCATCAACTTCAGAATTTTTCTCTTGTATAATAAAAGCCACCTCTACATTGTCTAACATCACGTTTCCGTGAGATAAATGTTTAGCATATCACAACCTGTGATATGTTGAGACTTCTTTGTTTAACTGCTAATGTGCAGTGCTCAAGAGTCAAAACTTTTATTTTTCTCTCTGAAATGAAAACATGTTTCATTCCTGAAGCCTTTCATACGCACATATTCAGAATAAATTAATTAAACAATTAAAAGACAAAACAAAGAATAAACGTCATATGTTTTTGATATGTTACGATGAGCATGGAATTATTTTAAAATTTAAATGCTTGTCTGTTGTGATTTTTTGAAGCTGTCGCTTCTTCTTAGCAAAATAAGTTATAAATATTAATAAATTTTTTTGAAATTTTGACAGCAAATGTTCTCTGATGGATGCGAATATTCCCATGTGTTTGAATAAATAATTTTCTGATTTCTAAAGCGACTGAAAATTCAAAAGATTGTAATAAACAAATAGGAGCAATTTAAAGGCTAATGTTACAATTTAAAATAAATAATCATAGGAAATCACGGTGGACAATAATATATCTTCGTTTAAAGAAGAGGAGTGGGAATAATTTATGATAATCAAATGATATTTGCATTGCATTCACTCAACCATTTGCATTCCAAATTGTAATTAACATAAAACCGTTTATTGTTCTCACTTGTGTTTTACATACGAACGATGGTCAGCAAGGGTGGGTGTGGGTGGTTTTTGCGGTGATTATGCATTTGCATTTTGTCATCCAAACGATACGTAGACGTAAATGAATGTGCAAAGATTTCAGAAGTAGAACTTCAACCTCATTTCGCTTTTATCCTCAAGTAAATATTTTATGAGAATTTCAGAATCAAATTTATCTTCTAATAAAATTCTCTTTATCAATAAAGATAGGATTTAGATATTTTGTTGCTTTATGCAATCAAATTTAATTTCTACAAGTGCAATGTGCTTTAATTGTGTTTCCCTCTGAAGATTTACTGAAGTTTGCGAAAGATGATTCAGCTTTAAGTACTCGTCGCATTGAATTCCAAAACTTTCTGGTTGTCACAAAAGTTGTCAGTTTTTCTCAATAATTATGTATTTGGAACTTTACATGGCGTGTATAAAAGATTGACATTCGGAAACAAAATCAGACAGTGAAACTCCCTTAATTTCCTTTCCTTTTACTGTCTCATTTACCTTCAATGAATTATTCAATGACAGCAGATGGTTCGTTTTGAAGATGGAGCGAAGTTAATTAAGAAAATTATTCGTTGCCTCTTCTTCCCTTGTGTCAGTATTGTTAGAAAATTATTTTTCAAATTGAATGTTCTTCTTTTCTGTTCGGAAAAATATTTAAAAATTAAAAGCGAATTTATAAAAAGGAAATCGATAATCAATAATCGAATTAAGAAACGATTGTATAAATAATAATATTGAATGTAAGCGGAGCTTTCGAAGTGAAATCTTTGCAGATTTTGAATCGTTTTTGTTTGCAAAGGAAGGTATTAATGAAGAATAAACAGCATTAATAAGTAAGAAGGAAAAACTCAAAGTTTGCGCTTGATTTATTTCTAGGAAATCGCAATTCCTAAATGAAAATATTTAAATTGTAAATTGAAGGCAATCCAATTCCTAGCTCTGATCAAAGTTAATTTTTTCTGTATTACGAGAAGCACCCTTTAGTCTTTTTTATCTGTTTATGATTCAAGAAGCAGACGAAATGCAATGCGAGCTCAAATTTAAATATTCGAATGAATTATTATTCGTAATCTTCGCCTATTTCTTTTTCTTCTCTCAAGCATCAACATCAACAAGTCCCATTTTTTACTCCAGCTTTTCAATGAAATTTTCATTGAGAATATTTTGAGACTTGAATGTTTTATTCGAGATGGTCCTATGAGGAAAAAATATCCCAAAGGCACAATTATTAAAACATTTTTATCTTTTCACACATTTTTATCGTTTGGAAAAAAGGAGCGTGCGTTTTGGGGGCTTCATCTATCGTGAGTCGTCGCTCTTACGTTCGATGAAAAATAAACCATGGGAAGTTATGAATGTTATGGGTTCATTGCGAGTGAGATTTGTTGATGCTAATAAGGTTTTATGTAAAGAAAAAAGAGAAAAGAAAAGAAAAATCTTAAGAAGCTTTAAAATAATTTACCAGCATTTTTCTTCGTCTTTCGCTCGTTTGAAACATAATGTGCTTTAAAGTATTTATCCTTAAAAAGCAGCTTATAAAAATGAACGCGAAAGAAAAGTTAATGATTGTCATTCTTTTTAAAAAAACGAAAAAGAAAAAAATTCTCGCGCAAAAAGGAGCAGAAAGAGAAAAAGTTTTTAATTAATTTCGAGAAACCCTCATTTAGAGAAAGTTTGTCATATGGTTGAAGGGCAAATTTGGAAGACGAGTTTTGTCATTGGTTGACATAAAATTGTTTGAGTACTGAAGACTTTGTTGCTTCTTCCAAGAATATAAAATTTTTCGTTCATAAAGAATTTGAAGTTTTTCTTTTTCGAGTGTGAAAATTGAACAATAACGTTGGAGATACTAACAAGAGATCTTTTTAACATTTTAAGTTGATAAACGTAACAAAGTATTTTTAAAAAAATAAAATTTGTTTGCTGCAAATCACGTTTAAGAATAAAAAAGATTTTCAATGTAAATTGAAGAAAGCGAAGAACTTGACTTGATTTCACGTGACTCATTATATCAACTTGATTGTCATGAGTAAAGCAAATGAGTCAAGTTCTTGTTTAAATGAAACATTGCCAACTTCTATTCGAGTTTTCTTCCATAAGTTCGCCATTTCATTTTAAAATTTAGAACCAGACATAAATTAAAAGCTATTTTTCTTTAAAAACAAAGAGATTCGAAGTTAATCTCTTATTTCAACCTCAAAAGTAGGAAAACAAACGTCTGACACTTTCATGGTTAACTGCACTTGAGTCAGTGTCTTCACCGCAGTAAACTTAATCTCTATTCTTGTTGTAAAGAATATTTACAAATAAAAGTACCAAAAAATATTTTAATTGGCTCTGTATAGTGAAGTTGTGGTTTCTTTTCTTCACACCCGCGCATCAGACTAATAAATTATTTAAAACGTGTGCTGCAGTCTGTCTTTTTAATTAATCTTTTTTAATTTGGTTTTATGAAGATCCACAAGGGAAATTTATGTCTGCTGTTTGAGTGAAATTTTTGTAGAATGAACATTACGACAAGAGCAGCAGGATTTTAAAAGTAACATTCAAATTCCACTCCATAAATCAACTACAATGTGATTTGCTTGCGTTTCACAATTTTCACCTTTTATCAGTTGTGCCACAAGGTCCGTTTTAAGCGTTAAACCATACTTAATGAATAAATCCTTAAATTTATAGCTCGTACTAGCATGGATTTAATTCCATATGCTTTCTGCATCAGAGCGATAAAATTATAAAAGTTTTGCGACTTTTCTGAATGTTAAGTCTGTTGCAATGAGAAAAATGGAATTAAATAGCTTAAAATTTCCATTTCACTCATGGTTGTAATGAAATGTTAGTTAGCCAATGAACTTTAAAGTTGCATGTTTACAGCTTGTTATCTTCTATCGATAGAAAAAACATAATCCAAACTGATTTGACCCTTTTGTGATGTTTTGAAAAGGAGAAGGAAGCAAAATAAGGATTGAAGATGCTTTCACGAATCTGTGTTGGCACAAAAACTGGTTTTGCTTTAGAAATTGTGTTTATTCACGAAAATGTGCTCAAGTGTCTCTCGAAGGTCTTATGTATATTTGATTAGATTTCCTTTGCTTTACGGGTAAAACAACACTGGGGTTACTGTGTGTTCAGCTTCATCTTAAACTTCGTTTTTCATCGTCCACTAACACCAAGAGGAAAATTATGTTTTCTCTGATCCTTAAGGGTTTTTCATTGCGTATATTTAATATTGAGCTCTGAAAAACCGAAAGCACTTCACTTTTCTTAGTCTGGCAGACCAAACGGTAGAGATAACTTCATAACACTTCGACACTTCTAAATTTATCTCAAAAATTTCAAGCCCCATCATCACAACATTCCGTTTAAAACTCATCAGCAGTTCAAATCTATGCATCGCCTATGATTGCATGTTTTCGTACCAGTGCAGTGTCGTTAAATTAAATTGTGGACAAAAATCAGGATGTTAGATATGCCGAAGGATATTAAGAGAAAATTAATAACGATGAAAAGTTTTCGCTTCTTCGAATAAATTTTCAAATGAATTACCTAATCGATTTACTTATACATTTTCATGTATACTTTTATTACTATCTCCCTTCTGATTACCATACGTACGTAAATATCTCATCTCTCCCCCAACCAAAAATAATTAATAATGAATGGGAATTTAATGGCTGAAGCTATTAAAATAAGCATAGAAATGTCGTAAAACCAATCCAATGTAAACGATACTTTATATTAAATGTGTAAAGGATAAGAGATTGCTGTTGTTTGTTGACTATTTCCATTCTCCATGATGGTTTTTGATTGAAACATGTGAGCGTAAATTCAGCATATGCTTGTTATGGTTTATTTTAATTTGTTTTTCCTTTTTCTATGCTACAGATCTAAAATCATTAAGTAAAGTGATCCATGCATTAAAAATATCAGTTTTCATGCACATTTACTGATTACAAGCAAAAGAAAAACGTTTGTGGTAATCAACGTCACGTAAAACTTTATGACTGAATACAATTGAAAATACGTACATGGCAGCTGCAACTGTAATTGCATGGTAAATGAACTAAAACAATACTTTTAAGAATTCATTTTTCCACTTGATTGTGTATGATTTAGTAGAATTTGCCTTTCTTTACTGTACATGCTTAGATAGATTCATTTCACAAATTGCTTACATAACAAATTAAATCCTGAATACAGAAATTGTTGAACTTTTTACAAAAGAACTTTGAATTTTTAATACGGAGAGTTCACTGTGGGAATGAAGATGGACATGTAATTTTCCAATTTCTTTATTAAAGTGATTCATCATATTTCCGGAAAAGGTATTCATGACATTAAATTTGCATTTGATTCATGTCACATTACTGGGAAAACATAACAAATTATTAGACAAGGATTTCATTATTTTAAGAGCGATTAGTTCTAATGTATTTACAGAAAAAGGGTTAACAATTCAGATAACTCTTTCTTTTATTTCAATTCATCATAATCATAAACAAATGTTTCCTTAAACTCAAAATTTGATTCCTGTCTGAAGTGAATATACGATTTATAATTTGATATCTGGCTGATTAATAAGCCAATCCATTAAATGTTGGTGTAGCTCCGAGAATTTCTCATCAATCTAAATTTCGTCTCTACAACTAACATACTTTATATGTAGATAATAAGTCAGTCGTCTCTTTAGACAGACATCCGAATTAATTTGAATTTCGAGCATCATTCATTTAGCAAGAAAAAGATTCCAACACATTCCAATCAAACACTTTATGTTCCAAATTATTCATAATTCATGTTAAATATGTGGATTGATTTTGATATCATCCCACGTCAAAGTTCGTAAAGCATAAAATCCTTACTAACTATTTCTGTTCGAAATGATTAATGAGCTTTGAGGTCATGTAACGACATCTTTCTTACTTTAGTGTTTAATAGCTTCATTCATGATATTTTCTTCTCTTTTCATAATGATAACTTATCTTCAAGAATATGATTCGGAAAGCGAAATATTTTTGTTGAAACATCTGCGAGCTTTGATAGTTGAAAACAGTTTGAAAACAAGTAAACTTAAAGTTCATTTGTGTTAAATTTTATGACTCATAACTTATGATCTTTCTATAATGTAAATCAAGATAATTCCTAATGATAAACACGCGTAAAAATTTTCTATATTGTCTTTATTTCCCTAACAGTTTAAGCGAATAACGCTGAACTTTACAAAGTATCAAAGTAGAATTCTATTTAGTTAATGTTAAATTTTATCAACTCACATCTACACAAAGAAGGAAGTTTCTGTGGAAAATTTTAAACATGTAAGGAAAGGAAACCTATCAGAAAAAGAAATCTCAACTGTT